GTAGACCTTTGAAAAAAACAATTGATTCAGGTCTTGCATGTGTATTGTTGTCAACCTCAAGAATTAACTACTGAATAGTCATAGGAGCTGCAGCGATTCCATTTAAACCAGCAGCATTTGAAATGCCAATAGTACAATTGCTGTAAGTTAGACAACAAAGCAAATCTCAGTAGCAGTCTTGACTTGCTTACTTAAATGAGGGCAGACTATACAGACCCCTGAAATACTGAATAGACATGGAAATTCTAAAAAAAGAAACAACAAAAACTCCTAGAAGGAAAGGAGAAGTTTGAAGATGCATAAAAAGCAGTTTACATTTATGTTGTGCTTGAAGGGTAATGTGGGCTGCTAAGACTGATAAGGGCCTAGTCCTCTCTGCCTGCATTCGTATTAGTGGGGCTCTTTCCCCACTGAGCATGCACAGAGGTTCTCGGATTGTTGAGGGGCATCTTACGGCATGGTGAGGGACAGGTTTGCAAATGGCTGCTGAGCCAGAAGCGAGGATGCGCACAGCGAGGACGAATAAAGGCTGTGAGCCTCCGGGGGTGAGTTGCCATGTGGCTTCCGGTGAATTCATGGTGCCTGTTGCTTTTGTCTCTGTTGAGTTTGCTCTTTCCTAACCTTAGATGAATGAAAGGACCACGTCGTGACCTTATAAATGTCAACACTTCCTAAGACCCAGCAGAGGCCCAGCAACTGCTGTCCATAGCAGCATCTGTCATAGCCTCAGGAGCCAGGTCCAGTGAGGAGTAACCCGCTTGACCGGGAGATTCGAGACGATTTCCTGAAAATAAGTGAACCACCTGCTGCCCTAATTAATTTACTCAACGCTAAATCTAGCGATAGACTCCATTCTTCCCACTTTTTGTCATTATTACCCTTGAGATTCTTGACCTTTTGTTCCTGCATATACATTTTCTTATTTTTTTTTTTCAGAATCTCTAAAATGTTCTTTTGGGAGTTTGGTTTGATTAGGTATTGAATAAATTAATTAGGGTAGCATTGTAATTTTTATTATATTGTTTTAACCTACCCATGACAGATGCTAGGAGAGAAAGTTGGGGAAAGAACAGACTTTCCTTTATTCCTTGAGTAGGTGGGAACAGTGGGGGCATCAGTTTGGAGATGCCTATAGAGCTGAGGATCTTCCTTGATTTCTCCTTTCTCTGTTACAGTTCACTTCTACCTCTCTTTCTCCTTTCACTGGTTGCCTAGGGACTATCAGTTCTTGTCTTAACTCTGTATGATCTTATTCCTTCTAGACCCTTGTAATCACTGTCTGATTCTGAGCTAGCTCCTTTCTTTCTTTTTTAAAAATTTAATTAATTGTTTTGGTGAGGCAATCTGGGTTAAGTGACTTGCCCAGGGTCACACAGTGTCACCTGTCTGAGGCTGGATTTGAACTCTGGTCCTCCTGACTCCAAGGCCAGAGCTCTATCCACTGCACCACCTAGTTGCCCCGCTCCTTTCTTTTTAATACAAATTTCTTAGGACATGACCCAGTCTCTTACACAATGGTTTGGATTGATTCAAGGAGGCCCGGTTCACACTCAGTTCTGATTTATTCCAGTAAGAAGTGTTATTATCCAACAAAGATTATTACTTTGTAGTGGGTAGCATAATCAATGGAGTCCCATCCTCACACGTGATTGCTTACTGGACCACGTCAAAGGAGTGAGGGTATGCAGGCTCATTAGATCACGGCCACGTGATGCCTGAGCTCTTTGGTGTTTTGCTTGGTGGACTGCCATCCTGCTTCTGGTATCTGGGGAAATCACGTAATCTTTCAGTTCCCAATCTGCACTTGGAGTCCCTCTGTACTGGTGAAGGGTTCAGATGATTTTATCTTCTTGTGGTTAAAAATAACAGACTTATGCTGTATTGTCTTATTGGGTTTTTACCAAGTTTAGGATGATTCTTACTTTTAGGGAATTCCAGAGCTTTTTTTATTCTTTAATTAATAATACTTATTCCTAAATGACCTGAATAAAAATGGAGTTCTATTGCAGTTGACTCAAACACTTTGCAAGGAATGGGAAGATAGAACAACTGAATTTAGGATCAATAAAAAAATCAACAAGTATTAGCTTTTTTTGGTTTGTTTTTGTTTTTGGCTAGGCAATGGGGTTAAGTGACTTGCCCAGAGTCACACAGCTAGTGAATGTTACGTGTCTGAGTCAAGGATTTGAACTCAGGTCCTCCTGACTTCAGGGCTGGTGCTCTATCCACTGGGCCACCTAGCTGCCCCAAGTATTTGTTAAATACCTCTGACGTGCTAGGCAATATGCTAGACACTGAGGTATATGGTCATTTTTTTTCCAGGTTGTGTGTGTAGGTAGGGCCAGGGGATAGGACACAAGGAGCTCAATCATAGATTTAGAGTAGTTAGGGAACTTAGAGAAACTTAGGCCTGCAGGGTTAAGTGACTTGCCCAATGTCAAAACACTGGCAGAGTCTGGATTTGACTCCAGAGTCTCTGGTTCTCAATCCAGCACCATTTCCATTAACATCACTGCTGCTTCATATCTCTTCTGAGATAGACAAGTAGATCAGCCTTGTTCTCTGGCTCCGCCGTAGGGAAGCCACCCCAGGCTACACAAGGCGGGGTTCCTACTCCCACTAAAACACCCCCCCACTCCCAGCTCTAACCATCTCAAACAGGTTTGCCTCCTCAGTGTGAGCTTCCTCTAGGATGCTGGGCAGGATGCCTCAGTTTCCTCCTCTGTAAAATGAACCCTGAGGTCAAATCAACCAATTCATGAGCTTTTATTGAGATTCCACTAGATGCCAGGCACTGGGTAAGGCCTCTGGAGCATTCAGACAAAGATTCAGCAGTCCCTGCCCCAGAGTTTACATTCTACAGAGGAGCTTCTCTGTCCTGGAGGTCTCTACAGCTCCAACACTGTTAGGATACTGAGAAGGGTTGTTTTTTTTTTGAAGGGGGGTGATAGTGGTGAGGGGAAATCCAAGTTCTCTTTTTTCAATGCCCCACCCCTTAAAAGCATCTTTTTTCTATAAAGATTACAGCCTGACTCCCTGCTCCCAATTAAACAGGTTTCTGAGATGCCAGATATGGAAAACCCAAAACTCTGACCTCAGCACCTTCTACTTATCTAGCATAATTATTTAAAATAGGAAGCTACCCAGTATCATCCTTCTTCTCCCTGGGCAGGGGGGGCAGCCCCCTGTTGTTCTCACCCCCGCCACACTGAGAGCTGCTCGCTTCAGGCACAAACATTTCTAATTAACTTTTATTGTTATTCCTCAAAGGAGTGGTCTCGAAAAGGGATGTGGTTGAGGTGAAGGACATGTTTATTAACAAATTTGGAATTCTTAACATTTTCTCATTTTGGTGTTTACAGGGCATAAATTATACTTGTTGACCTGTAAAACCCTTTCTTAAATTCAGTGTTAATAATTAAAACATAATCCTTACATTTTGGTAAATTTTGATATAATGCATTCCAAAATATTGGTCTATAAAGGAGGTACAGGGGCAGAGCAACGGTGAGTTGAATTTGCACTCATTTCTAGCTCTAATAAATTTACACCTGAGGTTTCTGAGTTTTACTGAAGAGAGGACAGGGGCTGGACATGTGATCACACTGTCACGGTGAACTCCCAGGTGAGGGAGTTCTAATAATATTTTCTAATAATGTAAGTCATCATTTTTAACCCTGCACTTCATGGTCTCCGAGAGTTGCCCACAACACAGAGAAGACGAGGGATGGGCTGACGAGCCCTCACCTGAACGTGTAGGCTATGTCTTCCTGGCTTCCGAGGCTAGCTCTCTAGCCTCTACACCACACTGCCTCTGCTTCCAGAAAAAATAAACCTTTAAACCAGTTATACAAAAGTTCAGGAAGTTTTTATTGGACTCTGCTTTAAAAAAAAACAGCTTAAAACAACTTTTTGGTGGTAAATAGCAGGTATTTATTTGAAATGAAAAAAAAAATACTTAGGTACCTGAACTATTGCATTTAATCATGTATTGTAATTGTATTAATCTACCTTTTTGCATCAGACAGATAGACAATGAACATTCAGATATCACAGATTGCACACTACATAGTAATTCTTCAGGCCTTTTACATAACCACCAAAAAACAGATATTGGATTCTGCGATATAGTACAAAATGCCACAATCCAGTCTTAGCTAGTTATCTTCAATTGAGTTCTGTTGCTGTACAAATCAATGGCTGTTTACTAGGGCTAACAAGTTAATAACTGGACAAAAAATATACATTGCACTGACACAAAAAGTCAGCTGTGTTAATAGTCATGCAACAAGTAAACACACTTGCTGAAATTAAAAATACTTTCTAAAAAGTTTTAACTGCATAAATATTTTATACACAGTTCAATTACCAAAACAAAAGTCCTTTAAATGATAAAAGCAAAAAATAAGTTTCTACCAACTTTGTACATAAGAAAGTGCAAAATAATTTCTCTAAAGTGTTTTGCTCTTGTCCAGGTGGATGGTCACTGTGGGCAGCTCACCTTTTCAGAAGCGCGACATTACACCTGCAAACTACACACGGATGGCTAAGGACAACGTGGACCCTGACGCTCCCAAGAACAAGGCGAGAGAAGGCCTCGTGTGAGGTACTTGCAGAGAACACAGACCACTGGGAAAGATGGCTGTACACTGTGAGTGGGCTTATGGTCAACACGGGGACCCGGGTAACAGAAATCGAGCCGAGGAAATGAGTCTGGATCTTGCTGCTCCAGCTGTTTTGTGTCTTTGCATCAGAAGCAAGCACAAAAGAAAACTCCTTTGAACAAAACAGCTGCCCGCAGCACCAGCTGCCAGAGGACACGGGACCCAGTGGGGCTGCGGAGCCACTTTTTGCTCATGGAGTTGGAAAGTTTCCAAGCATTCATCCCATCGACATTCACGTTACAGAGGAGGCAGTCCTGGGTAACGAAGCACACAGGTGCACCTCCGCCACCTAGCTTGGCGTAATAAACCTGGTATGGGCAATTTAGGGGGAAGATGCTGCTTCTGAGAAAAGGGTACAGTCACATGATATGATTTCTCTGTGGAGTCAGAGGACAACTTCTTTCAGGGGGAAATCATCAATGCCATTAATCCTTTTATAAAAACAAGAAAGTACTGGAGAATTTCTCTTAAATATGCAAATGCTTTAATAAGTTTTATTGACTATGAGGCCATAATTGGACTGTAGATTCAAACACAGGTAAAAAAAGATTCAGTTTTCCCTTAAGCGTAAGGTACTCAAGTGCCTTGACACCAGGAGGAAGAACAAATCTGTCCTTTACTTACTCGGCTCTAGTCCATTGGGTACAACAAGAATAGTATTACACACCAATGAGTAATATGTAATATTTAATGCATGTGCATTAAAGTTGATGAATGTCCATCACCAGGGCTACAAGATGAAGGGTTGTGAATTTAATTCAGAACTGGCTTTTGTGTAACGCATTAACATATGCTCCTTACGAAGGCCCTTCCTTCTTATTTTAAGGCCATTAACTCTTCTATATTTAAAAAATAGCAGGCCTTTTTAGAATTACTATGTGTTTGAAAAATGTTAAAATCTAGATTACTCTCTCTCTTTCTCTCTCAACACACATTAAAAAAAATACCAGTACCAAAGCCTCTTTCCTATTATCTACCTGTAGGCCCTTCACCAGCTTTAATCCCTATAGGTGTATTTACTCTGTTCTACTTATGGTGCAAATTAAACAACTGAATATTAAAAATATTGCAATTATATTCATAGTAAAACAAAAAATAGACATTGATATAGTATAAATTGTACTGTTTTCAGGTAGATGGTATTGAATGGTAGAGTTGACCTCAAGTAGTCCTGACACTATCCAGTTATACATCAAGGGTTATATTTTAATTCTGTACAGTCTTTTTTTTTTTTTTTAAATAAGCCAGTCACCAAAGACGCGTGCTTATACTCTATGCAAGAGACACTAGCTCTGAGTTACATGCAAGCATATTTCCATTGGTTTAAGGAGGTCTGGGCTGGTTCCTGCACTGCATGAATCAGCAGATTGATTATTAAATGCTAAGAAGTTACACTATGACCCAAACAGCAGCCCTAATATATGTATAAAAGAGACCTTATTACATATGAACAACACTGAAGTGGTAAGTAGCCAGGTATAAAATGCCAAGAAAATTGTGATGATTCCTGGTTATCTTACAACTAGAATAATGTTCTCCCACACTGTCTGCTTACAGAGAAGGGCCAAATTATTTTGGTGACTAGCCTAGCTGAAGTGACGATGCTGCGGACAACTGAAAGAAAAGACACACATGCATAGGTGGAATTTGAAAGGAGAAAAAAGCCCATAGATAATGCCTTGGAGGAGGATTTTTTTTTAAGCATATTCATAATTAAGTTGATAGATGAGAGATGCTGGATAAACTCTTAAGTAGTTCATTAAATTAGTGGTTTAGTCTGAAGTCCCATGTTACAGGCTGTTAATTAAGTTCATATTTAGATAAAAAGGCCATTATACGTATTTACAATATACACAGTTGCTTGCAAAGAAGGCAGATTTACAACTATCTTCTAAAAAGCCTTTTCTTGTTTTTCAAAACGAGGTTGAGTAGTTCTACAAAAACAAGATACAAGAAGAGATGGTTAGGCGAGGGAGGATTTTCTTCCTTTTCAATAGCCACTCTTAACAAGGAGAACTGGGGACTGACAAGTCTACTGCTGGGAACTGCCTCACAGCCTCCTGGAGCTGCTCCCCCCAAAACGGGCCGACCTCTGTTACCGTCTCCTGCGCCCCTTTAACTCCCTGGTCTTGCTTAGCTCAGCACTTCCAACACACAGTATGAAGAGAAGTGTAAACAGAGACGGTTTCAAAGCCTTCCAAGCTCACTGCCCAGTAGGGTTGGGGCTGAGCAAGGGGTCCGCGCACCTTTGTTTCCAGCGGGCCTGGTGAAGCCTCAGCAGTTTTTGGGCCCATCTTCTGGGCACCGCTCGTGCTGTAGGTTGTAATAACAGTTCTGACAAACACGCACAGGAGATGAGATTTTCAAACGTTTGATTTCAGACTGAAATCGGCTGCACCTGAAGAAAAGGGGGATAAAAAAAAGCAGTGAGCGGGATATCCTCTTCTCAGCTCATTGTTTGATGCCTGGGTCAAATACATTCATTTAAAGACCAAATGTAAAGTATGCAGTAATCCTAGGGCCCAGTTTGAAAAAGGAAGAACATCAGAATTTAATGATAGATGCTTGATTTTAAAAACAAAATCATTTTAAATTTTTTGTCAACGGTAAAATGATGAAAAATCAGGACTAGATGTATATTGGATTGGGGAAGGGAAGAGCAGAAGATGACAGGCTGAGAGCTGGAAGGGCCTTGGAGGGCATGCAGGCCAACGGCTCTTTTACAAGTGGAGGTTAAAGAACTCGGGTAAATTCACACAGGTGATAAGTGAAGTGTCACCTAACCACTTCCTTAAAAAAAAAGGGAAGAGAAATGAACACCTGAAGTGCCAGTAAGTACCTAGATCACAAGAAGGTCTGGAGAGGCACTGATGCCACTTTCAGAAGAACATGCACGAGTGTTCCTAGAGCCTACTCAGGAGCTGAAGTGGGGGTGCAGGCAGGGCTACTGGAAACTTCCTGGGTTTCGAAAGACCTCGCTTCCTCCTCTGGGTCCTTCTCACACAAATGATCAATTACTGATCTTTGAAGCTACCTTTTTGCTACCATCCATATAAATGGTAAATTACTATAAATAGCTCTAATTCGACAGGACTTCAAACTGTCCACAGTTTGATCCCTTGGGCACGACCATCTAAAGCTGTATTTTGTCCAATGCCTCTGCAGGCCAATCAGCTGACGTAGCTGGGAGCAGTGAAGACAGCTCTCCTGCCTGACATCTCCCATAGTCCCAATATGGGGCTAGCTAGCAGGAACACCTAATCTCAGCAGGATCAGAGTGCACACGTGACAGGTGATCTCTAATCAGTGTTACCTCATCAACTGGAATTTTTTTCAATTCTCTTTTTTCAGTTTATAAGCACTGGTTTTCTCTCCCTCCTTTTGTAGCCCTGCCCCCTGCTTAAAAAACAAACAAAAAACCTTTTGATTTACATATATATATGTATATATATATAAAAACCCTACAACTAATAAATCATCTTATAAACAATGACAAACTATGGACACGATGGGTTTGCTCCGACTCAGGTAAGTCGAACCTTTCCCTTTCCTAAGGGACTTTTGTGAACAATTCCATGGTCATACACCCTGGAGATGGAATGGCATGGAACCCGAGATGAACAAGGCTCCAAAGCTATGGTGATCGAGGGCTGTGCTTCTGGGCCAGGGAGACGTAAAAGCACCAGGCTAACAAGATCTTTTTTATTTTCTGTCATGAAAAATGCCAGACTAGTCTACGCCCAACACCACAGGAATCACAGCTACCAACAGCTATCGTCCCTGTGGGCACTAATGCCAGTGCCCCCCAGGATCTGACTCCAGCCTGGCCCCCATGACAATCACAAAGGAAGGCAACTGTTGTGGAACCTGGAGACCTCTGCAGGTGCTGTTGCCGCCACCGCTGCTAGGAATCCAGAAAAGACCATTTCCTCATCAGAGTTGTCGGCATCATCAGAAACAGAAGCACTTTTATCAAGAGAATGAGAGTGCAGAAGATCCACCATCATCTGGCTTGCCACTGCATGCTGAAGCCCACTGGGCCTTTCCATCCAACCTGTGGCTGAAACCTACTGGAGGTGATCTGTCCTGATTAGGACAGGACTTCCTCAACAGCGTGGACTGTCTCGCTTTTTCCCTTTGTATCTTCAGTTTTTGTTCAGTGCTTTGCATGTGATAAGTACTTCATAAATAAATTTTCATTCATTAATTCAATGAGAGCTGCAGCCACTCAAATGTCAATCTAGCAAGAAAGTCAAGCAGATGAAGAGTGCACACTGTCTCACCTCCTCACGTGGTTGCATATTTGTATGGCCTCTACTTCTGCACCTTGATTAAATGAGATAATTTTTCCTAACTTTCCTTTCCCTTATGACCCTCTTCTACTCTCCCCCACTAGTGTATTCTTCTGCCTCTCTATTCTTAAAGTCATCAAGACATAATAGAATCATTCTCAGGCCTTCTGTCTCCTTAGACTCCCTCTGGTGATGGCAGGCTTCAGAGAAGACACACGTACCATCTCCCCATGTGAGCATAAAAGCAGTTGACCCTTGTGCCTCATAACTGTTCATTCATCTTTACCTGTTTGTTCCTTCTAACTCTTGGATTTGCCTTCTGAAGTTTCTATGCAGCTCTGGTCTTTTCATCAGGAAGGCCTAGAAGTTCTTTATTTCCTTAAAGGTCTATTCCTCCCGCTGGCCTTTCAACCAATAGGATGACACTTTGTTTTGCTGGGTAAGTTATTCTTGGCTATAAGCCTATATCCTCTGTCTTCTGTAACATCACATTCCAAGCTCTCTGTTCTTTACTGTGGTGGCTGCTGAATTGTAAGGGATCCTGGCCATGGCTCCTTGGCTCTTGAATTCTTTCTCTCTGGATGTTTTTCTTTACCTGCAAGTTCTGGATTTGGGGAGTTTTCATTTTGAGGATTGTTTCAATGGATGACCAATTGATTCCATTACCTATTTGCTCTCTGGTTCCGAGTATTTTTCCTTTGTGATTTTGGTCATGTCTTTTAGGCAGTCCAATAATTCTTAGATTATCTCTCTTTGATCTGTTTTCCAAGTTAGTTGTTTTGACTAAGAAATACCTTGCCATTTTCTTCTATTTTCCCCCCAGGGTTTTGATTTTAATTTTTCTTGTTGTCTCATGGAGTCATTGACTTTTATTTGTCCTATTTTAATTTTCAGAGGGTTTGATACTTGGGCAAAGTTTTGTACCTCTTGTGTCAAGCTGTTAATTCCCTTCCCAATTCTTCCTTCTATAGCTTTCGTTTCTTTCCCATTTTTCCCTCTCTGGCACTCATTTAATTTATAAAAATATTTTTAACTCTTCCTTCAGCTCTTTTCCAGGAATTCTAGCTGAATTTGCACCCAAGCAGTGTTTTCTTTGAGACTTTGCTTGTGTATGTTTTGGAGTCTTTCTCTTTTTCTAAGTTTGTATCTTGAGTGTCCCTGTTGCCATAACAGCTTTTTATGGCTAGATCCTTTTTCATTTGCTCATTCTTCCAGCTGACTTTCTTCTAACTTTGCCATATTAGGACAGGCTCTGCACAGTGATGGAGGAATGATCTGGGCTGGCCCTGCTGCTGCTTTCTTGGAGTGTTAAGTGTTGTACTCTTTCAGTATTTCAGGGACAGCTCAGGCTGGGGAGCTGTAATCTTCGGTGCTCCTTAAGTGTTCTGATCCAAGGCAATATCTGATCATTCCCCCTACCTCTCTACCCCTAACTTGGGTCTGAGCTCTTCAAGTTACTGGCCTGGGTTTAGGCCTGTAGATTGCTGCTGGACTCAGTCACTGTCAGACAGCTGGAAGGCTATGCTGGTTCAGTGACAGAATGGTAGGCTTGATTCCGGTCCTGGTGCTTTCTTTGTGGGCTGCAGCCTGGGCTAGAAGCTGGGACGGATCCTGCTCTGTTCTTGGGGGCTCTGAGCCTCACAGCTGCTGCTTGCTTCTGAACCTGCTCCATACTTAGTCCACAGTCCAAGGCCCTGTGACCCCTCCTCAGTCTAGACTGATGTTCCTGGGCATCCTCCTTCAGCCCTGGACTCACGAATTAGACGTGACTAGTGGGCAGCAGTGCTGCTGTGGGTATCTAGGCACCTGCACAAGATCAGGTTCCTCAATGTGGGATCTAGAACCTCCTTTCTGCCTTGGGGCACAGCTTCTCCCCGCAACCACATACTCCTCACCAAACCGTGCCTACTACGTCCATAGACCTCTCTGTCAGTCTCCCTATGCCAGCCTGGGCTGGAAGAACGATTTGCTGTGATTGAGATCCAGTCTAGTAAATATTCTAGATCTGTTTCAGGGAGCCTGGGGGTTGGGTGGCACACACTGTCCTTCTGGCTCCTCCACCATCTTGGCTCCATCTGACTTTTCCTAAAGCACAGCTCTAACCATGTCACTCCCCTACTTAATAAACACCAGTGGTCTCCCTATTGCTTCTATGATAAAATAGAATCTTCTCTGTTTAGTATTTAAAGTCCTTCACAGTCTGGCCTCAACTTACCTCTCCAGACTTATATTACTCATGTAGTCTATAGTCAGTGAGCCATCAGTAAGCATCTATTAAGTGCCTACTGTGTGCCAGGCACTGTGCTGTGTGCTGGGGACACAAAGAATAGCAAAAGCCCTGCCCACGAGAAGCTCACAGTCTAATGGGGAAGATGGCAAGGAAACAAATATAGACAAGGCAAGCTATTACAGGATAAACAGGAAATAATCTAAAGAGGGAAGACACTGGAATTAAGAGGAATTGGGGGGAACTTCCTGTAGAAAGTGGGATTTTAGTTGGGACTTAAAGGAAGCCAAGGACAGTTAAAGGTAGTTAAAGATGAGAAAGATCATTCCAGGTGGAGGGGACAGCCAGAGGAATGCCTGAAGCTGAGAGTGTCCTCCTTATGGAACGGCTGGGAGGCCAGGATTACCATGTCAGGGAATGAAGGGTAAGAAGACTTGGAAAAGAAGACTTGGACAAGGGACAGCTGGGTGGCACAGTGGATAGAACATGGCCCTGGAGTCAGGAGGATCTGACTTCAAATCCAGCCTCAGACACTTACTAGCTGTATAACCCTAAGTCACTTAACCCTGATTGCCTCAAAAAAAAAAAAGAAGAAGAAGAAGAGGAACAAGAAGACTTGGAAAGGCAGAAGGGGGCTAGGTTAGGTGGCCTCTGAATGCCAAATAGAGCATTTTGTATTTGATGCTGGAGGCAGTAGGGAGCCACTCGAGTTTGAGTACGGGGGTGACAAGGTCAGGGTTGTGCTTCAGGAAAATCATGTTAGTGGTTGAAGGGAGGATGGCCTGGATTTGAGAGAGACTGGACAGAGGCAGAACCTTTCAGCAGCTACAGGCCTGCACCAGGGTGGGCCAGTATCAGAGACAAGGGGGTGTATTTGGGAGAAGCTGCAAAAGTGAAATCCACAAGCTTGGATATGGAGTGGAGAGATCACGAGGAATCCAAGATGCCTGCTAGGCTGAGAGCCTGAGGGCTGGGAGGATGATGCCATCCTCTGTAGTAGGAGGAAAGGTAGAGCTGGGGCCACACTGCGTGTCCTGCTTGTCTCTCATACAGGAAACATCTCTCCCACCTGTCTTTGCTGGGCGTTCCGTAAGGCAGGAATGCATCCCCACTGCCTCACCCCTTAGAGACTTGTTTCTTTCAAAGCTCAGGTCACATACCCAATTCTACATGAAATGTTTCATAATCCTCTCCCCAAAATCATCTTCTACTTTGTCTATACTTATTCCTGCATGTGTGTTCTCTCCCCAGGACACTGGAGTCCTTTGAGAGCAGGGACCATCCCTGTGTCCCCGAGCCCAGTGACCAGGAGAGCTGAGCCGTCGCGAGGCCCAAGCAGGCCGTCTTACTTCTGGCAGAAGAGCTGGCCACAGTTCCTGCAGTGGTGTCTCCTTTCTGTGAGGGAGAATCGAACCGAGCAGCCTGAACAGCTGTCTCCTCCTTCATCTTTCACCCAATGGTCAGCAGCAGAGCGGCCCGGCTGGTCACTCACAGACCAGCTGAAAACTCGGCCTCGACTGTCACCAACGAGGATCCTACTGTGATCCCTGGAAGAAAAACCATGTTATTACTTGGGACCCCACAAAAACCCTCCATCACAGCTAGTACAGCTGGCAGCTGTGTGTGCCTCGTGGTGAGGACCTTTCCAGACAAACATCACATAAATAACCCAGCTGTTCAGTGGGGGACGAGTCTGGGGTGCGAGACAGTGCATTTCTATGTAGGGCGGGACCAGGAAAGATGCAGCTGTACATCCATGACTACATCAGACCTAAGGTCCCTCAGAGAATACCGAAAGCAAAAATTCCCTATGGTTTTAATTAAAATAACAATGCATAGGGTTTTTCTTCTTCCTCTTCTTTAGCTCAAGTTGGCCTACATAACACAGCGCTGTAAGATAATTTAGATCTTTTTCTCCCACCAGACGTGGCTGATTGATGACTGCCACTGGTCAAAGAGCCTGCCTCATTTTGGAAAGCTGATCAGGAATGTCTTTTACTCACTTGGAGATGCCCAGGGCAGTGATCTCGGCTGGGTGAGCGTTATCTTTTCGATCAAACGCTGTGTGCATAGTTAATTTGCTCCTGAACACCAGCTGCCGCTCCCACCTGTATCCTGGAGAGGAAAATCAGAGGACGTTAAGTTTTGGAGCGAGGGAAATCAAGACTTAACTACAACCCCTCCCTTGTGTAAGATAAAAGCCAAGGTCCCTGGGTGTGATTCTAAGCTGCTTTTCTAGCTACTCAGAGCATATCCTTTTGGCCAAGGGCTTAATCCCATACATAGAGCCAGAGCTAGAAAGGCTGTCAGAAGCCATTGAATACAGCCTTGTCATCTCTTGGATGAGGAAACTGAGGCCCCCAAAAAACAAATAACTGTGTAAGGCTCCCCAGTTTCTCTCCCAGGGACAGAGGCTGGCCCTGAATCAAGGCCTTCTGATTCCAAGGGACTGTCTCTACTGTGCCAGATGGCTTCCGATGGTGTAGGTTAAAAGCTGTGCTTAAAGATGGTATGTCTAAGGAGAGCTCTCATCCCACGCCCACTGCTGGACTTGTGAAAGCCAATGCTCTTGAGGGGAGATCTCAAGCTTTATCATTAGCTGGAGTCACTAAGGTCAAACTTTATTAAGAAACTGAAGTTTTTAAGACAAGAAAACACAGATGATTTCTCCAAATGAGAAACGATTTCCTCTTTGTCATCAAACAAAGGAGTACAGGAACATTCCACGTTTTAGAATGCTTTCCCTCAAATATTGGGCCCACAAGCTTGCTTCAGACTCCTCATGATATAACACCATCCTTGGACAGGACCTTTATTCCCTGTGCCCCTGAGGTCCTATAACAAATAACCGTGTGAATACAGGCAACCTGCCCGGCCTCATCCCAAGCCACCCTGCCTCAGCCCCAGCAAGGCTAACATCCTTCCCTCATCTCGTCCCAGGTTTCATGTTTCATTTACCAGGTTTAAGGTTGTTATAATGCCGCACATCAACAGGATATGGGTGGGGGTGGTTAAGAGGACCCTGAAGATGGACTCTGGTCTGTCCTTCTGAATAGTTGACAAAAATGAAGCCATCCTTCTCATCCAAACTGAGCTGGTCTGACCAGCGCCTGGAGTCATCCGAGCCACTGTCAGCCGACCATGCCGCTGCTGCTCGACAAGATGGTGCCCTTGGCCGGTGGCTCACACTGCCTGGCTGACTGGCAGGCTCTCTGGGGTCTTGGACAACGCTCTGCTCCTCAGCTTCCGAGTCACTGCTGTCCTCATCTTGGCCTTCTTGCCCTGCATTACACAATGGCAGGATGAAAAGAGGGACTTTCTCTAAAACAGACATGTTTGTTTACAGAACCTTCTGGTCTTTATAAAAAAAGCTCTTATCTTTGTTATCTTTCTGAATGACTGCTGGGACTGCATTTTCTTTTTCCATCACTACTCATGATCATGATCTTTAAGGTCTCCCCCTTTTGAATCATATCCCCTCCCCCATCCTTACTTAGCTTTCTACTCCACCCAAGTACCTATCAATCAATGAGCATTTAATAATTAACCACTATACTGCAAGGCACTCTGCTAGCTGAGGGGATATGAGTACACTGAATGAAACAGTCCCACTTGAAGAGCTCTTACATTCTAACAGGAGAGACAATAGCACATATATTAAGTATGTGCAGAATAAATACAAAGTATTTATTCAAGAACACAAAGCAGGAAAAGCTTCATGCAAAGAGGGCACTTGAGTTGCACCATCTACACTCAGATTCTCCTGCTTTTGAGGAATGAGCCTCAGACCACAATCTTTTTCCATTTCCTAGATAACCAGGTGTCTTTTCCTTCTAACTATAATTGGTGATGTACAGAGTTATTTATTGGTACCAGTGAAGGTTACATACAAATGGAGTGTTTACCTGAAAAGGAGACTCTCACCTTCTTCCTTAACTTACCCACAGCCTAGGGTGGTGCTTTGTATGCAGTGAGCACTCAGTCAATGTTGACAGATTCCTTCACTGAGTGAGAGAGTGTGAAGATCACTTTCCACTAATGTTTGATGGTAAATGTTTGGTGGAGAGGGCTTCTCTTGGACTTCCAAATCAAGAGCCAACAGGCTACTTGGGGCTAGTAAGAGCTGACTGAAATTAGTGTACTGTATTTCTGTATTACAGGAAAAACTTGCCTTCAATACATGAAGAGTAATTTTAATGTGCTTTATAAATGGTGCGTCAAATTACTGGATCTGAAGCCCAGATGTAAAGCTTTCAGCATGGGCCTCCTGATGGGCCAGCTCCATCCAAAAAATTTTTATATCCTTTTTAAGAACACAGGGGATGCATGCTCTTCTGTACGCTGAGGAGACAGCAATTATAATCTAGGGAGGAAGGTAATGGCGGTCCCACACCACGTATTTTGATGTGTCTGCCGCTGGGCAGGAAACTGAAATGAGAGTTGCTGATCTGATCAGAAATACTGTACACTGTGTGCAATTCTCTCAAAAATTAGTAAAGTCTAGCCAGAGGTGGGGAACCCGCAGCCTCGAGTTACAGAACAAATCCTTTTATTACGGGGATTGGTTCTGTGAAGTTTGAATTCAGTCAAAGTGCTGCTCTTGAGGGCCTAGAGGGCCACATGCAGGCTTGAAGTTGCAGGTCCCCCACTCCTGGCCAGCCCAACTAAAGCTATGAAATTTGGCCATTTAAGTTTACACTGATATAAATGGGGGCTGGGGAAGGTCTGGTACATGGTTGGAGCACTTCAGATGTCTCCACAAGATACCACAGTTTAGAAGAACAGTAAGAATGTATAAGGGAAGTGTTTTGGAGAGACTAGGGATCCAATTAGCTGGGAGTCTGCTCCTCCAGAGACCGGGGTGACGTACAGGAGAATATGCCCTAAGACACCGTAGGAAATGTTTGCATGTTTATTTTTGCTATATGTTTGAAGTCGATATCCCCTTGTAAAAGCTACTTTGCATTAAGTGGCTGCATGGCACCGGTGTGTTAGTCGCTGGTCCCTAACAATGGGGAGGGAAGGAAGGTGGTGACAGTAGAGAAAAGAGACACACAAACTCCTCTGGAGACCCTACCACCACCAGGGGCAGTGCAGTGGGCCTGCCTCCGAGAGAGGTGGCGATAGAGTAGACAGTGCTAGACCTAGTTTTTTTGTTTTTGTGTTGAATAAATGAAGCTCATTGAAAAAAGGTCTGGAAAGAAATAGATACCTATTTGTGCTTCTGGACAGTCTTCCTGCATTTCCAGGTCTTCAATGGGCTCGGGAGCTGGTGTTTCAGGAACTTGCAAAAACTCCATCCTCCAAAACTGATTATGAAATGATAAAGGAAGACAAAAAACTAATTCATCAATTTATGTGTCACTGGTCGTCTTTCGTAGAGAGTCTTGAGAAATAACATCACTTCCCAAAATATATAGCAGAGCCTCATGTCTATCTCTCCAGTGACGGCTACAAGGCAGGACATACTTCTGGATTATAATGGAAGGAAAGCAGTTTGGGCTGCTGGAGCAGAAGACTAATGCCTGCCAGTCACATTTGCCCAGGCAGGACTGGTCAAGTGCTGTTATTAAAAACCCCAACATGCGTCTTGACCTGCATTTCATGTCTGTTGAATACAATGGTATTAATAACGGCTGACACATTATGACATACTGGATAATAATTAGCACAGTGCCTGGCACAGTGCAGGAGCTTAATAAAGACTGACAAAACTGGACTTGGAGGTCAGCCAAGTTCTGGGTTTGAATGCTGCCTCAGACACTTACTCAGCAAATCCTTTCACCTCTCAGTCTCCACTTCCTCACCTATAAAATGAGGACGGTATCACCGCCACATCCTGATCCCAGGGAAGCTTTCACAACAGCCCCGTGAGGCAGGCACGACAGCTTTCATCCTCCTCCTTTTATAGATGAGGATGTCAAAAAGGGGAGTCCATCCTCACATGCAGCTCTTCCTTCCTTCCTTCTATTCACTAAGTCAGGCCCTTCTGGAATGTAATTTACAAGGCTGGCGCCATCCCTGGAGGAGATGCGTAGAACATGGAGGCTTCAACCACAACAGCAAAATGGGAGGAAAACAGACATGGAGGAAGATGGCTAGGGATGATGAGAAGTGTATTTAAGTAAATGACACTCAGCCATGGAGGGGACACCAATGAATTGTTCTCTGTCTCTGAAAAGAAAAGAACTAGGGGTATAAGGAAGAACTTCCTGAGGAAAAACTCCAGTTTACTCCACATGGCTACTACATGGGTAATTGGGTATTCAGACTTTCCCTGCAGGTAGGGAAAGGTTCCGGGGCCTCATAGACAGCATGGATTCACCTTCCCACTCCTCAATCTGCAGACGGGTGGGAGGAGTAATGAAAGACTCCAGAGGCAGGACAACAGGCTGAAGTAGCTAAGAGTGAAGATCAGGTGAGGCTCATGTTTGGAACTGAGCAAGTATGGCGGCCGCGGCACAACACTGGCAGACATTTTACCATGCAATATGTTGAATCTGAGCATTGCAGGGAGGGTCCGGTGGCCACAGTCACTGCTCCTCAGGAAAAAATCCAAAGAAAACAAAAACTGGTGGATGTGGCCGGAATGGACTGATGCTTCTGAATTTTGTTGCTTCTTGAAAATCAGCTACAGTGTGGGGAAGATTTAGCTTTCCTTCTCCTTCCTCTATCTGCAGCCAGCAGGCATTTTCTATATGATTTCTCTATCTTTTTAATCGTTTCTAATTAGTTATATTTGTCTCATATAAACTCTGACTCTAATAATGATTCATGAATGCTCAGTGACTCTTGGCTATCAATTAGTTACATACAGTGGGACTTGCAATGGAGGAAGCCAGAGAACAGCTTGGAAGACAGCTCTAACGAGGACAGAAGTGTGAACCTTGGTTAAAACCAAGCTTTTCCCTCACTGGAGGTGGAGCCAAGTGAGAGAGAATCTTATGGTTTTGATTTTATTAGCACTTGCATAAGCTCATAAATAGCAAAGACAGATGAATCACATGACTTGGGACTCCTGACACCCAGGCTATGGAATCCTTTTCATTGAAGCTTCGGGCTCCAGAGTGAGGGGTAGAATAGAGGCAAGGAGCAAAGGAAGGCAGTGCTCCTGGGGTGCGGATGGTGTGTGTGTGGTGGGAAGAGTGACCCTGCTTTGGGCCTGGCTGAAATTCTGAAGGGGGAAGGTAAAGAGAAAGTGATACTTTTGACCTTTGGTGTCCTTTACGTAGCCAAACCCTACCTGACAGTGCCAGCTGCTGGTTACATATTAAATGTATCTGTCCATTTACAGTGAATATTTGAGCATATTTTATTTGTAAAGATCTAACCAAATCTCTTTTTCAGCTGGCTAGATATAGACTAAAACATCTCTTGAAATCCTTCTTAAGTTTAATGATTTCTACTTGGAGGCAGGTATAATCCCTGTCTATTAAGCTCAGAGTATCTAAAACATTGACTGCTGGACTTAAAAGTCAAGGAATGAATGTGTCTAGACGACTGTTTGATGGAGACAGGTTGTTAATTCTTATCACAGCATTATGCTCTCAGGGTCAAAGTCTGGTATAAAGTAATGTGATGGTCAACAAAAGTATTTACTACGCACCTACCATTACCAGGCAGTGGTAAGTGCTCAGATTCAAAGAAAGGCAAAAGCAGTCCCTGCTCAAGGAACACGCATCCTACAGTGGAAGACAACATGCAAACAACTACGTACAGGCAAGATCTATACAGAGGAAACTGGAGATAATGTAGAGGAGGAAGTCACTAGCACTAAGGAGGATGGGGAAAGCTGTCTTGTAGACATAGGACTGTAGCTGGGACTCGAAGGCAGTCAGGAGAGGTAATGAGGGAGAGAATTCCAGTCAGGAGGGACATCCAGTGAAAACGCCCAGAGCTGAAGAGGCAGGGTATGTGAGCAACAGGGAACAGGACTGCGTCACAGGATCAGAGCACTGGAAAGACAGGAAAGGGCCAGGTGCTACCAGGCCAGGGTAAGGGGCTCTGAGCTTCAGAGTTGAGAGGCAGGGTGTGTGAGCAAAGGAAACAGGACCACGTCAGGATCAGAGCACTGGAAAGGCAGGAAGGGGCCAGGTGCTACCGGGCCAGAGTAAGGGGCTCTTCGCTTCAGAACTGAACACAGCGCCCAATACATTTACTTACCCGGACCACGCCGTCTGAATGTCCCGTTACAATGACATTTTGTGTGTCCCATTCATTCATCTCTGACATGCAGCAACACATTATCTGCTGACTTCGGCCAGTGAACGTGTTAACACTCACAACAGGGTTCCCATTAATACTCCAAACATGGATATATGTGCCAGCACAAGATACTATGTCCCCCTGAAAAGACAGGCCCAAAAGGACAATTTGATGACTTTTTTCCCCTACAGATAACAAGCTAGTTTTAGAAGCACATCTAATCCCTAGGATCTCTCAAAAAATTCTAAGCCCTGAGCTCATTACTGTTTTTATTTTTTTTTAAGTATTTGAGACATCGTGGTGTTTCATAATTTAGGGCGTGTTCTCCTTCTAGCTTCAAGGGTTTTAAAAAAAAGCAGAGATTTAGATTAAATTTAAAATATACTGGATTTGGTAGTAAGGACAGTCCCCAAACAAGCTCCCATAGCTCTTCTGGCTTATTGTTAAGTAAGCATGTCAGCAAGTTATACTGAGTACAAAAAGCTGCTTGTGTTCAGCTAAGTTTGAGAAGCTGTCCTTTTCCTGCTAGCTGCAAGAAGCTGTCAAACAGCACTGCTGGATTTAGAAGTGAGAACAAATTTGAGTGCTCTCAGGCACAAATAAGATGGGGGATCTAGTCTACCTACAGCCATTTTCTTACTGAATGGAGCTGCTAGATTTCTCTCTCAGAAATGTGAGCATTTCACGTATAAGAATTATCCTTAAAACTCTTGATTGCCTGATGGGGGTAAAGAGAAACCTGTAGTGGAAATTCCTTGGAGAAATTTGCCAGCCTGAGGCCCCCCTTTCTTACATTCAACTGGAAAAAGTACTCATTGATTACATCACCAGTGGGTCTAAAAATAAGCAGGGGAAGAAGCCCTGGTTCCCTCAAAGGCTTGCGTTACCGCAATGAGGGTGAAGGACCCTACTGACCCCAAAGGCAAAGCTGACCCTGGATTTCACCATCCCCCGTACCAACTGAGGAAGTGATCTGATGAAAGACCCTCCTTCAGGAAGAGGTCCTCAGACCCTTAAGGACTTCTGAAGAAGGGTGCCCGAAGCAAAGGGGGCACCAGGAGACAACAGGAAGCTTCACACCCACGGAGGGAGGAGACAAGCTCTGAACCAAGGTTCTCTCTCTCTCTCTCCTTCTGCTTTTAATCACTTCCAAACAAACCAAAACTGAAAATGAGCACAAGCATTTAGGCAGCCTTGACTGACCCTCTCAAGAAGAGAAACAACGACGAAAGTCTGCCTGCCTAAGGGGAAGCCAACCTGCTTGTTCAGCTCAACCCATGGAGCATTTCCTGGGGCCACTTCCCAGCTGCTCCACTGTTTCTGACTCCCCCCGAATACATCTATCTCATTTTCTTGTCCATGTTAGCCATCTCTCTACCATCCTGCATGGGGTTCCTCTTATGCCTCATGGCACTCTTTCACTAAGAAAGTGAGGACAGAAACAAAGCCAAAAAAACCCAGTTTTAGCCAAGTATTTTTGTGTAGTTTGCTTTTGGTCTTGACAAATTTAAATTTTTAAAGGAACAGAATTTGTTTCTTTAGCACATGCTAGCGCACGTAGCATTTTACATATTGTGAATATTTTCTCAATGAATTCTAACTCATCAGAATAAAAAAAATCCCGAACTAGCTAGTGACACAGCTCTGTGCTCTACTGGGGGCAGAACCTGTCCTGGTCCATACCAGAAAGACTTTCCTAAAGGACTGAAGGACAATCTTAGTGACAGTGTGTTAGAGAAAATTCAGCCATGAAAAGGATTGCATCTTAGACTAAATGATTCAGAAGAAAAATCTGAGCTATTTTGGGCTTGATAATAAGATGGTGGTACATCAGCCTTCACATTTAGTTTAGAAAATTGAACAGAAATAGACATTTCTCAGTAACTTATTAAAAGATAGTGGCAGATGCAAAACTACTAGGACTGAATAAATGCAACCAGACTTTTTGCAAACCTACACCAAAACTTCAAATGACTTTTACTCTTCTTTTAATCATTGTATCTTTGGGTGCTCTTTAACCAATAATGGTACAGTCTCATTTATTCAAATGAAATGTAATTTTTGGATGTGGGCATTAGAAAGCCACTTGCCTGTATCAGCAATACCCAGTCAATCTGGCTGGACATTATTGACCCACCATCCTGCAAAAAGGTGGAATTACCATTCTAACAAGTGCTCTGACTCTCTAGACTTGAATAGCAATGCCATTCAATGTTGTAGCTGGAATCACCTGATGGCCTGAGTAGGAAGAGTTACCATAGGGGACAGATTTATAGAACTGGGCCTATGTACTGTACTGTGTGACCCTTCTATCAGCATGATGTCCAATACTCTGTTTCTCAGTTCCCTGAGGATGCATTTCACTCACAGAGGCTAAGCAACACAGAAATGCTAGCCCTGTTCTATTCTGTGTTTCAGGACTTGGTCCCCGGGGGTGGTTTTGGGGTCGGTGCATTTTATTTTTATAGCTCATTAGATATGTTATGCACACTAATTACTACCCATCTTTGGAAACATTTTGGGGAATGCTACACTGGAATTTCATTCTCTGTAGCTGCCAGGTGTTTAATCTTCACATGAGACACAGATAACATAGGCACAGAATTCTCTAGAGTCCCTTTTAACCTTCAAATTTTATGATCTCTTAAAGGATAAAAACATCTTTACAAAATATCAAACTCCTTAGATATTAAATGGGTTTAAACAAAATCTTTTTCTAAAAAACATATGTGACAGATGGCTACCAGCACAGGTATCTTGGTTCATAAACTTTAACATTCATGATTTTCTTTTTAAGGCAATTGGGGTGAAGTGACTTGCCCAGGGTCACACAGCTAGTAAGTGTCAAGTGTTTGGTCTGAGGCCACATTTGAACTCAGGTCCTCCTGACTTCAGGGCTGGTGCTCTATGCACTGCATCACCTAGCTGCTCCCATTCATGCTCTTTTACAAATATCACATAAATCGAGGAAAACGTATTTGTTTTTTGTAAAATGACCTATTGTAAAAATAGAAAAAGCTTAGTATAACTAAGATAAAGCAAACACTTTCACCCCAATTGCTCATTTTCCTGAACATGAATGAGGGGTAGGTGATTTACTACTCACTGTTAATTCATTGATACAAAGAGCTGAAACAGGCGCGCGGTGACCTCTCAGCTGAGTTAAAAATGACAGTTTGTTCAAATCCCAGATGATGCAGGTTCGATCACGTGACCCACTGACGATTATATGATAGGCTAATGAGGCTGTAGAACAGGTAACAGTATCTGTGTGACCCAGCAATGCCTATAAGAAAGACAGCACGCAGAAATCAGCAAAATGACAGCAGTCCCCAAGTCACATCAGAATTCTAAGGAAGGACCCCTCCAGAAGCAGAGCAGAAAGCATCCACATGCTTGGGGCAGTGTTTTTTGAAATTCAGACTTTGTGCCTCCTTTTATCTGGCTCAACTCAAGTAAATGGGATTATTAATTAGGGTTACACTACTCCACTAAAAAATCTTCAGTGACTACCCATTATTTACTAAATAAAATGTAAGCTTACGATTAGCATTTAAGACCCTCTACCATCTGACTTCCACCTACTTCTCCAACCTTATTTCATGCTGTTCCCTGTGATTCCCTCCCCTGCCCCCAGCGCCATCTACATCTTCATCTGCTGAAGTCACTGCTTTCATTTAAGAAGCCTTTCCCAACTCTCTTGGGAAAAAAATGATCCCCATCCTCAAATTCTGCTTAGACCTCTGCTCTTCAGTAGTTTCATTCTCCCTTTTTCACAGTCGTCAGCATGAGAGCAAGGCTTCTGGGGGCTGAGCACTAGGTTTCACATCCATTTCTCACCTGGGGACTTGTGGTCCCCACCACAAGAGGAATTAAGGTTTTAAATTCTTACTGTTCCTTTATGTTATGAACTTTTTCACATGCAACTCCAGTAGAGAGAGCTAGACTGGCAAAGAAGAGATTCAGACCTGACATTCTCTGGGGATGGAGGATCATTAGGGTTTTTGAAAGCCTTTGTACAAACAAATAGTTATTTGAATCTGGGGGAATTTATGCTAAAAAAAAGTTCTAGAACTGAGTGCCCCCTTTCAGTCAGAATAACAAGGGCTTATGGGCTTTCTTGTCTGGAAGAAAAAAATATATATTTTAATTCTAATAAACACTATAGAATCTGTTTGCTCAAAATATTCATGTTTTAAAATTCTAGTCACACGGGATCTTTGTTTGGGGTTTGGCAAACACGAAAGAGCTGTTCTATGTTTATTTCTGACTTAGCAGACACTATTAAAATACTCCAGAAATCTATTGCCTGAACTGAATGTTCTATCTGAAACTTTGGAAAATGTGAAGTGCCACATACATGTGAGCTATGTTACAGTCACTTACTGTCATCTGAAAATAGTGTGGGGGGTGTCTGCACTAAATCCCTTACTTGCATAGCTGGGTAACCCTGGAATCTCCTGGCTAAGACCCTGGAGCTCGGCAATTCATATGCAGCTTCTGGGCTTCCCTGGAGCTAAAGGGAATCCCAAGAACATTCAGGTGTGCTGAAAGTATTAATCTTTCAAACAGTAGTTACATAAAATAAGCTCAGTTTCCTCATACATAAAATGGGAATAAATATTTACACTAACAATTCCACAAGGCTGTTCCGAGGATCAAAGGGCGTGACATGCTTTGTAATGCTACAACAGATGTGAAAGATTAGTGTTCTGCTCAGATGTGCACTAGGAAAGCATGGTAGTTGTGTCCCTATTTAAGAAATGACTCTGAATCTACTTGCCATGCAGCTATTACAAGCTAATAAGTAACATGATAAAAGGGTTCTGTTATCACAATATGGCAGAGCTGAGCACACATTAGGAAATCATTAAACATTTGTGGATTGATTCCTTAAGAGGTTTCTTTAACAGTAGCTTCCTCTACACACTTGCGAGTTTGTCAAGTATTTCATGATATGTACAGAGGAGGGGGTGAGGGGCTAGAAGGGTACAGAAAGGAAAATGGCAGCTAGTCACTGCAATATTGTTTGCAACTCTGGCAGAGGTCTGAGTTTATTTTATATTTTAGCTACAAGTACAGGTTTTCTCTTCCCAACTAAACTGTAAACTCCCTGAGGACAGAGGCTGTGACTTACAAATCATACATCTTTTATCTGTCTCAGTGCCAAGAACAATGTTTTGTATACATCACAAACATCAAATAAGATATGATGTAAATTGATGGGAAGTATGATTGAATCAGCAAAAATCCAGCAAATATATAGCTTTCTCAATTGTTATACTACATAATTGTTTTTTTTTTGGGGGGGCTAGGCAATGGGGTTAAGTGACTTGCCCAGGGTCACACAGCTAGTAAGCGTCATGGGTCTTGAGGCCACATTTGAACTCAGGTCCTCCTGACTTCAGGGCCGGTGCTCTATCCATTACAACACTTAGCTGCCCCTTCTACTACGTAATTGTTGTACGACATAAACAAAACCTGTACTAGGCCAGCAGGTGAGTGTTTCTTTAAGAAAGCGGACAGAAGCTAGTCCAGGTGGAGGCAGTGATTCCTGCTGGCTCCAGCATCTGTTACCTGTTTGAGTGTGAGTGTTTTGGCTTTCTCTTTGGAGGTCCCCATCTCCCACACACACACAACAGTGCTCGTCCCTCCTGTGATGACCAGCTTGGGGCTTGGGCAGATCGCACAGAGAATCTGTCCCCATTCTGACAGACATTCATAAACAGTTACTGCCTACAAGAGAAAACACATGTGAAATACAGACAGCAGCAGGTATTTTTCTTTGCTAAAACAAGTACTCGTGAACAGGGTGAATGACTACCTATACAAAGCAGTCTGTGAGGTGCCGTCTTTTCACTTCCAAGGGAAATGCCCCCCAGAAACATATTCCCCACTAGAAATATCTGCAACCTTTATGTATGGACTAGAGCTGTTCACACTGAAAAAAGGTCTAAGAGAGCTGGCAAAGAAGTAGGTAGACAAACTTTTTTTTTGGTGAAAAAAATTCTGTGATTTTCATGCCTGGAAAGTAGACTTAAAACACATTTTTTCCCCCAAATAAGTATCAGGGATGGAAGCATGGTGTGTCCCAGAGGTGTCAAGCTCTCATATCAAGTGCAGCCAGAACCAGACTAAAATGTCATCGAGAGATGTTTAACGAAGTAAATTAAAAGTTCACTGCAACACGGCTAATGCTGATTTGTGGTCTTCTGAGTTGCCCGCAGGGAATCGCTTCTATCTGAGTGTGACACCACTGGTCAGAATTCCAGACAGAATGTAGGCTGTGAATCAAAGCCCAGAGTGCTAGTTTTGACTCCCACACACTTTGGTGACCTTAGCAAAATGACTTCAGGTTTCAAGGCTTCAGTTTTCTCATATAAAAATGAGGAAATAGTAGTTAGATGAGACCTCAAAGGTCCATTCCAGCTCTAGAATCATGTGACTTTCGGCATAAGGGAAATTCCATAAAACAGAATAAAAGAAGTTATGACTAGAGTTGGAAGAGACATTTCTGATTTCATTTAGTCCAATTCCCTTCCTCTCTTTCCTCCCCATTTATTCCCAGACCACCACCATTTCTACTGCCTTAATCACCAGGGTCAAAGAATAATGATCATCTCTTTTAGTCAAACCAAGGCAAATAAAGTTATCGCGGAAATACCTTTTAGAGAAACAGTATCTGATTATCAATGTCTGATACTGAGTACCATTCCAACCACCTTGATGACAAGTCTGCTTACTTCTGCTGTGGCATGAGTAGCTACTAAGTTACTGATCAAATTTCCCAAAGGTGATCTAATAAAATCTTGAGTATGCACAGTTTTTTTTTTTTTGAGAGGGATGGCAAAGGGTGGGAGCACAGTGCTGGGTGGACCGGGGACAGGACTTAAATTTTTAGTAGCTACAACCAAAAACCCCATCTCTGCTTCATGTATATGCCATTAATGAATAATGCCGCTCATTCTTCATTGAGAAATTAGTTATGTATGTTTATTTCACAGAACAGAAAAATGAACTATAACAATAGCAGGAAAACATGAGCTTTCCTTTCAGTATTGCCTAAGGAAACATGTCCAAGCTCTTGGAAATATGCAACAAATTTGGAAGTCAGATTTCAGAATGTAGCATTTCTTTCCTTCTTATTTCCCCTTATCCCTTTCTCCAGTGAAATTCTGAAGGGAGATAACAAACCTTGTCTGACTCATAGGTTCCCAGTCTGCAGCTGAGATCTGCATAGCCCCAAGCAAAAGTTTTGTTCCAGGCAGGTGGAATGAGAACTTTATTCTGCTCCACAGCCAGAATGCCTTTATCAGTGCACACGATTTGTCCCACGGGCTCTTTCAGTTCTGTGCAAAACACATTCTGATATTAGAACAGAAACAGGGAAAAATCATATACGAACCCCACTAGGCAGTACCAATTATGAAGTATATCTTAAGTGATGATATAAATTAAACACACATAGCAAACACTAGTATTAAAGCACAATGTTCCTTCAGTAAAAAGGAATTTTGAATTTCCTTAGAGTCTATTTTAACTAACAGTATGATACCAGAGACTCTGGATTTAGGACCTCCCTACTGTCAGCTTCTCTGTGGCACTGCTCTCAAGCCTTTTTCTTTATGGTTACCACCTTCCTTTCTAGTCTACCACCTCTTCAGAGAATTCCTCCTTTGCAGGGTGACTTAGAGAACGTGAGCTTATTTGCAGCAGAATGCAGGGAGGGCCATTCACCAATCCATGCCTTAGGAACTATGAAGGCCAGATCCATTCTTATACCATTATTTGGCACAGATTCAGGAAAAGACTATATTGGAAGCAAGCAATGTGAACCTAGCATTGTCTCTGTAAATCTGAAATGATAACGTACATAATTTAATGAGTCAAGTTGCTCATTTAATATTAATATGAGATTTATATGTTTTATTTAAGTATGCAACAACTTGAGAATCTGATGAAAATGCAATTTCTTTCTTTCTTTTTTTTTTGGGGCGAGGCAATCGAGTTTAAGTGAGTTGCCCAGGATCACACAGCTAGTAAGTGTCAAGAGTCTGAAGCTGGATTTGAACTCAAATCCTCCAGACTCCAAAGCCAGAGCTCTATCCACTGTGCCACCCAGCTGACCCTGAAAATGCAATTTCTTAAAGGAAAAACAATCTAGCTGCAAATATGTTACTAGCTAAATTGTATTATGATCAGATAGTGGTTAAGTCTTTGTCAATGTGAAACAAAAGACAGGAATCATAGAAATCACCACGATATCCCATACAACATCCTGATCCACTGATCATGAAGACATAGTCTAACCCCTCATTTGATAGACGAACACTGAGTTACAATGAACATTTACAACTCCCCAGACTCCAAAAGTGCCTGCAGCTCCTAATGTCTGTTTCCCTCTTCTTCAGTACAAGGGATACTAACTTAAGATTGTAAGAATCCATCACTTTGAGGCTTTCCTTATTGGAGCATTTGGGGAAAAAAAGTCAAAGCAAAGCAGCTTCATATTCTGGCACAAAAAATAAGCAGAACGTGCAATTCTCTTTACACAGAAAGAAGGCTAGCCTCATTACGAGGGAGGACACTGGGAAGGGAGAAATATTCCATAATTAAAGGAAAGATAACCTTTTCATTGGCCCTTCACTCCAACCACACCTCTGCTCTGCTCTGCCCTTTCTCACCACTCACCTTTGACGGGCGCAAGGGAAGGCCGCAAGTTGTCTAAATGATGAAAAAAGATCTTGTCACTCGTAGACCCCGGCAGGACAGAGACCCCCGAATTGTCTCCATTGAGACGACTTCTCACTCGTTTTGGAGGATGAGGCTTTTTAAAGAGCTGGCAAGAGAGAAGAAGGTACAAGATAACATCTAGCCGATGGGGCTCTCACAGCTCCACTGAAAATTTAAGAATCTATAATAACAGATGGGAGGAAGATGAGAGTCCTAAGTAAAATCTGATTGGACTAGAATACTTCTGGTTGTCCATCAAAGTCTCACTTTGCTAAACAGGAATATTATAATCATTTATTTTTTTCTCTTCACTAGACCATAGCTGAATTTAAAAGAGCTGTGAAAGTTTCAAGGCATTTATTCAGAAGTACATTATATTAATATTATATGTTATATTATATATTACAATAAAGCAATAACTGAAAAACATCTGTATTTCTTTAGTGCTGAAAATAGCAATGGGAATGGGCAATTAACGCTTTTTGTCTGACAACTGATGACTGAGGAGATCTGAAACTTTCGGAGAAAAGCAGGAATAAAATAAGTCTATCTCATCATCCTACTTTTTTTCAAACCAATATTTTATTTTTCTGGGACAAAGTATTGACAAATGTAGTTTAATGAGGAAAGGCCAACATATTTTAGACCCCTAAACCTGTAAAAATCTTTATTTCCAACGTCACATTCCAAGATATGAGTTTAAGGTTTTGTTATCCCTACAAGTATTAATGAAAGGCATGAGAATCTAAAATAGACCTCAAAGATTCGCATACTTTGAACCATCATCACTGGGAGGCAGTGTGGTGGAAAAGAAAGAGAAAAAAAAATGTCTGGAGTCAGAGGCTCTGGTCTCCAATTCCAGATCTGCCACTGCATGACTCTGGGAAGTTAACCTTGCCAGGCTTCGGTTTTCTCATCAATAAGACAAAGGGACTGAACCAGTGGATCTCTGAGGCCCTTTCCAGCTCTAAATCACTGATGATTTAAACCACTGATGAAGCTGAGGACATAAATAACCCACTTTTCAATAATGCCATCAGGTTGGCAGGTGCCCTCCTCATGAGCCCAGGAAGGATGAAGCACTGGGTGAAGAAACTGAGACTCAGAAGGTAAGGGACTTGCCCATAATCATGCAGCTGGCATTCAGAGTGGGCTGTGAAGCCAGGGTTCCCGGCCTATTCTTACCTAACACTTTCATTACACCCAAGGGCAGTGGCTGGCATTTTAACTACCTGGTTCCTGCATATACTAACCAGAGGCACAGAAATGCTACTCTTGTATGTGGGCATCAAGAGCCATCCATTTTAATTCCTGAAAAACAACAGTTAAGTCTATACATAAGTATCCAAAGAAAAATAAAACAGCAACAAACAGATCTGGTGAAGGGAACAAGTCTGAGACAAGTGAACCCCACAGAGAAAGGATGACAATGGTGCCTGCTGCTATTCATTAAGGTGTCACCTCACTGCAGTGTGGAGGTGACCTGAGCTCCTGAGCCCTGGCCAAGTGAAGCCCAAGTTCTGGTTCACTCTAATCAATGGGAATGGGACTACATATGGACAGGCTTGAGGGTGATCAAAGACCAGCCTCCCTCAATCTGGAAAGCTCATCACTAGAAGGTGACAGTGTGGGTGAAACTTTACAACCTCCATGCTTGGGAAGACCCTCTATCATAAGGCACAGAGAGATTTCCAACGTGCACTGCTGGTAGGAGTGCTGGTAAAAACCACGGAAGCCCGAAGGACCAAAGAGGTCCCAGGATCACAGAGTTAGGGCTGGAAGGCACCTGAGGAGCCATCTACTCAAGGCCAGTTGTTTTACAGATGAGAAGACCAAGGCCAAGGAGGATAAGCGGCTAGCCCAGAGCTCCTCAGTGTCCAAGGAAGAATCTGAACCCATGCCACTTGAATCTAGAGCTCCTTCCTCTGCACCCAGGCCCTTGTAATAACAAGAGCAGTTGAAGTTTGTGTAAGGCGCTTCAGAGGGTACGGATAGCTTTACCTCCACTGTCTTGAGGCTCCCCTATTGTTAACCTATGAAGTCGACAGAAGGCCCCTGACTGTCCCCAATCCAGGCTTGTGGATTCCTGTCTTGGAATCACTGTCCCTGAAGCTGAGAATAGCCTCTTCTCCTCTCACCTCAACACAGACAGACGCCTTCTCCAGGGAGACTCCCAACCAGCCCCAACCAGAAACAAGCATTTCCCCTTTGGGCCTCACACATTCTTCTCTAATGCACTTCTCCTGCATTATTATCTGGTCCTTCTGCACTGTAAGGGTGGGACCACATCTTACTTTGTGCCTTCCATGACACTCTGTACAGACTTAACTAAGTTAAACTTAATGTTTACTAAAGCCAAGTCTCATTACTTTACAGATGAGGAAACTGCGTAATATCTGGAGATAGCCACGATTCTCTTCCCAATAGTCACTAGCTGGTAGTAGGGCTGCTCGTACCACATGCTTCTGGGTAAGATGGTGCCTCCCAGGCCTTATCAACAGCCTGGATACTGTGCCCTCTGGACACTGCCATCTGGCTGGCTTTGCCATCTGCCTTGCTGCTCCGCTCATTGGCTCTTCCATGAGTCCTACAGCTGAACCCTCTCAATTAGAGGCTTCTTTGAGTACAGGGGTTGTCTTGTTTTCCTACTTGTATCTCCACCACTTATCATAGTGCATAGCATATAGTAAACATTTATTCCATTCCATTTTATTTAATTCCCCTTCATTTTATAGATGAGAAGACTGAGGCCCAGAACAGTTAGGGGCAAAGCAAAGACTAACACTCAGGTTCTCTGATTTCAGGTCCAGTGTTCTTTTCAAAATATCACTCTGACTTTTCTAAGAAAATAGTGATAATTAGACACACAAACATGTGCGTGTATAAATACGTATGTGCACATATGAGTTTACCCGTGCACACATACATATATACGTGTATGTGCATGTACGCATGCATGTGTGATAGCCATAGCAAATGTACAATGAGCTGGGCCTAGAATTGTTGTACAGGATGAGAAAAGCACGAAAAATTGCCTCTGGTAAACTGCAAAGCTCTTTTAGTAATTCCAACTTTTTCTCTGAAACAAATGTCCATTTAAATTAAAAAAACAAACAACAACAATGACAACGACACACCAATACTCTTCCTAGTTTTGTGAGGCTGTGACAGATGCAATGCCAGGAGAGGTAAGGTGGGGAGAGGCCCTGTGGCCAATCTGTGGGAGCACTAGGACAAGAGATGGGCAGGATGGGCAGGTATGGATGGCTACACCCTAGAGTGTTGAAGAGACTGGTCACAGCAATGGGCTCACACATCCATTTTCATATACCCATGGCCAAAGAATTCATCACCTAGCAGCCCATGGGCTAAGATGGTCCTTCACGACGGTATCTATGTTAGGCCTCAGACAAAAGACAGAGGCCATTACAAGGAGAGTGCACAGTCTTTCTACTTGGGTAAAACCCACCAGAGCTGGTAGAACCTTTGAGAACTCAAGGTCACCCCTGTGCCATGATGAAGCTTTGGAAAAGCCCTTCTGTGCAGGTATATGCCAAACGGGAATAATAATACTTGCGCTATCTTCAGCACATGAGGAAAATGATTTGCCAACTTTAAAGAACTGAATGATGTGAGTTTCTATTACTACTATTATTCCTCTTCTATACTTCTTCCCTCTCTCTCCAAATTCACTATAGAAGGACTTGTAAGTGATAAGAATGATTTTTAAAAGAAGATGGCTCATCTGCCCCACTTGCTGCAACTTTGTAATTGCCAGGTGAAAAAATTCAGACTCCTTGCAAAATTCAGACTTGTTGGAAAACAAGCCTCATAGTGATGTTGCTGTTATTTTTTCAAACATTTTATCATTAATATAGATTTGAAACAGTCTGGTTAAAATTTTTTTTTCAATGTCATTACACAATTTATGTGACTCCTGAAGGAATTAAAATGGACTTAAGGATGTTCATCTTCTCATATGCTTCCTGATACTGGTTCTGCCTTCTGGAAGTTGAACTGTCTTAGACCTAGCGATCTCACTGCTAGGGCATACCCTAGGGAGAGTAACAACTAGAAAAGTCCCATCCACTTCTATCAGAATATCAATGGCAACACTTTGGGTGCAGCAAAGAACTAGGAACAAAGCGAATGCTCATTAGAGGGGAAATGGCAGAACAAATATATTAACGTACATCTGCGAACTGGGATATGTGCCCTAAGAAAAGACAGATATGAGGTATTCAGAGAAACATGGGAAGACCTGGATGAACGAATGCACAGGGAACTGAGTATATTAGGAAGAAGAAAGTATGACTTCCTTAAAGAGGGAGAGAAAAAAAGAGAAGGAGGGAAATGATGACAATGTAAAAACTAAGTCTTTAAGACTTAGAGAAAAAAAATTGTCTAGGTTCATGGAAAAACAAGTAAATGCGGCAGTTCAGAGATATGGCTTACGTTGGAAAAAAAAAAAGGGGATGTATTCGTTTCATTCCAAAGGGCTTCCTTCCTCTTTGAGTTGTTGCAATACAAATAAGACTCAAAACATAATTGTCCCTATTAACTAAAATTGTCCAGTTGACTCAGGCTCTGAATCTAAAAAGTCAATCATAACAAGTCACAGATACACACACATGAATAAGCAAACCCAGAGTGATGCACAGTCCAAGTAAAACTTGGTGCACAGCTGCTAGAAAGCAATTAGGGAGCTTCTCCAGGAGCAATCAGGACAGCAGTGCGTGTCCTCAGGCTTTGCATATTTCACTTGGAAACCACACTTTGTACTGGTCTTCAGATGACTGATTTCCTTAAACAACAAACTTATCTTCTTGGGTATTGTGAAGAGAACAAAGATGCAGGTTCCAGTGTAATGCTATTTACAGTTATCTCTCAATATCCTAAACTAAAACTTCTATGTGTGCATTTTTATCTGAAGGGCTGGTGACAGAATATTTAAAATATGGAAAACTGCATATGATCTTTTTAACGAACAATTGTATGAAAATTACCACAGCAACAACAAATCTCCAAGAAAACGACTGTACCTGTTTTGGTATCTGTCCAAAGTTATTAATGAATCCTATGGTAGCTGTCTCTTTTAATGGGTCATTTATGTTGTAGATATCAACTTGACCCTCATAAAAGAGGTGATGGAAGACATTGACAGCTTCTACCGCAGCAGGGCCTTGCTGTTTATAGCCAAAGATTAAGTCAATCCATTCGTGCAAGTGGGCACTCACATAATCACATTCCAAAGCCTGTAATTATAAGACACAGATGTTGTAGAGAGCAGGCGGACTCACTGATCGGTCTAAACTGTCCACTTAGAAAGTAAGTCACCAATAACCGTAACAAATAAAAGAACTGCTAACAATGAAAATCACAAAAATTAGATCAGTAACACAGGGTGACACATGGATCTCATTCCCCTCTCCTGGCATCATGACCGTTGCCCAAATGGAGTCTCCTGGGTTGCCTGCTTACCTCTCGATGGACTCGGATGAATTCTCGAGGGTCGCCTTTTGCCCACGGTGGAAGTATCACATTTCCAAGCTTGGTGCCATTCTGTTTGCAACCTGAACAAATGAATATGATTTTTTTTAAAATAAGAAACACACACACACACACACACACACACACACACACACACAAACAAAACAAAATACAACCAACCCAGGAGCAACTTCATATCTAAGTAAGAGTCACAGGAGGCTAGATAATGCTTGAAACATTAAATATTAGAGTTGATTTTGGAGAAGGCCTTTGAGCCTCCAGATTTGAGCCATCCCATTTGTCACACCTGGACTCTAAGCTTGAGCCCATCTTCTCTCAACTCTGCATGTACTCATGGAAGAATGTGTCAGACTTTTAAGGGGACATTTTCTACCAATTCTCCTTACCGTATGGCTTTCTAAAAGCAACTTAAGGCTGGCTGATTAAAATGATTATCAACTGATAATCGTGAGGGGGAAGCACACCAGGTGGGCTCAGGCCTATGGAATTAGGGAATCACCCCTAACTCCTCAGGGGTAAGCCTAGAACCCTTGGAGGAGATGCAGTCATGATCTAGGACCCAAGACACATCTGTGGGAGTGGGGATTAGGCTAAGACTTCTGTTCTCTAAGGGAGAGCTTTCAACCAGGCACAAATCTTTTTTTCTTTCACTACTAGCTAGTCTAGAGCAGCACTTCTCAAACTCTGTTTAAGAAGCACTGAAAGGGTCTCGAGTGGAAAAAAATTTAAGAAGCCCTGGTCTACAGTACTGATTGAGGTACTCAGTTTTCGTGTTTAGCCAGGAAATTGTAGGCTTCCCTACTGCCAATAAGACAAGCAGAAAGGATAGACCAAAAGTTATTCTGAAATCCACAACTGCAAACACTTTGGGATACAAATTCTTAGATTCAGTCACTGAACAAATGCTTCTTAGGAACTCCTACTAAGAGCAAGGCATTGTGCTAGATACTCTGGGAAGGGAGAGAGATAAATTCTTACTTTTCAAGAAGTTTATAATCTAACATAGTAGATAAGAAATATTAAAAAAAATTATCTGTAGTAAGGTGGCAGTACCCTCAAGCAATAACAAGCTTAAAAAAAAGTTAGGATAAGGACTAGCTAAAGTTTAATTTGACTTTTATGACATTAACTTCAGAATCTAACATAGTAGATAAGAAATATTAAAAAAAATTATCTGTAGTAAGGTGGCAGTACCCTCAAGCAATAACAAGCTTAAAAAAAGTTAGGATAAGGACTAGCTAAAGTTTAATTTGACTTTTATGACATTAACTTCAGCATATGTTCAACTATGATTTATTTGTGCATTTAAATAACTATAAAGTATATATCTCTCTGTACTTACTACCAAAGATCTGGTTCCAGAATTGCTGCTCTGGATGAATCTGGATTATGTCTTCGTTTTCATATATTTATTTTGATTTCAGAAAATATAAACAGATTTTTGTTACTCGCCATAATCTATTCTCTGCCATAGCTACTGATCTGAAAATCTTTTTTGGTAGGTCACTTTATGAACTTTCCCCACTCCAAATAATGCCAGGAACTTTTCCATACCTAGATCAAAGTTGTTCGAGTTGAGAAGGAACTCTGGGAGGTAAAAGAATTCCGGGATGAGTTCTTTCACGTCCGCCATGTTGTGCTTTGAAGCAGAGTACCAGGCTTCTCGCACACTGTGAAACATTCGGTCAGCCAGGTCAAAGTGGCCACCCTATGGAATAAAAAGGAAACAGCTTCAAAGCAGAGATCTTCCAAGCTAGGAACGACCACATTGTTGGCCACTCTGGTGACACTGCAATCTCCTAACTATTAAAATCAAACGCATACAACAAGAAATACATTTGCTGAATGAGAAAAATGACACTCTTCCTCTTACACAATTTTATTTTGTAATAAACAGAGTACTAAGAATGGGAAAAGCATTTTCTCCACAAAAAATTTCAGAAGCATATTCATTGTTTCATTTAAGGGCACAGAGTTTGAGAATAAAAGAGGAAAAAAAGCAGAGAATAACATCAGTGACCAAGAAGTAAATGGAACCCCCAAACCTTAATTTCAATGTGAAGCTGATGCATTCCATTTGCAGCATTTTATAAACCCCTGATACAGGCTAGGTCTATATTTGGAGTTTAGCTTGAAATCATGTTAGCTTGTATATACTGGGAAATCTTAAATTAGGTACTATGATGACCTTTTATACCAAATCTGGCCTGGATTTCTAATCAGTCTCAAGTCAGTGGGGCCTAGGCATACTCTGTCTCTTCACGTCTGTCACTCCTGTTTCACCTTTCTTCTTCTGACACAAGGTGCCATGACAAAGCAGGCGGCCTGACTTACCTGGAGTCTCAGGAAGATCTGAGTAAAAGGCTCCATCCTCACAAGGTATGAGGCTACGATCATTGCAGAGGAGTAGTGGGTGCCATAATGATAGGCCGGAGTTTCTCCTGGGAAAGAAAATGAAAACTGTAACTAAGACGTAATGTTGGCCATAGAAGAAAAGTTTAATAGGCCTGAAAAGGCCGACTCTGAAAGAAGTAACACTACTGCACGTGGAGGTTTCACTCCATTGAAAGTAAGCCCTCTTGTCCCTTTCTGTTCTGATTCTGCTTTCACAACATGACTAATGTGAAAAAATAACATTTAATGTGATTGTACATGTAGAGCCTCTATCAGATTGTATGCCGTTTTGGGCAGGGGAGAGGGAAAAAAAAATTTGGAACTCAAAATTTTATAGAAGTGAATGTTGAAAAGAATATTAAAAAAAAAAAGAAAGCAAGCCCTTTCAGACTTGCTAATGACATTCTGTGACCTCATTTAAATATGTGGCAATAATGCACCAGGCATGATTTCTCTACAGTCAAGCATTTTTGAATTAAAAATCACACTGTCCTTCTGCTAAAGGAGAATACTGAACTATATACATATATGTTTAATTTGTGATATTTAATGGCCTTGATGCTCAAATATTTTCTGAATTGTTGCCTATGAATTGTCTACTGTTTTTATGAATCAATCGACTAACATTTATTAAGCTCCTTCGATATGCCCAAGCACATAGGTAGTGCTGGGGATATAAATTCAAGGAATAAAACAATCCTTGCACTTAAGGAGCTTATTTTTGAGATACAACATATACACATATACATGTACAGACATAAATATATATGGAATGTAGAAAAAAATAAACACCAAGTATTTGGGGTAGAGAGCATCCTAGGCCTTGGTGTTGGGGGAAGTTGGCAGAGGTGCCATGGAGAAGGCAGTGCTTGAGCTCATTTCTGAAGGAAGTGAAGGATTCTCTTGGGAGGGGGGACATGCCGCTGCCGCTATGGGGATGGGTGGTGGCATGCCAGGAAGGAGAAACAGTAAAGGGCCAGGCCGGCCGGCTGGGGGATCCGAGTAATGTATAGTGAGGCAGTAAAAGGCTTTAAATGCCCAACGGAGGAGTTTATGTTTTGTTCTAGAGGCAGTAGAGAGCCATGGGAATTCACTGAGTAGGAGAGCACTGTGGTCAGAGCTGCGCTTCAGGAACGCCATTTTGGCAACTGTGCAGAGGAGAGATTGGAGCAGGGAGAGAAGTGACATGGGGAGATAAATTTTGAGGTCACTGACACATGGTCAAGGTGGGAGGTGACAAGGGCCTGTGAGAACAGAGAGGACAGGCACAAGAGACACCGTGGTGGCAATGGCTTGGCTGTGTGGGTGAGGGAAGATAAGGAGTCCAAGATAACGCTGAACCTTTTGATGGGAACTAGTGGTGCCTTCGAAAGAAATAGGGAGATTCTGAAAAGGGGTGTGTTTTTGGGAAAAGATAATGAGTTCTGTTTTGGACATGTTGAATTTGAGAGGTCTTGGACATACAATGTGGAACCTCTAATAGGCAGGAATCGATGTTGTACTGGGTTCAGGAGAGAGACTAGGGTTGGAGATATAAAACTGGGAGTCATGGGCAAAGAGATGGTAATTAAATCAGTGGCAGCCAAGGAGGTCACCAAGTGAGAGAAAGAAAATGAAAAGAGAAGGCCTAGGATAAAATCTTGTGGGATCCCTAATCATTAAGGGGTGTGATATGGATGAACAGTCAGCATAGACAGACTGCAGAACCAGGAGAGAGTAGTGTTAACAAAAACCCAAAATCACGAGGAAAGGGTAACTGACCATGCCAAATACTAAGAAAAGACCAACAGATTTGCCAATTAAGATGTCACAGACAGCTACAGAAAGTGCAGTTTCAGATGAATGAGGAAGTCAGAAGCCAGACTGTAAAGGGTAAGAGTGAGTGAGAGGAAATGAAGTGGGGGGTGATAGGTCTAGATTTATTTTTTCTAGGAGCTTGGCTAGGAAAAGGAGGAGAGCTATAGGACACCATGTTGCGAGGATGTGTAGAGAAGTTTTTTAAGGATGGGGTAACTTGGGCATGTGTAGGTGGCAGTGACAAGCAGATACTGAAGATCAGAAAGACTTGAGTAGGGAAGACTGAGGACAATCTATTTTAAAAGATGGAAAGAGATGGGATGTTGGTCTTAATGAGAAAGACCCCCTCATCAGGGCCTAGAGTAGAGGAGGAGAGAATGGAGGGTGGGGATCGTGTCAAGAGGCATTCAGAGATAGAGGAGAGGAGAAGGAACTCAGACACAGTTTCTCTTTAAAGCGTGAAGTAAGGCTCTTAGGTAGGGGGAGACGGAGTTGGGGGAGGTTTAAGGAGATAAAAGGTTTGAAATCTCCTTAAGGTAGAGTGGGACAGAGAATCAATGAGTGAGGGCTAAAAGAAAGTCCTCATTGTACGAGTACCAGTTAAGGCTAAACGATGCAAATTTGTAGTGGACTAAGACAGCCAGGTTTTGTGACTTCCTCTAGTCTGGTTCAGAAGCACATGAGCGGGCATGGCGGAGGTGGACACTGGGAGTAATCCAGGGGTGGGGTGTGAAAGGCACAAAAAAGGGACAAGAGAACTGAAAGTAAAGGACAGTGTGCAGCTGAATTGTTTAACTATGGGGTCAAGACAGGTGAGGGAGGAAAGTCAAGCCTGATGTTTTTAATAAAAAGCCATGTGATGAGAAAAGATGAAGTCTGGCATATCCCCTTCCCTCTCTTTGCTGGGATGAGATCGCCTGGATAGTTTTACTATGGCAATTCTCAACACTATTCAAGACATTTTAAAAGTCAAGGGCTTCTGTTTAATAAGGTGATCTACCTGTTCAAAGCAAGCATATTTAAGTTTGAAAGGATGGTACTGTTAAGTCAGAATTACTGCCAGTCCTCTAATATCCTTTTTTTTGGGGGGGGCAACTATGGTTAAGTGAGTTGCCCAGGGTCACACGGCTAGTAAGTGTCAAGTGTTTGGTCTGAGGCTGATTTGAACTCAGATCTTCCTGACTTCAGGGCCGGTGCTCTATCCACTGCGCCACCTAGCTGCCCTCTCTAATATCCTTTTGAAAAGTACCTTGCAATAATTCTATAGACCATTATTATCATTCATTATTATTATATATTATATAATTATTAATAATTATAGATGTTATTATCATTAACAATCCAATGATAATCATGGTAAAGGGTTATCTCATTTTGTCCCCACAACAACCCTGAGGTAGATGCTATGCCTATCCTCATTTTTACAGATACAAAAACTGAGGCAGGGAGAAGTCTACGGTTGTATAGCTACTGGCTGTCTACTTCAGGATCTGAACTCAGATCTTGACTCCAAGTCCCAGGGCTCTATCTACTGCGCTGTCTAACAGCCAAATGTAATTTCTCTATTTACTCAGCAACTGATTCATTCAGTCACTCAACAACCACTTATTCAGCATCTACCATACACAAATTATTGTGGTGGGGACTGGGGAAAATATCAGGATAATTAAGACCTGGTACCTTTCCTCCTGGACCTCACAAGGTTGTAGTGGGACCCTGAAACAGATGCACAAATAGGCAATGCGGTCCAATAACGAGAATGCAGAAGAGGATAGGAAACGAGAACAAGAAGAGTAAAAACTGCCAAGTGTACTGGGAGGAAGGGAATGTCATTTCTCACTGTGGGCAGCAGGGGATGATTTCTGGAACATGTGGCAGTAGAGCTGGACCTTGAAGGACAGGTAGGATTTTAAAAGGTAGTTGAGGAGGAGAGGTAAGGAAGAGCACTCTAGGTGTGGTGAACAGTGTGAGCAAAGACATGGTGGCGAGAAGATGCAGATATACTAGGAATTAAAATAAAATTTAGTTGGAGTCTTAGGATTAGCATCAAGGTTGGCAGTAGAAAATATGACATATAAAAGCAAGGAAAAATCTAATGGGGGCATTTGAGGAAATATTCAAAGTCTGGTTGGTAGACTTTAGACAGTTACTGATTCAGTTCTGAAATTTCCTCCCAATTTCTCCAGCCTTACCATTACTTACCATTAGGATCTTCCCAGTCTCTATAACGCTTCTTGTACTGAGTTAATCTTTCATCTGTCTGTGCTCCCATAGGCTTGGCTAGGTTTCTGAATGTCTTGGGATTAGTGAGATCAACTTCCTAAAATACAAAGCAAAAGCCAAATCCAAATGTTTAAATGCCCTTTGTTTTGACCAACATAAGTATAAACAGGTTGGGGCTTCAGCATGTGTGGGGATGTATATCTGTGCTCCAAAAGAGATAAATTCCAAGAAGCATCTAGAAGCATCTAGTACTACAAAACACTGGCTCCCAGTCAGCTAAGTATGTGTTACTTTTATGTCCATGCCAATACTACGTAGCAGATGTGACTGACCAAGTCATTCAGAAGATGAACACTTTGGAAGCGACCGCATATTCCCTTGAGAAAAGCACGCAGGTCAGGTCTGGCGTAAATGAACCACCTAATTCAGCATTTGTTAAATTACTGCTGTGCATGTGGAACTCTCCTAGGTGCTGGAGGAGGAGCAGTGACCCTCTGAACTCTGAATTGGGGCTATATGAAGATACTAGGTAAGCCTCTAATTCATTACCTTCTATAGTATCACACATAAAACTGTGGGGTCAGTCGCTCCAAGATGAGCTCTCAATGTTTTGATCTTGTAGATGATTTGAAAAAAGTGGAGGTGATAATCACTGGAGCAGCTATCTTTTCAATGTGTGTCTCCCTTTAAAGGCCAGGCAGCAACAGATGAAGTATTCTCAGGAAGGAATCTTTTTTTTTTTGGCCTCAGTCTAACGGAAATTGTTTCAGAGACCTAAAATTTACCTGATTCAATTAATTATCAATTGCTCAATCCAGCACATGAAGATTTCAGAGGTAGAAGTCTGAAATTTTCACCTATTTTATTTGTATCGGTCACTAAATCATACCGACCAGTCTTGGGCCTATTTAGTTCATCAGTATGGAACTCCTGGATTAGGAGACTCTTCCTTATGCCAACCATCGCCTTCTCCGCAGCGTACATCTGGAAAGTTGCCCAGGGCGCTTAGAGGTTGAGGACCACACAGTTGGTCTGTCTCAGAGGTGGGACCTGTGCCTGGGTCTTCCTAGCTTTATTAAAGGTTGGCTCTCTCTATCTATTATCTATTCTATGGCCTCTCCAAAAGCTCACAATCAGTGATCACCAAACAATGAACTTTTAAAATGTAAGGTCTGATCTGTGTAGTTCCTGGTTTTATGGAATGGAATTGGGCTGTTAAAGAATAAATTCACTTTTGTGAACATAAAGCCATGTTATTAGAACCTGCTCTCTCACACTCTGCTTCAACTATATAACCAAGCATAAACTGTAGAAAGTTTCATTGTTTCTTCTCTACCAAACAATGTCTTTTCTAGTCATTTTCTCCAATCCCAACCTTCAGAGAAGTCTTCACTGATTGATTTAAAGATGGAAAAAAACCCTCTGACCTTACCTCTGATTATTTCCCTCTCCCACTTAAATATTTTCTAGATGTGCACTTAGGTGCACAAATTATCCAAAAATTGTGTATCTTGTAAATTTCAGCAACATATGTATGCCTATCAATATATTTTATCCTCTATTTTGTCTCCTCCTTTTTTCCTTTCTTTAAAATGTCACCACCCTGAGGACAAGGACTATGCCCTCTTTTGTCTTTTATGAATCACTACAAAAGGGAGGACTTTCTGGGGAGCAGTGTTGTCCAACAGAAGTTCTCCCCTGACATAAAACCCAACAACAAACCAGTGTGATGAGTGGGGCATGCACCATCTAGCAGGGTAGATTACACAAGCTGTATAAAATTCAGGTGCAAAGTTCCCTTCCTTCCTTTTGTTCTGCTTTTGGTTTTTTAAATTGATTATTAAAGCCTCACTGGATAGAAACTAAAAGGAAAGAGAAAAGATGAAACAAATTTGCCCCTTTCGGTAATGATCTGAATCCACTTTTCTGTGCCACTTAATACAAAATAACTTTTCCCCCCTGACAGTAATGTTTTCACTGAACAATACTTTCAGTATTTCTGAGCACCTTAAGAAATCTCCATATGCTGACTTCTGTCTTTTCCAGTGCATACTACTTAACTAAATTTGAATTTGTGAATTTAAATTGGTGGAGCCCCACTCCATAGCTGGAAGAGACACTGGGTCAACCACGTGAACATCCTCCCTTTCCTTCCTTTTAGAGATGAGGAAACTGAAGTCTGAGTGAGACGTTCAAAGTCACCTAGGGAATAAGGGGCAAGGCCAGGATTCGAACTCAGTTCCTGTGCCTTAAGTTTGGTGCTCTTTCCACTAGTTCCTCCTTTGGTCTCTCCAATTATCTTGAATCACTGCCATTTGACCGTAACCAGCAAGAAGGAATTAACAGCCAATCAGACGGCCGCAGAACAGGCTCCCGCCACTAATTCTGGGGCACAGAAGGCGGCTTGCCAGTGATGCTGGAGAAGCGGTGGTGATGGGGTGCTGGAAAAGTCTTAGAGCAGTTTTAGCTAAGCTTTAATGGCTTCAACGTGCTGCAGTGGCTCCTGCTTCATGGCTTCACCGCTGCACTGACTTCTGGCCGAGACGCGGATGCTACTGTGGTCTCTCCAGATGACTCAGACAAGGTCCAAAGCCCCTAAGAGGGACAGGAGAAAATGCTGGGCAAACACCTGCCTCCCCCGCAGTGAGTGCCTTGTGCCGCGCTATCGCCTGAGATTAGCGACAAAGACTTTGCAGAGGGTGGTGAGACTGCTGAAGACGTCAAACAGAATTGAGGGGAATATTTCTTGCTTCTCATGCTGCATGACTCCATATGTTGATGACATGCTGGGGAGCTAAAATAGATTTGTGGGGCCAGACCTGAGATTTCCATGGCATATGGAATCCCAGTGAGACATCTGTCTACGAATGCAGATCAGCACAACTTACAGCCTTCAAAGAGTGACTTGGGTCATAGAACACTGTCTGAGGCAAAACCTGAAGCCAGCTCTTCCTGACTGCAAGGCCCCCTCTCTCTGTATTACCCCACAGTGAGGCTTAAGCAAAAGCCAAAACAGTCAAGGCAACAGCATTGATTTCTATGTGAGGTTAAAAGCTAAGAATATAAATACAAGCAATAAAAGATACTAAGAACTAGTAACAATATACGCAAAATAGTAAGGCTCTAGAATTGATAGAAACACATATTAGGGTCCTTCAAAACCGCTATCAACTGGAAAAAAAATGAAGTAAATAAAAATTTAAGAAATTGGAATATCTTCTTCATTCTTTTAAAGTTGTGTTCTACTTCAAGAGAATAATGAGAGATTTACCTGGGAGTCATAGTCTGCTAGGACCCAGGGGAAGACCGGGTACTGCATGAGATCATTGTAAGATCTGCCAGCCAAGGTGTTCAAGTGCATCAGGTACTGGAAATTGCTGATTTCCCCTCTCTTCATAAAGAAAAATAAATATTACTGTTGCAGCTCATTTCAGTATATTCAATTCCTCTGACTTTTCTCATCATCATAGCTCTTACATTTTATTTTACACTTCCAATGTGGCTGCATCAGAAAGTATATTTTTGTGCACTGGTCCTTGTTTCAGGTTTTAATTACTAAATAATGTTACTTAATTACTAAGTAATTACTAAACAACAGTCAAAATAATTTTTTTAGTATAAAAACAAAACACATTCCAAAACAAAAATGTTTGAAGAATGTATTCTGTAAACCTTAGCAGAATAAAGCATGGCTTAAGTGCTTTCCTGACTGTGTGGTCACAAAACTTTAAATTATAAACTATCAGGAAAGATTAACTAATTTGCATTAAGCTTACCTCCCATCTCTGTGTTACAGACTTCTCGCCTACTAAAGTGCTAAGCAGCCCAGACCTAGGAGGTAAAGAGACGTAAGACTGGAGAATGCCGTTTCAACTCTGAGTACTAACAGGCGATGATAAAATCTCAGTGCACTATCTGTTTAACGCAAGGATTTTTACAAAGGTCACTGTGATTTGCATAATTTCAAACTGTGTACTTTTGACTGGTCTGGACTCATTATAACGGAGGCCAGGTACAGAGGCCAGGTCTAGACTCTTCATAATGGAGGAAGCCAGCAGAAGTTCAAGGGGGAAGTTCCCTAGCTATCCTGTGGAATTTAACAGAGGAAATCCCTCAAGTAGAAAGCAGGCAAGATTACAAGGGGAAACAGGGCTGATGGGGGAATAGAACACCTCCCACTCCCCCTTTCTGCTCTGCCACCCTGCCAGGTAGACAGAAAGAGCATAAAATTTTCTTTGTTTCATGCATAACTGAGGCTTTTGCACTGATGACACGGTGTCCAGTGGACAATTTTTTTTTTTTTGGCGAGGCAGTTCGGGTTAAATGACTTGCCCAGAGTCACGCAGCTAGTAAGTATCATGGGTCTGAGGCTGCATTTGAACTCAGGTCTGACTCCTGGGCCAGTGCTCTATCCATTGTGCCACTTAGCTGTTCCTGGTATTGTCATCTTAAGTAATTAAGTTAACCTAAGGCCTTTGGGCCTTGCCATCAACTTTGCAGCAGAACTTTCTTCTAAAGTGCTTTCTTTCCCAATTAGAGTGTGAGCTACCTGAGGGCAGAGACCATCTAGCTTTTTCTTTCTGTATCCCCAGCACTTGGCACATAGTAAGTGCTTAATAAATACTTTTTCATTTATCCATTCATTCTACCTAGCACAGGTTCCTGTGCCTCTTCTGACCTGATGACTCTCCTACAGTGTGCAGGCCTGTGTCAGCCTCCCGCCATATTCTATGGTTTCCATTGGGGACAGGAAGGCAAGGGAAGGTCTTAGATTTCAATTGAATGAGAACCATGACAAGGACAACAACATGACTCATCCCTACTCTACATTCAACACATCTCATAAGCTAAATAAACCTTTTCTCCCTCCCTTGCTTCTGCTCGGCTAATCGTCCACACCAACCAAACTCCTAAGTTTAGGAGAGCTTCCCTAAGATACCCACCACAGTGCTATTTACCCATCCTTGATCTGCTCTGCAAATATCACAAGTTTTACATTTAGAATTATATGCAGAAATGAATTCGTAGTTATAGATTCTTGGTTGGATGGGCACAGAGGTCCATTCCATCTGAGATCCTGTAATTCTAGAGTTAGTAATTATTAATGAGGGGAGAAATACTTTTGAATAATGAAGAAAACTTAATGCTCACAAGGCATTTATTTATAAATTACCGCAGTTCACATACATTGTCTCCTTTAATGCTCTCAACAACCTTATAAAAAAGGTGTTATTATTAGCTCCATTTAAGGCTCAGGGAAGTCACCTGCCTTGCCTAGGGTCACACAGCCAGGAGTTTACTGAATACCCAGCCCTCAGTTCATTATACCAGGCTGCTTCTGAATACACCTTGGTTATGGAAAACTATTCAGTTCAGTAACAAAGACACTACATTTTCTCATTCAGTAATGAATTTGTAAGAATTAATGAAATACACTAGGATTTGAAACTAAGAAAAACAATGAAAAAGTGATATTGAAACTGGAAATGAATTCTTGCTTCTCCCCACGAGTTTATAACAGTTCTTGGAAAAGTACAGATTCATTGAGAGTAATGAGCCTTGCACCTGGCAAGTGTAGAGATTATTTAGGCAACAAGACAGGTCATGATACGGTACTAAAATATGACTACCAGTAAGGAAAGGAAAAACATGCTCTAAGAGAGTTGTTGGCCTCCTGTATTTCCTGTGACAATTAAAAATGCCCTGTGAAGTTAGAAACAGTGACATATCTTGTATTCCTTCCTGTTAAGCTATAGTTATAGAAAATAAAAAACTAGTTACTTTAATATTTTTAATAATATACACAACTGGCTTTTAAAAAGTATCTATTTAAAACCACATGGATTAGAATCAGATTATAATTTCTATAGCAACCATAAAGAATTAGAAGAGACTTCTAAAGCCGTCTGGCCTAACCTTCATGAAAATCCAGGACACAGTTACTGAACTTACAGTAAATCCACCATTTTCCAAGAAAATACTTAGGGGCTTGTTTTATTCCCATGTACTATGAAGTACTGTCAACTTAAGCTGTGTCTACCAACTGTGAAAGGGGAAGAGGAATGTGGAATGCTCAACTGGCTTTTCTTTTTTCCCCCACCCAACAGGAATACACTTGATCTCCCAATCACTGGGCGATAAACTTACCCTTGTTCCACGCTAGTGTTTGGTCGCTGCCCAGACACAGATTCTGAACTGTCTGTCAAAGACGGCACCACAGCCAAAAATCTGGATAATGAAAAACAATAAGTATTTTAGAAACCAAATCAAAATCTGTATTTACACAGCATATATTAAGCTATTTATTAAAAAGATGACATTGTAAACTACAGATTGGCTTGTTGCTACCACCTAGCTTTTGCCTGTTTATTCAATGCTGTTACTCAGTTACTGTTTGGCTCTGGGAATATGAAATAATTTTCACAGGAGCTAACAAAAAAAAACCCAAAAAACCTCCAACACAATTATGTTACACACATTGGAAAAAATCAGGAATTTCCAAAGCCCAATGTAAAGACTTTTCCTTGATAAGATTTTAAAAATTATTTTCCATATTCTTCTTCATTAGCAGAAATTCTCATCAGTTGTCTGGTTTCAAATGAACATTCACTAAAAGGACTTGAGATTTCTTAAATGACTATCAGATAAGAAGCCCAAGAATTGATCATGGGAAACAGCTGTGGGGTGGGGTGTTTGGGTTCAAATATAAGTTTTGTCACTACCTTCTCTTGATCTGAGTTTCTTTGTCCAGAAGTAAGTTGCCTTAGATAAGTGTGTATGAGTAAGTTGAGTAAGTTGCCTTAGATAAACTCTGGGATCCTTTCCACCTTAAAATTTATGATTTTAATATATGTTCACATAGTAGCTAATAATGTAAAATTAATTCAGTAAATAATGACTTTTAGTTGACTTTTATTCATGTGAAGCTACACAGGAATTTTTCTAAACAATAGTATTATAGAATGTTTTGTAGAACAGCCAATGATGTTCAACATGTACATTCTGAAGTATAGGAAAACTCACGAGATCTCATACTCCCTCTGATTTGAATGGAGTATCTCTTTCCTCAGAAATTTCTCAGAGAAAGATAAGCTTTCTTATTTTTCACTGAATTCCTTCATTTAGTACAGGCAGTGGGCAATGATGGATTCAAACATGGGTATGGTCAGATTGAAGAGGATGGGGGTGAGAAAGTATGAGGTTAGGACAGGGGACAGATTTCTCCTAAATGGCTGCTAATTAATTATTATAGGGATAGGAAGAGAAACAGGAGAAACCTTGGAGTAATAGTGGAGCAGATGGGAAGAGAAGCTTGCAGTCTCCAAGGGATAAAGCAGAGAGTAGTGCCAGGCTTACATCTGTTACCCTGGAGACTGACAATGGGGCTTGGGGCATCTGAGTTCAGTTGGACAGCGATCTCCATTGCAGAGGTAGCTGGTTGGCAAACAGGCCAGTGTCTGGGTCAGAGCAGGCTCTTCTAGGCTGCAGGTGGTTCTACTCTCCTACCAATTAGTTGCCAAATTTTTCTATTCATATCTCTCAGCAACTGACTCCTCCAATTAAAAGTACTCAGCTGCTAAGTCACCAGAAGAGTGAGTAGTATTTCACCAATTAAAAAAAACTATGTAACAGAGTAATAAGACAAAAGCTGGCCCTACTACTGATCTTTAGACATTGGCAAAGTTGTAGCATTAGTAATTTCTTCAAATTGGATGATACATGGATCTAAATTCTAGGCTTTTAACTACTAAGCTTTTCAGTGTAACATAGGCCCCCCAAAATAATATATATTAGAAATATTTTCGAATGGATGAGACCTCTGGTAGACTTTGTTTCTAACTCCTTTCTGAAAAGCAAGAAGATAATTCCGTCCATCTCCTGAGAAAACTTCCACAGCAATAGGCTGGAAAAAAAAAGAAATATGAGAAAAACACAGTTATGAAATCATGTTTCATAAACATAGAAGCCACATACAAACTTCTGAATTTCCAAGCTTTAGAAACAACAGAGTAAAGATTTCAGGCCATCCTTAGCAAAGGGTACAAATGCATGAGATATGGTGGAGTTAAGATCAGTAAGACCTGGCAGCTTACTAAATGTGAGAGATGAGGGGTTGGGCTGGTGTAAAAGGTGATGCTAGAGCTAAGCAAGCCCTGAAGAAAGCCAGGGATTGTAAAAAGTAAGCTCCCAACAGAGAGACCTGTTGCACCCCAGCAGTTTGACTTCTTTGTTGAGTTTCCTAGCTGTTGAGTCGAATAACAAATCTGATCATTCCTGTAGCTATGTTGCAAAGAGGAAAACACAGGCAATAAAGTTACATAAAATTATTAAAGCACATTTATTAAATAAGGAAAAATAAAGTTTCAACAAAGAAGTTTAGAACTCCTTCCCTGTCCCTCCCTCTCTTCCTTCTTTCCTGCCAATACGTCTTTGTGAAGCACCTTCTCAGTGCTATGGTACAAGGTGCTAGGGACACAAACAGAATGGAAATGATTCCTGTGCCAAAGTGCACCAAATATTCTACTAGAGGGAAACAAATATGTACACAGATAAGTAAACAGAAACTATATATAAAATCAATACAGAGTGATTTCTGGCAGGGTTCTAGCAGCTGGGAAGGAAGGCTGGGTGGCGGAACGTTAGATCAGATTTGAAAGTTTCTACAACGTCCAAGTTCCCAAGAGGGAACAGCAAGGAGGCAAACTAGACTACAGCATAGGGATGTACAAAAAGCCTGGAAAGGTAGGATACAGTCAAACTGGGAAGGGCTTTAAATGTAAAATAGTAGAGTTTTTAATTTTATCCTAGATAAAGTAGGGAACCAATAATACTTCTCATGCAGAGGAGTGAGTATGACTTTTGGAAGCTGCACAGAGGGGTTGGGGAGAGATGAGACAGGCGGGAGACCAGTCAGGAGGCTCCTGCAACAGTCCAGGTGGAAAGTGATGAGGGCCTCAAGGACAGTGGTAACTGTCTGAGTGGAGTGAAGGGGACAAATGCATGAGATATGGTGGAGGGGAGATCAACAAGACCTAGTGGCTTACTAAATGTGAGAGATGAGGGGTTGGGCTGATGTAAAAGGTGATGCTAGAGCTAAGCCCTGAAGAAAGCCAGGGGTTGTAAGAGGTATAGGTGACAAGGGAACTTATTAGAGGATTGACATAGTTAGACCTGAACTTTAGGAAAATGACTTTGGCAGCATAGGGAGGTTTGAGATAGAGAGACCAATTATAATGCTACTGTAGTCATCCAGGAAAGAGGTGAGGCAGGCCTCTATGAGGGTAGTAGCCTTGGGTATGCAGAGAAGGGAATGGTGAGAGAAGTTGTGGAGGTAGAAACACAAGATTTGTCAACATGTTGGCTGTATGGGGTGAGGGAGAGTGAGGAGTTGAAAATGCTAACATTGAGAATCTGGTTGACTGGAAGAATGACGGTGCCCTTAACAAAAATTGGGAAGTTTAGAAGAGGGGTGGGTTTTGGGGTAGATAACGGTTCTATTTCATATTTCAGTTCTATTTTCACTGAATTTGAGATGTCTCTGGGACATTCATTTGGAAATGGTTTAATAGGTATGTCAGACAGGAAATGTCTTAACAGGATAATGTTTGCCTAGAGCTCATGAAGGAGATTAGGGCTAGATATACAGAGCGTGTGTGTGTGTGTGTGTGTATACATGTATATACATATATATATACACACACACACACATACATATATACACACACATACATATACACACACACATATATAGTTGTTTAGTCAATATATATATAGTTGTATAGTCAATATATATAGTCAATGTATATAGTCAATACACACACACATAGTTGTTTAGTCTATATATATATATATATATATATAGCATGTCCCAAAAGTTTTAACCTATTAAAGCTTATTAAAACAACTTTAAAGCTTAACAAAATTAAGACCTAAAAGGTTAAACTGCACTAAGACTTTTGGGACAATGTATGTGTGTGTGTGTGTGTGTGTGTGTGTGTGTGCGCGCGCGCGCGTGTGTGCGTGTCTAACACACACATACATATAGAACAATGAGCATAGTAATTATAGTTAAGCCCATGTGAGCTAATAAAATCAGCAAGACAGTATGGAGAAGAGAAGGCACAGAGTAAAGCCTTGAGTAAAGGGTGGGATATGGAAGATGATCCAGTAAAGGGGATGGGAAAGGAGCAGCCAGACAAGTGGGAGAAGCAAGAGGGAGCAAGGTCATGAAAACCTAGAGAGTGAAAAAGATGGACAGCTGATAAGAATAACAGCTACACTGTGGCCTATTTTTTTAAATGATATGCAAGACATACCCTTACATAGAAAAGGAAGAATTTTATCTATAGTATGATTAAATATGAAAAATAGTCATATACTTTATAATAGGCTTTTACAAACAGTATTAAATCTCAGAACTAAAATATTATAATAAAGTTTCCTTTAGTCAAACAAAACCCACCTGCAACAGGTACCTCCTTTTATGAACTTCCTTGATATCCTCATATGCAAAAATGCTGCAGGACCTTCTGAGCTGACTGGGACCTTGTCTCGCTCCTCTTGGAATAATTGGCTCATGCATGCTGTTGGCAGTCAAAACGGATGATAAACACGAATGTAAACAATGACAAGGTCATCGGTAAAAAATGGAATGTGTCATTTGCAAAGCCTGTTCTGCAGCATCAGGGATGGGAAAATATTATTTAACAAAGGCATAGTTAAAACAATTTTATATAAGGCTGAAAATGCAGTTACCAAGTACCTGTAGACTATATTTAATACCAGTGAGCCTTAACGGTGACACACAATTTAAAACATACTATTTGTGTTACTGCTGTTAGAAGTAGTGAAAAGGTTCTAATGCAGTCTCTGAAAAATAGACTCTAGGGAGCGTGTCTGCATCTTTTATTATGCCTCACAGTTCAATGCTGCTCAATCCTGTGGGGAGTGAATTGTGTACCTTCTAATGGACCAGAGAGTGCTGGGCTGGAGGACACAAAGATCTAGGTTCAAATTTCTCCTCTGGTGACATAATCATCATCATCATCATCGTCATCATCATCATCATCACCATCATCAAGGTAATTAATAATTATCATCACCTCATTCTCATTTCTTGATAGTGTTCCGATAGAAACAAACAGCCTGAGAATCAGACTTCTCTTATCTGTAGACCTTTTCACAGGGGGATGAAATGGCTTCTTTTTGCAATTAAATAAAAGCACTAGGCTGTCAGCTCTTGCTCTTAAAGTATCTTCAGCATGGCTCTAGGAACAGATGTGAGGATGGGGATGACATATACTTCTCTCCGTGCTGGGTTTTTATTTTTTTCTGCTAAGTCTCTATAGTTTCAAAGTTTTTCATTTCACGTAGCTTGGAGATTAGGAATATTTTGTATGGTGACAGCTATTAAATGTTTTTTGGTAGATTCTTAATTTCTGCAATTTGCAGTGGCATCTTGCCTAGTTTCTAGCATAAGCTGTATTGATCAATAAGCCTGGGCTCCTTAACAATGACTCTTTAGCAATTTCTAGTAGCAAAAACCTCCTTCTGAATTCTACAAACACATCCACACAGCCCTGCAGTTTGTTTGATGCTTCCTTGTTCACATATTTTTGATTGGGTTCCTGCACATGTTGTCTAAAGAGGGGCCTTCTGATTTCACTCCTGGATTTTCACAGGCTCTTCACAGGGGTAAGCCATTTTCTGTGACATTCAATACATAGCATGACGAGCACTTGTGTTAGCCCTTATTATCGTTTGATGAAGTGCTGTCTATACCAAAAGAATTTCCGTAAGGTTTTTATCATGGACTCTCTTAGGACAATTTTCAAATTTGTTGTCTCTATACTGATATTTCATAGGCATTAATTGCTTTTAAAATGCTCTTTCTACAGAGTTTTGATTTCAGAACAAGAGTTAGTCTCTAAATATGCACAGCCATAGCTTTTTCCTCAACAGATTTACATTTAATTTGTCTTGACTGGAGAAGACCAATGTATTTGTAATTGTTGCCTTCGTGCACTGGTTTAATGTGACCCCTTGATTCAAGCTCAAAGCCTTCATTATCTATTTTTCCTTGATCTACACAAGAATTTTACACTTATCACGTCCACAGAATATTTTTACATCAATGGAGAAAGATACTACAAGATGGAGAACCTGCTTTTGTGTGTGTGTGTGTGTGTGTGTGTGTGTGTATGTATGTGTGTGTGTGTCTGTGTGTGTATGTGTGTTTATGGAAGCCCTATAACTCTACATCATCGATGCACAAGTTATTAATAAGATGCTTATGTATGGCTTCTTCTTTAACTTCAAAGCCAAACTTGATTCTATTTGGGGAGATGACAGTGAGCTTAAGGCCAAAGAGAACTTCTATAAGCTTAAAGACAGAAGCTATGTTTTATTAGTGTGCTGGTGGCATTTAACAATAAAGAAATCTTCCACATGGATGTCGAATGCTCTGATACTCTCGCTACACTTGAGATTGGTTTATATATTTGCAGGACGGAAATAAGCCATTCATTCAGAACTCGGTCAAAAGCTTTGCCATTATCAGCAAAGGCAGGATAAAGGTTAACCCGTTTTCACAGAATAATAAAATCTTAAAGTTGGAAGAAATCTCAGCGGCCAACTAGTGCAACACATGTAGGAAAGGAGTCCCTCCCATGACATATTTGACTTCTGCTTCAAGATTTCCAGAGAGGAAGAACATCGTCCAGGCAGGTCTTTATTGCTTATTCAATAATTGCTAAACATACAACGAATCTCTCTTTATACCCTGGGGCTACGTTCAAATAAGACAACATCAAGCTCAAGGACTGGTTAATGTGCCCATAAGAAAGCTGTGTTGAAAACCAAAAAAAAAATCAAAAGATTTATGCTTCAAACAGTTGTTAACTGATGTACTAGCAGAACTAAATCAGCTCTTACTATTTAGCTGTTAATAAATGCTTCTGCTAAGACCCAATGTGCAAGAAGCTCATTCATGTGGTGAAAAAAAATGAGGGTGGGAGATGTGAACTTCCTTTTATAATTACTAATAAAAACAATAGCTGATACTTGCCTAGTACTTTAAGATTTTCAAAGACTTTTCCTCCTATTATCTCACCTTACCTACATAACATCCCTGAGAGGTGGTATGATTCCCATTTTATGGGTGAGGAAAAGGAAGAGTAGAGAAGTTAATTCAATTGGCAGCGGTCACAGCTCATAAATGTCACAGGTGGAACTTACTGGCTGTATGACCACAGGCAAGTCCCTTTACCTCTCTGATTCTGCTCTTTTCATTTGTAAAGTCGGATGAATGATGCTTCCAGCACCTTCCTCACAGGACTGTGAGGGCCTGTGCAAAGTCTTTTTAAAAGCATGACACGAATGTCAGTTATGATCATCATACAATCTGATTACAATTGACGCCTAGGCTCCTGGCTTCTTGGCTTCCCTTGGGCGTTGGCTGGCCTTTTGACCCTCTCAGTGCTCACTGTCACCTCCTTATTAGGATGGAGGGAAGCGTGGTAGAGAGGAAAGAGTATGTACTTGGAGTCAGACGATCTGGGTACAAACCCAGCTCTTCTACTCACTACCTGTGGGACCTGAGCAAGTCACCGACCCTGTCAGGACGAAATGTCCCTCCCTGAGCAATGAGGGTGTGGATCAGAGGACCCCATGTCCCTTCTAGTTCTAGATCTGTGTTCCTAAGAAAGCAGAGGGAAAACCTGTCAACTAGTAACTTCCTGGTTCTATATGAACCACAAGGACAGTCCACTTTTCTCTGGTGGTCAGAGTATATGAAAAGGCCCGCTTTCCTATCATGCCTCAATCATAAAGCAATGTGGACTTTCTGTAGAGTTGCATAATATTTGAAACAAATTTTACATTTGCAAATGTAGATAATTTAAACAGAAATTTCAAATTGTCTAGCGCAGACTTTGACTCTGATTTTGGCCAATCTAAATAAAGGCTTTCTAGTGTACTTCCCCAAATAAATGAACCTTAGTAAGACACGATCACCAATTTTCTCAGCACCTACCACAATACGTTGCACAAAGTAGGTACTTTATAAACGTTTATGGAATTAAACTGATGCATCAAGTGATTTGAGTGATTTTTCCCCATCTGCTAATTACTTTCTTTGACTTACTTTGGAGGCAGGGTCTCAATATCCCGAATCTCCCTGGTCGCTGTCATTGTAAACCCATCAATCACGTAGAAATGCTCTTTACCAAAAAGAAGGAGGCCTTCACTGGTATCCAGGCCTTGGACTCGAGCACAGCGATACATGTGCTGAATCTATAGGAAAATCATCAATTTTCAGTGGACACAGGCTAACAAAGCTTGGATCATCAGTTAGTTTTCTCACTAATATTATGAAATAGGATGCTCTTAACTATAGTCACAAAATATATTAAAGCAATCTTATGATCTTCTGGACTTTCCTAAACCTTCCTAGGTGGACAGGACCCAAAAGTTGTCCTCCCATTTATTTATTATTGTAAACAAACATACGAAATCATATCATTTGGTACATCTTGATTTATTAACATTTAATGTTACTTTTTTTCTCAATTGCATGTAAACAAAACATTTTAACACTAGTTGTTTTTTTTTTTAATTTTGAGTTCCAAATTCTCTCCTTCCTTCCTCTCCCCACTTCTTGAGAAGGCAAGCTATTTGATACAGATTATACATGTACAGTCATGCAAAATATTTCCATGTTAACCATGTTGCAAAAGAAAACTTGGGCCAAAAAAACCAACCAAACAAGGATAATAAAGAAAGTTTTAAAAAAGTATGCTTCAATTTGCATTCAGACTTCATCAGTTCTTTCTCTGTAGATGGATAGCATTTTTCATCCTAAGTCTTTCAGAATAATTTAGGATCATTGTATTTCTGAGAATAGCTAAGTTATTCATAGCTCATCATTGCACAATATTGCTGTTACTGTATACAATGTTCTCCTGGTTCCGCTCATTTCACTTTGCATCAGCTCATGTAAGTCTTCCTAGGTTTTTCTGAATCTGGTGCATCTTTAAAAAATTGTCTCTAGACTATTTTAACATAGCAGTATTTGTCAGACCTTTCTAAACTCCTTTGGGCTACACAACTTAATAAGACACTGGGATTTAAGAAGAAATTTAGAGGAATTAAGATCACGTACAATGAAAAAGAAGCTAAAGAATGTTTCAGTAATAATCTTCAGGCATATAAAACATTCATGTTATAGAATACAAGTAGTTTTCTGATGCCAATGCATATGAAGCTTGTTTTATACTTCAGTACGCTTTTGATTTTTACCATTAGCATTACCTTTGTTTTTTAATGAGGATACCCAAAGCAAGGAAATAGTAAGAAAGCACTTCACTGTTCCTAATGAGTTCAACTCACCAAACTTGGATGAACTATACCTTTAAGTACTAAAAGAATTGACAGATATGATCCCTGTGCTACTGTTAATGACCTTTCAAAGACTGTACAGAAGAGAAGACAAGAAATTCTCAAATTTTCAAAAAAGCAAAAAGAATAGAGCCTGCAAACCATGGGCCATTGAGTTTTATTTCAATTCCTACATAAAAGGGAGGGCGAGCAATGAAACATGTACACTGGGCTAAATACATGCTAAAATCTATTAAGCTAAGGATGAGCTAGGTATGGAGGCAAAAAATAACATGCTGAGTGCCTTGATGGGATAAGAGAAACATGCTAAATTTTAAGCTACCCAGGATCGTGGAGGAAACTGAATCACCTAGATATGTAGATGGAGGAGGAGCCCTGGAAGAAGAAATAGTTTTTCCAGAGACCATAGGGACAAGGAAACTGGATGCCTGAAGGAGGAAGTAGGCCCAGATGCCAACCTGAGTGACAAGTCAACAAGAAGAAACTGACTATTTGAAATGAAGATGAAGAGGGACAGCAGTGTACAAGCATGTGTGAGTTATCTCTGTGATGACGGACTCATGGCCTGGGCAGTCAAAGTTTCAGGCCAACTGTTAAAAACTACTAAGGCAGGACCGACAGTGGGAGTGGTGAGGGAGGGGTGAAGCCTGTGAGTAGTGGAGCAGGGAAGAAAGGCTAAAACATATGTAAAGGATGGGAGGAAGGGATTCAGGCTCCTCTGTGTTGCAAATCTGTTTTCCCCTTGCTTTTTCTACAGGTTTATTGGGTCATGGGGATAAGGTAAGTGGGATAGGACTCACTGTCTAGAATGTCCCGCACTTGGAAACTAGTCAATTTGGACTAAAGAAAGCCCATGCCCTATTCTAGCCCCAGCCCCAGCCATGGCTTCACCAGCATCTTACTGCCACGTCTTGCCAGTTCATTTTTTGACAGATTAGGTTTGTAGATTAAGGCAGTGCTATAGATACACTTCAGCAAAGTACTTCACAGAGTTTCTCATAGAGTTGTTAAGGGTAAGATGGACAGCCATAGGCTAAACACTAGGTGCCTCATGTCAGCTTGAAAAGAGGCTACCATTGGCATGCCTGAGGGCCTCTTTTTAGCCTGGGTCTGTTCAAATTTTTTTTCACTATTGACATGGATGAAGACATAGATAGTATGCTTACCAAATCTGCAGACATCACAAAGTTGCAAGAGGCCACTATCATACTGGGTGATAGTCATTATTCAGAGAGATGGTAGCAAGACTATGGTGGTAAGTGGAATCTAAGACTCAATTCAATTCCTTTCAATAAGGATTTATAAGATGCTTATTATATATAATGTGCTACTCCAGGCCCTGGGGATATAAAGACAAAAACAGACCTGGACCAGTCCTTGCCACAAAGAAGCTTATCATTCTGTTGTGTATATGCCTTATGACATGTATGCAGACGAGTAACTAGAAAGTGATTTCAAGAGAAAATAACAAGGGGACATCGGCAAAGGTCTTATGTAGGTTCTGGCCACTGAGCAGAGCCTTGAAGGAAACCTGAGACTCTAAGAGGAAGTAAAGAATGAGAACTTTGTAGGCAGGAGATGGGATGGCATATGCAGAGCATCGCAAGTAGGTCAGATGGGACAGAACGTAGAGTTGCATGGAATACACCTGGAAAGATAAGATGGCAGAAAGACTGCAGTTGGCTGAGCTGAGGAGCTCATAGTGCATCCTAAAGGCAGCAGAGAGTCAGGGAAGCTGGGACAGTCCCGTGTTCTGACCTGTGCTGAGCTGTAGGAAGCAGACACCAGAAGCAGGAAGACTACGGCAATATAAAGTGATAGACTAGACAGGCAGCCATGGGGGTGAAAAGAAAGAAGGGGACATTCTATTCCATGTGAGGCCATGACAAGATTCTAGGAAATCTGCTTTCACAGTGTTTGCTACATGGAAAATGCTTGATTCACTGCCTACAATTTACGTACCCTTCACAGTTCTCTAGTGTCATTTAGGCAACTCAAGAACTTATAAACTCCATTACTACATAAACATTACTACATTACTACTAAACTATACTACGAAGTGGCATGTGCCAAACAAGCTTTGCTGTAGGGGAATCTTGGCTGTCAGAGGGCAGGAATGTCAAGGAGGATTTAGATCGGGAGGATGCCCACAGCTTACTTTTCTTTTCTTCCATTGCTACATACCCTGGAAAAGTTAAAATGACATGTGAAAAATGGCTTTGTTCCCTATTCCTCAATGACACTATGATTAGTCCCTGATGTAAAAAGCTGAAGTTTGTTTGAAATTCTGTTTTCACAAATGTAGAGGACTGGAGATTTTTCAATGTAGGCACTGTTTTCTAGGTAGCTACCATCCCTCAGTAACAAGACTTTTTTCTTAAAACTTATTTCAACATAAGTCAAGAAAAGCACGACAGGAAGACAAAGTCAAATAAGGCTCATCTCATGTCCAAGTTTAAATCTATTTCCTGCAGTATTAGAATATAAAAGCCAAGAGCCAGAGCGAAAAAAGCTCTATTAATGAAAAAGTCTAGAAAGAGATCTGGAGGAAAACGCTTTCCTACAATATCAAGATGAACATCTACTTTCTTCTTTTGCCTCTGTCACAATGTTGATAACAAAAAATACTAGTAATGGGGGCAGCTAGGTGGCGCAGTGGATAGAGCACTGGCCCTGAAGTTAGGAGGACCTGAGTTCAAATCCGGCCTCAGACCAAACACTTGACACTTACTAGCTGTGTGACCCTGGGCAAGTCACTTAACCCCAATTGCCTGAAAGCCAAAAAAATAAAATACTAGTAATAAAATGGAAGCCTCACAAGTTCTTTTGTGGTTCTGAGATGTCCTTACCATTAGTTTATGCTAACGATTCCCAATGGACAGCTTAGGATTCTGACATCTGTGAAAACCTCAGTAGAACAAATAACCCATTTATTTATTAGCAGCTAACTGAAATGGTGATGAGAAATGGTGCACAGCACAGTAGACAGAGTGCCAGCCTTGAAGCCAGACAGATGTGGGCTCAGGTCCTGCCTCTGAGCTCTTATTCACTCAGTGCTCTTGTTAACTATCTAAGACTATACATTGCAGGGAAGGTGGCAACCTGCATGGGTAGAGAGAGTGTCCTCATACAGGAGCTCACTGTAACAATGAAATCACAGGTCTAGGCCCTAACCCTAGGACAAAACTCTATGCAGCAAAGAGAGCACCCTTTGATTTTCATTCGCTGCCTACACACAAATATAGGACAAAACCCACTAATTCTGTGGTTTTAGTTTAAAAGAGCAATTGCTCTGTTTCAAGAATTTCACAGATAGGGGAAATCAGACAAGGCGAAGCAGAGTGACTCATCCAAGATTGCAGCCTATCACAAGGAATGAAAGCCAGATTCTCTAGTGTCCTGACAAAGCACTGACCAGCCTCTCCCAAAGTATTTGAACTACAGTTCTTAAGTAAGGCAAGATCACACGTTTTTGAAACACGATACCTTCTCCCCCTCTTCCAGCAGGCGAAGCAACGTTGCATTATCTGTTTTCTCCTCTTCTTCTATGGCGCTGCCCTCAGCTACCTGGTCCTGTAGCTGCTCTTGGTTTTCTTCGTCTCCCCCGTCAGGGGCAGAACGAGATCTTTTCAAAGGAGGCTTAACCAAACCTGTAATGTCATTACCAAATAAACCAGTGTTACTGTCACAGGGATTAGTTCTGCAGTGAGACGCTTCTCTCCCGCAGTTTAAAGGAAACGGAATTCAAACTTCTCTGATGGGAAATCTTTGGCAGGCACACACCACAGTGACTTGTCTGCCACTGTATAGGACCCTAAATTCAATACAAGTTAAACATTTATTAAGTAGCTGCTATGTACACAGTGTTGTACTAGGGGATAGGAAAACACCGTATGGATGAATCAACCAATTAATAAGTGTTTATTGCTATGTGCTGGGAATTTACTGGAACTTGTATTTTAAAGTTGCTGTTTAGTTGCTTCATTCGTGACCTCATTTGGGGTCTTCCTAGCAAAGATACTAGCCTGGTTTGCCATTTCCTTCTCCAGCTTCTCTTACAGATGAGGACACTGAAGCAAACAGGGTGAAGTGACTTGCTCACAGTCACACAGCTAGTAAGGGTCTGAGGTCAGATTTGAACTCGGGAAGATGAGTCTTCCTGATTCCAGGTCTAGCACTCTATCCACTGTGCCACTTAGCTTAAAGAACTACTGCAGAATTCACAGTAAAAGCAGTACAGTGTCGTCTAGAATAAAATGAGTGCCATATGTTAAATATTAATTATTTTCAGAGATAAAAACATAGATGTTATCGTTCTATAAATGTCAGTACTGTGAGGCACCGGGTCACCCGATACTTGGTACACTCTAGGAAGTACTGTTTTAGAGATACACGTGCAGCCGTTTGGCCATGCACAACGATGAGCTTGAGCAACTTATCTGGTCATAATAAAGGCAAGTACAAGCGACTTGTGGTCATTCAATAAATATCATACATTTTGTGAATGAAGTAAACTCTGAGCTTTTAAAAGTCTGCCCCTGTGCGGTTTTCCTTCTGTGCCACCCCCTAATTATCAGCATCTCCACCAAGTGAAGATGAGAAGGAGGCAGAAGATGTACAAGTTGTAGGTCAGTGACAGGGAGCTCCAAAGAAAAAAAGAAAAGAGCTACACGTGCCATAAGTATCTCAATCAACTGAGTCAATCTATCTCAGCTGCGACTGCAAACCTAGGCTCACAAATAAGTTAGCTTGTGCACAGTTTCACGCTGCTCTAGAAACACCTGGGTGAATCTGCTGGCCTCACACGATGCTTCGAGACCTTAGTATCGAATGGTGCGGATTAGCTTTTTTAGAGGGAGCTAACTTTGCTGTCTGCCAAATGGTGTGAGAAATGAGGAGGCAAAGTCCCTCCTCCTCCTCATTCTCAGGACATCTAGAACCAAATTAGTTTGCTGACCGGTGAACAACACAAACTGAAACCTTCTCTATTGGGTGAAGTACTGAAAAAACAGCAGCTCACATTTACCTAGAGCGTTAAGATCTATCTGCACAGGGCTTTACGGTGAGGTCGGCACCGTTTGACAGATGAGGGAAATGAGGCTCAGAGGAGTTCAGTGTCTTGCTCAGGATCACTCAGCTCCAAAGCCCCCAAGGCCATGTTCAATTTCAGGCCTTTGTGACTTGAGTACAGCTCTCTATCCATTATACCATGCTGCATCCATGAAGGAATAAGAGAAATAACTGGCATACTTATGTGATTCTCTAAGACAAGCTTCTCAATAAAGAGAGAATAAAAATAACAGAGAACAGGAAAATAAATTAACCAAATTATTTTTCTTGAAATGTTAAAAAAAATTAGAAATATAAAAATTCTCACATTAGTGCTTCTTTCTGGCATAGAGGTAACCTGGATTCTCAATGTCAGCACTGTACAAGCTCTGGCCAATTCTACCAAACTGGAAAGACTTTGAGTGTGGCCCCCAAAACAGACTGTATACACAATTAGGTCTCTTTTAGCATGAATAATAAATTCCCAGGAATGATTTCATATGTTTGATGTGTACTTCTTGCAAGTTATAATTATGTAAAAAAGTGGAAAATGGTTTCCAGTGCATCAGAAATATGAGTGTGAATTTGAACACATGCCACTACTTCAGGAGGAATCATTATTTGCATTAATTGGGATCTAGCCTAGCCTGGCTGAATGTAGAGAAGTTAGGCACCAGATGGCTACCTGGCAATGAATTTTTTGCCACATCGCCTAATGAAAAGGATAAAAATACAACATGGATCTTTATCCTTGTGGCCGCCTTCCATTTTCACAGTGATGATAGCAGAGTGGTTAAAAAAAAGGGGGGGGGAACAGAAGGCTTAAAGAATTTCAGTTTAGTTTTACCTACAAATATTAACTTAAATGTTGCTATTCTAAATGTGCAATCTTTGTTGAACAAGTGACAGTAGATACATGATTGAATCATATCCCTATTGACATTCTTACTATAGATAAAACAAATAAAAACAAAGGAACCACAGGTACCTAAAAAGACCGCTTACAGATCCTCCTTACAAAAGTGAATAAAAGCATGAATGGAGTTGGCTTTATCATATTCCCAAAGGCAAAACCGCATCTTTTCAAGGGATATTTGGTCACCTCACCTTGTAGGCTTGTTGATATTTGTAGATATTTTAAATAGATATTTCTGTGTGTGTGTGTGTGTGTGTGTGTGTGTGTGTGTGTGTGTGTGTAAATATCTATGTCTATGTATAAAATATGTCACAGGAATATTTACTTAAATTCATGTAGCACATTAATAATGGAGTTATTGGGAATATGAATTTCAACACTTAATCCATTTTTCTTTCTACTAGAGTACACAAAAATCTATTAATGTTGAATCCAATTTCATTCCCACCCCCCAAAGAAAAGCAAATTCGGATAACAGTATCTTAGTAACTTCTGATGATCATCCCAATTCCAGGAATTCTAGAATGTGAGAAAGGAAAGTGATCTCAGTGGCCATGTAATCCAGACCACACATTGACGGAAGGACTCCTCACTATCACACGCCCATAAGTAGTCATTCAGCCTCTGCCCAATGACCTTGAAAGAGGAGATTCCACCATGTCACTTCTGGACAGCTCTAATATTAGAGTTCCCCTGACATTGAGGCTAAGCTGCCCTTTTAGTACCACCCCACCACCACCACCCCACTGCTCCTGGCTCTGACTTCTAGGGCCAAACAGAATGAAGTCTCATCCCTTCTCCACATGACAACCCTTTGGTTGTCTGAAGGCAGGTATCAGATCTCCCCCCCTGAGTCTTCTATTCTTCAGGCTAAGAATACCGACTGCCTTTAGACAATGACATGACTCAAGGCCCTTCACCATCCTGATGACCCTCCTCTGGACCCTCTCCAGCTTGTCAATGTTCTTCTTATATCATGGTCTCCAGACCTGAACACAAGACTCCAGATGAGCTCTGAAAAGGGGAGAGTTCTGTGGGACTATTATCTGGAAGCAACATGTCTCCTAACCCTGCTCCGAATCACATGAGTTTCTTTGGTTGCCACATCACGCTGCTGACTCATATTGAGCCTGGAGGTCAACCCAACCCCTGGATGGTTTTCACAACTGCTGTCTAATCCTAGCCACTTAGGGAAATCTCTAGCTGTAAAAATTTAGGGCAATCTCTTTAGCCCCAGAAGTGAGATGACCATTTCCAGCTGGTTACAACACGTCAGGGACAAACCCAGAAACTGTCTATTAGTCTTAGCTTAAAATAACTAAGTGCCCTGGAGCGTGGTGCCAAAGTGGACCAACCATGGGTGTCATCAAATAGCTGGCTAGCACATAACACACATGGGAAAACAATTAAGTGATGCCTCATTCTCCACCTTTGGCACAGAGATCAAACCTATACAGTCCTGAAACAAGCACTTATGCCCAAGTCATTTCAGGATTACCAAATTAATCATGGCTCTCTACTACCCCTATTTCTTCATCTTCTAATATGAAAGAGTCAGAAAGTCAAGCAGCCCGTGAAAGACTGACAGATGCAAATGATCCCTTTTAACAGGCCACAAAGAGGCAGCCGACCTTTAACTTTGGCGATGGTGTCCTCTCCGTGTTCTGGCTCCTGCTGTGCAGACTCGCCTTCGGAACTTTCTACAATGGCATCCTGGACAAAGGCTGGATTTCCTGAGGCCAGTCGCATGTAGTACTCCTTGCTGTCATAGCTGACTGCCCTCCGATAACGAGCAGGCTTCTAAAACATAATCAGGGAGAGGACCATCAATCCATTTTTCCGTGGAACAACACAGCTAGAAGCATTGAGAATCTAAGGTTATTGAGGGGAGGCGCTGCATCATTTTATGTTACCTATTTCCTAGATGTTAGTTAGTAATCAGTAAGTACAGAATTTTCTTTAATATGATGAAGACAAGTGCATTTGCTTTAACTGTGGCCAAGTGAATGTTCGTTTTGTATCTTGTCTTTTGTATTGTAACTTCATATGTGAATATTTTAAAGAGTTTTAATATTTTAATTTAATATATTTTACTTTATATATTCCAATTCTAATCTAATATTTTAAAGAGTTAACCAAATATTGTAATGCTGTCCCTATTGGGAGACGATAAAAATATCAATAGCTCTGCACCCTTGGAAGCATCAGAAAAATTTCCTCTGCTACACTATACAACCCACTACTAGGTTGCACCACCTCACATATATTTCACAGCATAGTTTAAAAAAATTGCTGCAAACATCCAGAAAGGAGCAGTTCTTCCAACTACATACACAAAGATTTACCTTTCCAGGTTTCTTCTGAATCTTGTGTTTGTACTTCCTACTCAGCCTTAATCTTTCCATTAGAAATGCTCTACTGCATTAAAGATGCATTTTTTTTCTCCCTGTAGAATTATACTCAGTTTTTAAAGGTAAGTTATTTTAATTTTAAGCCCCTGTCTTTTGCCTTTTGAAATATTCCAACTCTTCTGGTTTAGAGTAGAATCTTCCCAGTCTTGGGTGATTGCGACTATGGTTCCTTGGCACCTGAACCACTTCTTTCTGGATGTTTACAGTATTTTTTAAAAATTATGTTGTGAAAGTTTTAGATTTTGGTCATGAAGTTCCCAGAAATTTTCCTTTTGGAGTTCCTTTCAGGAGATGATTGATGAATTCTTTCTATCTTTACTTCAGCCTCTTGGATCTAATATATCTTGGGCAGTTGTCATTTATGATTTCTTAAAATATAGAGTACAGGTTTCTTTTTCAACATGGCTTTCAGGGAGTACACTGATTCTTAAATTATTTCCTTCTGACCTATTTTTCAGGTCACTTATTTTTGATAGGAGAGATTTTATATTTTCTTTTTTTCCCCAATTTTTATTTTGTTCTAGTATTTTTTTCCCTGTTTCATAGAGTCACTCATTTCTTTTTGATATATTCTAATGTTCAGGGAATCCACTACTTGGGTAAGTTTTTACCACTTTCTGTTCTAAGCTACTTATTCTGCATCCAGTTCTCTCCTCCAAAGCTTTTATTTCATCTTTTTTTCATCTTGTTTTACTTCTTCTGGTTTTCCCTTTGTCTCTGTGGAAAACCATTTTTCCTCTGACTCTCTTCCTGAAATTTTTATGGAGTCACTCACTTGGGGTATCTCTGGGTCTATGGTGATTCTTTCCCTACATTCTTCGAAGTTCCTGAATTGGGGGCTCTGTGCTATGGACAGGTTCCCTCTTCAGCTGTGCTTCTGGGGGTCGCCGGCCCTGTGTCCCCTGGGTACCTGTGCAATGGCCTTCACTTTCTGGCCTCAGGCCCCTGAGGAGCTCTGAGGTAAAAGGAGCTGAGGTAAAGATCAGCTGAAAGACTTATGCGGTCTTCTACCTATCCCCTGCTCTCCCTCATGGGGTCCCTTTTACTTGCCATGCTCTAACCTTTCTTTTTCACCTATATAAACCCTATCTACTCTTTGGGTCGACAGAGCGTACTTTCTGAATACAATCTGTTGATTTTTGTCTGGACTTGTGATTACACTGGTGTGGATAACTCCCAATATGGAAGTCCCTCCACAGATGAGCGACTCATTCTGCTGCTTATCTTATAGTCTCAGGAAACTCCCTGGAAGACTGAGAGGTCAAATGATTTGCTCATAGTCACAGAACTAGTATATATCAAGACAGGACTTAAAATAAGGTTTTCCTGATTCTAAAGCTGTCTCTCTATCCATTACACTAAGATGCCTCACGGGAATAATTCTTCTTCCAAGGTCCTGTGTTCAGGTATACTCCATATAATGTTGCCCCCAATTAACACTGTCTTCCAATAAAGTCATTTTAGTTTATAAGCAAGCCCCACTGTAAATCACAACCCCCCACTGTAGATGATTTGCTCAACTGAGCATCCATTTATAGCATTCCAATGGAATGCCCCATACCCCATAATCCTCCTGTCTTTGTCTAATATCCTTCCTGAACAAATTAATTACTGACATTGGGCAAAGAACTCCTCTCTTTATGAAACAAAACTGAATGCAACTCTAGCTTCACTTCCTACATCCATCTGTGTGAAAGAAGACATATGGTTTATGAATTAGTTTACAATTTAAATAAATTATCATGCAATTAGGAGGAATGTTTAAAAAAGGAATATAGTAGTGAGCTGTAGGAAACCCTCAGACATATTACAAGGAGAGGCATATTTCCCTCTTATTTAAAAATGGTTCTCTACTTGCTCTACATTTTCCCATAAAACAGAGACAATATGAAGATTAGAGTCTGAATAGCCTGTAAGATTAAACACCAAGATCACAGACCCACTGAAGGGAAGGTTCATATGTTTCCACCATTCAGACTTTTTGGATAAAGCTAAAACAGAGTAGAATACCTTGGGATCCAGAATTTTCATCAACACTTTAGTTATGTATAAGCCTGAAATGAGAACTAAGTTCTAGAATGTTCATGTCTAAAATGTTTTGTTATACTTTTTCCTTTCATATAAACAAATAAATTCTTAATATATTCCTCAATCTGCAACGAAACATGATGTGATATGGTATTGTCTGCTGATGTATAAATAAGGATATTACCCATCCCGCTATGATCAGATTAAGCATACTTTTTGCTCATATAATCTAATTGTTACTATAAAGTCTAACCAGAAACAAATGTACTTTTATATGGAGTGTGTTTCTGAAAATGAAGACAGTTCTGACATAGAAAATTACCTTCTTTTTAAGTCCATAACAGTATCAGGGAATGGAAATCAAACGGTATAAAAATAAAATACGTAAAACACTAAATGAAACTTTACTTAGAAGTAGGGCCAGCTAATGGAAAGTGTTCTGAGAATTCTATAACATGAAAATTAAGAAGACTAGTACAAGCCTCTTATTCTATGGGAATAAGATCTTCTTAAAAAGCAGGGGTACCGAAGTATTTATAAAGCACCTATTTCAAAATAAATGAAGGCTGATTAGTGAATGTATAAATGTAAAAGAGTATCTAAGGGATTACTGCACAGTTGTAATTCTCAGCTATTAGATTCTTTCTTTAAATACTTTTGAGATGTTACATCTGAGAAGTATTTAAATTGCATTCAACTGGCCAACAGAGAATAATAAAATAACCTATACTTTTTATTTCAGTCATAAATTTTAAGAGGTTCATTCTTTCTGATAGATAACATCCTTTTTGGCCCTTTCTTTCTTTCTTTCTACCTATACATTTCCTCCCTACCTTCCCCACCAAAAAAACCCCAAAAAACCAAAACAATTCTTGAATTTCAGAAGGATCTTTCTTCTATGTAGATCACTGAGTAAATAACATTTATCAAGCATGACCAATTACTAAAGGCAATATAAGTTTTATTATGAGCAGTGAAAATTTAGCCTGTTAGTGAGCAGCACACAAAGTCTACAGAAATGATTAGGCAGATTGGCAAAGGATAGAAGAACATATTTCAGCAAGGATGACTACATCTTTAAATCTTAAAGTATTTACTGAAAAAGCAACATTGAAAACCAATCTTTTAAGTTAGTCTGGTCTATCATGCATTAAAACTGCGTGGAGTTGACATTCTGTTATGGTACTTTGTGCTTTACCTTTTGAGGAATGGTATCATCAGGAGGGTCAAGCTGCTTACTTGGGGTGGCAGACTGAAAACAGGGGATTAAGTACAGATAGATCAGAAAAAAAATCATGTGTGTGCGTGTGTGTGTGTGTGTGTGTACACACATATGACAGCAAGGCTTTTTTGAGTTATTGGTGAAATACGAGCGAACATATGCTAGATGTGAGCTATACACTCAATGAAAGTAAATTTTGAAGTCTAAGCTGCTTGACATGAAATTTTGGCATTTTCTGACTATTTTATGAATGACACAAAATAATTCAAGAAAAACAAAAATATCCACTGTTGTTGAAGAGCAGTACAAACTCTTAAAACTCTCTCTCTCATTCATTCACACACACACACACACACACACACACACACACACACACACACACAAAATAAAAACCTAAAAAAAAAAATCCCCTTGCATGTGGCTTGATATAGTATTAGTTCATTTGATTCTCACAACAACCTTGGTAGGGAGGTTCTATTATCTCCATTTTACAGAAGAGGAAACTGAGGCAAATAGAGGTGAAAGTGACTTGCCCAGAGTCACAGAGCTAGCATCTGAGCTGGAATCTGAACTTGGCTTCCAGACTCCAGGTTTCATGTTCTATCCAGTGTCACCTAACTGAAATCCATAGAATAGTTTGAGGATCTCAAACTTTTTAGTTTTGGGACCCTTTAACATTCTTGTTTTATTTTTGTTTTAGGCAACTGGGGTTAAGTGACTTGCCCAGGGTCACACAGCTAGTAAGTATCAAATGTTTGGTCTGAGGCAGGATTTGAACTCAGGTCTTCCTGACTTCAGGGCTGGTGCTCTATCCATTGTACCACCGAGCTGCCTGCCCCCCCTAAACATTCTAAAAAGTTACTGAGGAACTAACAGAATTCTTGTTTATATGAGTTTTATCTTACTGATACCTGCTATTTACCACATTAGAAATTAACTAAAAAATAAAAAAGAATATTTATTCATTTGAAAATAACAATATATCTATCACATATTAGCATAAATTACACCATTTTATGAAAAATAAAATTTTCAAAAATAGTGTGAAGAGAGGCATATATGTTAAAAAAACCTCTTTAATGTCTGGCTTAACAGAGTAGCGGGATTCTCACATTTACTTCTGCATTCAATCTACTGTGATATAATAATCATAGAAGCAGCTAAGTACTTACACAGCACCTACCATGTTAAGGGCTTCGCAAATATCTCAGTTGATCCTCCCAACAACTTTGGGAGGTAGGTGCTGTTTTTATCCCCCTTTTACATTTGAGCAAAGTGAGGCAAACAGAGCTTAGTTGAACAGAGCCTTGCCCAAGGTCATGTGGCTGGTAAGTGTCTGATGCCAGATTCTGAACTTGGGTCTTCCTGCCTCCAGGCCCAGTGCACCACCAGCTGCCTCTCAGGTGGATTTGGCTGAAGAATGTGGAAGCCTCACACAAGTGTAGTTGAAAAAGGCAAATAATGTCTTAGTATTATTATAAAATACTTTTTTTTTTAATCTTTTAGACTCCTCGAAAGGCTCTCAGGGACCTCCACTGGTCTATGAACCATATTTTGGGAACTGCTGCCATAGAAAGTACAAAAACCTAACGTTCGATAGTATCTTCAACCTGTTCATCAATACTAAAGCAGATAAGTAGCAAGTAGGATTGACCTGTTTACTTGGGAACATATAACAACAACAACTGATAATGATACAGGGATTTATATAGAAATCAAGACTGCACCTGTGATTTCATTAATACACAGAATTCTCAGACAAGGAAACTCTCACTACTGATACAGGCTGGCACTTTCTCTGCAACGTGTAGCCTTCGCGAGCTACCTGGGGCAGGGCAGTGGGAGGTTACATGACTTGGGTAGGGTCATGCTGCCAGGATGTGTCAATCTTGAACTCAGGTCTGCCTGGCTCTGAGGTCGGCTCTCTATTCACTAAAAACACGTTTGCCAAGCTCCTATACATACATACATATATGTCATAATGTAATATTATAGCATATTACACATTATGTAATTTGAGACTCAAATAAACCTCACGATGAAAGAATTACAAGTACTTTCACCCTCATTTTACAGATGAGAAATCTGAAGTTCAGAGAGGACAAGAATCAAATTCTGCTTCTGAAACTTTCTAGCTATGGGACACTGGGCAAGTTATTTAAAATCTCTGGCCCTCAGTTTACTCACCTGTAAAATGAGGGGACTGGACTCAATAGCATCTAAGGTCCTTCCAAGTTCTAAATTTATGCTATTATGTGTGATTTGTCCAGATCACATAGCTGGCCAAGTGACAGAGGCAGAATCTGAACCCAGGTCTTTCTGATGCCAAATCCTACATTCTATTAACCGTGCAATATTAATACAGTAACCCTGATAACTAGTGCTAATGAAACATGCAACAAAATAAAATGCTTGTTAATGAAAAACAAAACCAAGCATTTACCCCAAATACCTTACTAATTTATCTCTTTTCCAGCTCATTATATGGAGTGATTTGGCACAAAATATGTGCCACCAGAAGGGAAACAATATCAAGAGCTTTAATCAATGCACGAACTGGACAAATAAAAATCCAGAATAACTGAAAGCAAGCAACAGCATATATTTTTAACATCTGAGTATCATTTTATATTTTACTTGAATTGTCCTATGGGATACCAAATCCAGGGGTTGATCATTTTTCTCTTATATTAGTAGCCAATTATTGAACTAGGACTCAGTTTTCCCCCTTCTTTTCCTCATTCAGAAATCAGCCCCTGCAGGTTATTCCAGCAGTCTTCGAAGTGCAGGGCTCATAATGAGATGAGATCTTGGGCAAAATCGACCAAATGAGAAAACTCAGATCTGATCAAAAGGGAAAGAAATGTTAGTTTAGGTGGACTGATGGATTCTGGCCCGCTGTTTTACTCAGACAGGTCTGGTCAAAAGTAGATTCCCTCTTTTGTCTAGATTTCCCTAGGTGGTGTGATATGGGTGTAGATAAGTCTCTTTGACCAAGACTAATCGCTTACTCCCCAAACCCCAAATCCTCATCAGAATAAACACACTTTCTCGCTGTAATATTCATTCTCTCATCACTTGTTAACCAGAGTCGATTGCCACCCTCAGGAACACTCATTGTTCCAAAGGCATATAAGTGTTGAGTGGGTTCCATGAGGGGTCTTAGGCATTCCAGAGTGCCACTGACTCTCTTTATTAATTATTGATAGCATGATTAATAAAATGATTAATCCAGAGCCCAGAAACTATGTCTCTTGAGCTTTTTATACGCCACAATTATATTGCAGGTACAAAACTAGGTAGTGAGCTGCAACCGTGAAATAACCAACCTTAAATAAAACTGGCTTTTTTACCCTTTTATCCTAAGCTTTTTTTCACATGCAGATTGCTACACTTGTAATCCCTGCGGCAGGCTAAGGCTGGTGGATCACTCGTAGGGCATTAAGTCTACCACATTCACTGTGGCTGTCCGCACTAAGTCTACCACCATGATAGTGATCCCATGGGATTGCAGGAAAGGGGCACCAGGTACCTCAGGAGGGCTGAAGAAGCCCAGGTTTCAAACAAGGCAAGTCAATGCTCCTGTGCCAATCAGCAGGGAAACATAGCCTGTAAATGGTCACTGTACTATCAGGCTAGGTGAGATAAAACCCAGCTAAAGAAAAAAAAAGATTAAAAAGATTTGGTGACTTACGAGAACACTGTTATTCCCTGGTTCAACATGGAGACTGTAACCCTGTGGGGCACAGTCAGAGCATCAGATATGGCTTTAGAGCAAATTTAGTAAAGACTACTCTAAAGGAAACCATGCACCTTCAAAAATCTTCTTTGAAAGGCAATGGTGGCATAGTAGAAAGAGCATGGAATTTGGATTCATCTACTGTTTTGATCCAATTCAACACCACAAACATTGAAGATGACAATTCTGACTTCAAGAAATTTACAATTTAAAAGGGGCATGATGTATGTATGTAAGTAAACATAATGGAAGGCAAACAGAGACCCCAGATATTTAGTGAGATAGTGGCAATACTGATTGGACCCATGTCAATACATGGAGATGGAGGTAAGGATAGGCGTCTGCTGTGGATGTGAGAAAGTGGGATGAGATGATGGGATTTATTCATAAAGTTACATAGTAATGAGTAGCTCCAATGTGATTGTAAGTCCATAGTGTACAAAGGAGACTTGTTTACTGGTTTCAGTCTCTTAGTGACCCTATTTGGGGTTTTCTTGGTAACGATACTGGAGTGGTTTGCCATTTCCTTCTCCAGCTCATGAGGAAATTGAGGTGAGCAGGGTTAAAGTGACTTGCCCAGAGTGTTTCACGTCATATTTGAACTCAGGGAAAACGAATCTTCCCAACTCCAGGCCTGGCACTCTATTCACTGTGCTGCCTAGCTGCCCTGAAGACTACTAGAAAACGACTGTGGTAAGGGAGGTTGGAGCTAGCCTGGGGGCTTGAATGCCAGAATAAGCAGGGTGGTGAGTTCCTGGAGACTTTCTTTTTTGAGCAGGGCATGACACAGCCAAGCCTCTTCATCAGGAAAACTATTTCGGCAGCCATGTAAAGGACAGACTGAAGAGGGAAGAATCTGGGGGAAGGGAGCCTAGCTCAGAGGAGCTTGTGACTGTCCAGGTGAGAGGAGAGAAGGACTTCAGACAAAGAAGAGGCTACCGAAGCAGAAAGGAAGACAGGCAAGGGTCATGACAAAGATGGAACTGACAGGCTCTCTTAACCAACTGGACATAGAAGACGAGAAAGCAGAAAAATGAAGAATGGACTGAGGTCTCATAACATTAAAACGTATAATAGCACTACTATACCATTTATAAAATTTAGAAACTCACAGAAAAAAATCAGTCTATTACTAAGCATGGACACAGGATTCTAAACCTTCGAAGGCTAACGTTCTGCAAAAGGGCTCAGGAGGCATTTTTAGCACACCTCATCCTGGATCACCAGCCCTGGCCCTGATGGAAGTTTCTGTTAACTTGTAAAACTGAATGAAGCATAGAGATGAATCCCTCTTCATTGGTCCCATATCAGAAATCCTTCTAGGTGACAGGACTGTGCTAGGTGTGGGAGAAACAAGAAAATGTCCCTGATGTCAAGGAGGAGAACAACTATGCTCTCAGAAGGTGGTGGGGCAGACGTGCAGAGAGAAGTCAATGCCGAGTGTACACAACAGAGACGAGCTAGCTTCTGGGGGGCATTTGGAGGTCGCAGTGAGGGGTCACACGGGGGGCCTTGGCAGAGGGGGCCTCCCAGGCATGCAGGACCATCTGGGCCCAGGCCCAGAAGACATCACATCACGTGCGGGCAGAACAGGAGGCCCATCTGGCTGAAACATTGTGTGTGTGAAGGAGTACAAGTCTGGCAGAGCCACACTGGGAGCCTTTCAATGACAATGGAATAATCGGTATGTTAACCAGTGGGAAGAGGATGCCCTTGGAATTTCTGGAGGTTTGGCCATGGTCAGACTTGGTCTTCAGGCACCTCACTTTGGTGTGGGAAGGCTGCATGGGAGAGGGGAGTGACTTGAGGCAGAGGCCAATAGGATGGCCATTGCATCAGGCAAGAAGAGCCTGAATTACTATGGCAGCTAACGAGAGTGCAGAAGACTGGACAGATGGAGGAGGTGTGGGAGAGGGAGAATCAACAGGACTTAGCAATTTGTTGGCTGTGAGTAGTGATCCGAATGGGTTGAAAACCCAGGTAACCAGAAGGATGGTGTCAGAAGCAAGTGTATATGTGATAATCTGCCCTGAAATCCACCCTTCATGCCTCCCTGAGGGGTGACCCGGGAGTTTTAAAGGCACTTCCAGCAGAGCACCAGCTTTCGGAGGGCCGATCAGGCAAGAAAGATTTCAAATACAGATGTATCTGTCAAGGAACAATCTAGTGAATATTGAGAGGCTCATTCTCAGAAGGGTGGCCATCAGAAACTGAGAGAGAAGGGCAGTGGGCTGTGTTTGGTGATGGCTATAGGATTCAACAAAATGAAAAACCTGTGAAGTAACAGTATCTGTTACAAGGTCATGGGCCTGTAATCAGTGCTGGTAGAAGTCTTTGAAAATACCTGAAAGGATTATTTTTTGGTGTGCCAGCATCTAAAACCAGAAACTGGGTGTTGGTAAGTACAGAATAAAAAAAATCATTCAGGTAGTTAGCTCTAGCTCTCTAATTGCTGACACTGCTGTCAGACTCTAGAAGGAAAATGCCGATCTTTATAAAAAGCTACAACTCCAAATGACCTTTTGACTAGAACTTTAAGCAGAGAGGGGCCCTGCAGGGAGCCTGGGGTGGACGCTCCCCTTCAGACACATAGTGGCCGTGCGAACCCAGGAAAGTCACAGGTCTCGCTGATTCAGACAATTCTTTAAGACTATCAGTTGTGAGAAAGTGCCAAGCTTCCTATAATCAATGAAATCACAAGTCCAATAAAACAATTATAATAAAGCAATATAGTACCAATACGACTACATTCCACAGTTCTGTCCATCTCCTAGACACACTAACTAGTTTCCAATTGGAGAGAAAATAAATTAGCAAGTTGCTAATTAAAATGAAGTTAGGATTTCAGGTAATTCATATAATAATCTGAAAAAGCTTACAAAAGAACAAAGAAATCTGAACAGCTACTATAAAACACAGGACCATGCATACTCACCAACACATTTGTCTCTTGTTCAATTTCTGGCACATAAGGGTAGTGGTTGTAAAACATGTCATTCCGGACCATTTTTTTCCTCATTCTGCAAGGCCCTTCTGTCATCTCCAGCATCCACTTGTCCAGATGAGAACCGATGGGAGGACCCCACAAACCTCTTTCCCGCAGCAGCTCATACTCGATTTGGCCCCACTCTTCTGTCACGTATTTCAGGGCATTTTGCTGACGCTGTGGATGTGAAGATTTTCAAGTTGTATCCAATCAGAAGCAGTAGTAGTAATAATAAATCTAGAAATAGCTCAGAAACAAGTTCATATTGGGAAATAAGAGCTGCCTATAGTAGTTTTGCCAAAATTATTTTATGATGACTGAATCAAGATATACTGTTTTATGACAATGGAAGAATTTGCTTTGATGACACAAAGTACAGTGATTAGCCTAAAATGCGTTACAAGTATATGGCAAAGAAAACCTATGCACACTTGTCTGATGCCTCACTATGGCTCGGAAATGACCCTGCACTTCAAGACTCTGCTAGCACGACACAGTGTCTGAAAGGACTACCAGGTTGGAAAAGCCAGGCCTGGTGACAGGTTCGACAAATGTTTATTAAGGGCCCACTTTGAGCCAGGAACTGAGTCAGAAAGAAAAAAAAAACAGTCCATGCCCTTGAACAAATAAGTATACTATGAGGAATGTTGAGGATGGGGATAGCACTAAGAACTGAGGGAAGGCTCAGTGTATCAAGGAATGCTTCACAGAGCAAGCTGGACCTTGAAGAAGGAAAGGCAGGGATAAGGAAGGGCGCCTCACAGACACAAGCAAGAGCTCGTACATCAGTACAAGCATCAAGTTCAGGAAAGTTTGGCTAGAACACGGAGTCCATACAGAGGAGCAGTACGAAATAAAGCCAGAAAGGTGGGGGAAGCAAGACCGCCATGGGCCTTAAATGGCAGAGAGATCGACAATTATCTGAGGACCGGCCTAACCGAGAACAGGCGTAATCACAAAAGGGCTGGGCCCCAACATAGGTAAGGGGGAACAGCAGGTCAGCAAGACCAGCTCTTAAGGTGCGTGGGGACACTCTGTTCTTCCATTCTCATAAAACGGAATACCTTGATTCAGTCATAATTAAATAATTTTGGCAAAACTACTATAAGCTGCTCTTATTTCCAAATACGAACTTGTTTCTGGTATAATGAAGAAAAACCTGCTTAACGACAGGAATTGACCGTATCGGTCACAAAACTGAGCAACATCTGAGTACGACATCTGAAGTGTGGCTGCTGATCTCTTCTGGCACAGCGGCACCGACAACAGCAGTCAGAAAGTCTTGACCTTCCAAGGTTGGCTAATAAACACAGTCTCTCAGAGTATGACCCCGAGAACTTATAACATAGCTGCCAGAGGAAGACAGCCATGGAGACGTAGTAAGGAATTCTGATCAACAGACTAGATAATTAACAAGGTGAAACTTCCTGCTAGTCTCCTATCAAACACTGACATTCCAGGAATATATGGAAAGAATATCAATGTGCATCCCGGATCAGTAAATTATATTTATTTGTGCGCACACATTATTAATCCTCTAAATAGTAAGGAAAATTTGTGGAAAAGGGCAATTTTTATTTATCTTTCTATCTCCTTCAGCATCTAATACATGTTAAATAATACTAAGTACTTTATACCTGCTAATTACTTTTTATGTGTTAAGTAATATTTACGTCAATGAAATTAATATGTGATTTTCACTCTAGAAAAGTGGGCAGTTTTACATAAACCAAATCGTCACAGTCAAATGACGATATTGTTGACCACCATCTTCTAAACCTAGGTGCTCTCTCCTTACTGTGTGGGACACAGTCCCCTCCTGGCTCCTCTCCTAACCATTCCTCATCTGCTTCTTCTGCAGAAGCAATACTTGTGCCCCACCTCCTAACCATGTCCTGGCCTCCCTGATCCTCTTTTGCTGAGCAGATCAGCTCAGTTATCATCTCTACACACAGCCAGCCATCGCCTGCATGCTGGGGATCTCCACCTGGCTGTAGCATAGGGATCTCCACCTCAACAGCTATGAAAAGGAGGTCATTCTCTCATGTATGTGTCATGTACTGATGTGTGTGAATTAATACCATAGTTTCAGTTTCAGTGGTACAGTGAAATGTGACACTAGAAGAATATAGGGAGAGCAGAGGCTGGTTTGTGTCACCTTAGTATTCCTGGCCTCTAGTAGGGATCTCACCTACAATGGGCATTTAAGAAATATCTGTCAAATTTGGAAAGCCTTTCAGGATCTGGCTCCAGTATATTTTTCTCAGCTGGTTTTCTATCACTTTCTCTCCTGCCCTCGACACAGAAGGCAAACTGGCTTTCCCTTGCTATACATAGATGGCGTGCTCTCCTTCCTTTTCTCCTCCTCAGGGAATCGCTAGCTCCCTTTCAGGCATCCCTCACTCCATATCCTCAGGCGCTCTCCCTTCCCTGCTCTCCCTTCCCATCCTGGCCAAAAAAAATGTCTTTGTGTACATTTATGTGATCACGTGTTATTTTCCACCAGTAAAATGCAGCTTCCTTGAGAGCAGGAACTACTTCATTTCTGTCTTTCTTCTCCTAGCATAGGGTGTGATGCCTAGCACATAATAGACATTTAATAAAAACTTATAAATACTTATTGAATTGAACTGCACTAGAGATTTACTGTCTACATAGAAACCAATCTAGAATAAGATGCTTCTTGATATCTGTTACAAGAATTTGATTTTAAATTAAAAAAAGCTTTATTAAACAGCCATGACACTACATAATGACATAACAAGACTTTTACAATATTTCTGAAAATGAGTATACAATATATTGTTGTGTTGTTATTTAGTCGTGTCTAACTCCCTGTGACCCCATCCAGGATATTCTTGGCAAAGATACTGGAATGGCTTGCCATTTTCTTCTCTAGCTCATTTTATAGATGAGGAAAGTGAGGAAAATGAGGTTAAGTGATTTGTCCAGGCTCACATAGTAAGTGTCTAGCAAGTGTCTTGAGGCTGGATTTGAAGTCAGGAAGATAAGTCTTCCTGACTCCAGGCCTAGGTCTCTATCCATTGAACCACCTAGCTTCCCATGTAATATATACTAAATATCAAATATACTAAATATTAAATTCATGTAAATATAATATCAGATATGTTCAACAAATTTCGAGGAGTATAATTTTAAAAATACTACTAGTTGCCTCAAAAAGACCACAAATATTTAGGATAAGTTATTAAATAACTATAAATTAAATAAAGTAGACACCATAAAATTCATTTTTCCATTGAGGTTATTAATGAGAGCACCTTGAACAGATCTTGTTTCTTTACAGATGATCAAAACACTTTTAGGCCATTTTTGATACGAGGAGTTAAGTAAGTACCAAATTTATTATTTTCTCTTTTTAAGCAGGGGATAAGAACAGGTAAACAGGACACAGGACTAATTAGTGCTGAGCCCAAGAGCTGACTCCTAGCTTTACATATATATGACCAATAGCTAGAGGCTGGGCTAGTATCTGCTGACGCGTCTGAATTGGATGATTTGAAAAAAATTATACTTACTTTGCTACATTCTTACCTCCTGATATTCTTTATACTGTGTGTCTACCAAGTCCCGGACAACAGCAATATGAGTGAACATCCACTGGGAAATCTCCTAAGACATTGAGGTGGGGAAAGAGTCTTAATATCTTATTAAAATCATAGTGCAAAAGAGTTGATTGACATTTAATTTTAAATGAAGGGTAACTGATTAAAATTCTATTAAAAAAGCCTGCACAGAAAGAATACCACAACTAAGCTCCTGTGATGAATACTCCTTAATTTTTAGCATCTTAATGCTTTCCACAATTGCCTCTCAGGTATTAGTGCTGAAATGTTGCTGAGATGATTGAGAAAAACAAACAAATGAACAAACCATTAACCACAGCCTTTTGGCCTCACCTCTGGCTATGGCAGCCAAGTAGGACATGATATGTTGGACTATTTTAAGTCTGAGTAAGTAAGGAATAATTTCATCCCCTTGCAAAAGCCAATGTAAAAATATTATTATTTGTCAGGTTTTCATCTCATTGTCTATTTTGAGGTTATATTGCCCTGAACATATTGAAGCCAGTGGACCATCTAAGTGAATCATCTAAGCCAGGGCTTCCCAAACTTGCTCCACTCGTGAACCCTTTCGGCAGCTGTGTTGCATGGCTTGAGGGCACGTGCAGTACAAAGTACACATGCTTCGTGTTCAGAACCAAGGCTGCAGCGAAGCTGCAGGATGCAACATGGGCAAGCACTGCCAGAAACACCTTGGATTCATTACCCATTTGATTTTTAAGTCATTTTTTGCCATTGAGCATTCAGAAATGTTTTGCTGTTGGGACCCACAGTTTAAGAAGTGCTGAAAGCCAACCTCCTCTTTATAGTTGAAGAAACTACAATCCCCAGAGGTTAAGTGGCTTGGCTAGCATCAAAATGTATTAAGTGGAAGAGTCAAGATGTCTATGGAGATTAAGACAAGGGTCTCGTAGCCTATACAATTATGCATTGTTATCTATTTTATTCACTTGCATTCTAACATGAATGCAAGACTTTGTACCCACAATGAAACATGAGCACATGAGAAGTTCTGCCACTCTGGATAAATTCTTTCATGAAATGCTTGAAGTAGAATCAGAAAGAAACTATTCATTTTCAGTCATTTATAAGGACAATGCACACTTTATGCTTTAATCTGTCATCCTCTAGGACTCTTTGCAGCAGAACCCCACAACTCACCTGTGTGGACAGGTTGTGTTTGCTGAGGCCACTCTCTTTCCGATTCCTTCTGGATCCTGTCAACTTTGAGAGGCCAAAACCACTGCTGACTCGAGACAGTTTGGACTGTGTGCTTGGCACGAGAGCTTCTCCTCGACTGATGCATTTCTTTTCATGGGCTATGGAATTCAAATGTGATTGTGGTTATTTCATATTGCTTATCACAGATAACAGGGTTTTAAGCTTGTCATGTCCCACACACAGCCTAAAATGGAATGATCATTAATCTATCTACCTGTTGTCTCATTAATCTTATTCATTACCAAAAGTCTAAGGTAATGAAAGGGTGTGTCTGGAGATGTTCTTATTAATTACTAATGCTGCAACATCTCTCATTAATCAACTAACTCAATTTCAGTTTAATAAACCCGAGAATATATGTGTTGTTTAACAAACTAGAGAAACCTCTTTCTACTTAGTTCTCTCTATCCATAAAGCACCCCAATTTCCTAAGCTTCAATAAACTCAGAGTTACTGGCTATGGGATTTATTAACAGCATAACAAACAAAATAAAGACACAAATACTTATTTACAATATTATCAGCTCTGAGTCCTGACGAATGGACTAAAAGTGCTCAATGAGAGACCGTCAATGAGAGAGTCAACTTTTGGACATAGCTAACGTGGGAATATGTTTTGCCTGATTATGTATATTTGTTACAAAGGTTCTGTTTTTCTTTTTTAATGGAGGGAGGTTGAAAGGGAGATACAATGGAGAAAGGGGCCAAAAAAGAAAAATGGAACATGGAAGCATTTTTGGAAAAAAGGACAGAGGCAAACCCAGACAAATGGGAAAGCTTTGAAAGTTACACATTAAATTTATTATATACCTAAAAAGAAAAATAAGATGTGCCTAACAGAGATTTGTGTTTTATGAAGAACACCTGTTTTCTGCTCTGTTTTGCAGGTAGAAACACTAATTTTATTTAGTGTCTGCTAAATGAAGAATTAATTTTAAAAAATCAGCTATGAAAAGGCTCATAATCAAAGACATCTTCAGCTATCACTACAACTTTTGCATTCTTCTCAATTCTGGAAGTACAGATTGAACATTCAGTTCTCTAAGGATACCAATTAATCTCTTCTTAAGATAAGAGTTTCTCTAATTCGTTTATGATGTGACCTTTTAGAGTGATGAAGAATGATATGAGCAGAACCAGAAGAATTTATACAATAGTAGCAACAATGGAAAACCAAACAACTTTGAAAGCTGCTAGAACAATGATCAATATAATGACTACTAATGATCCTAGAGAAGCTGAAACATGCTATACATTACAAAGAAGTGATGATTACAACGCAGAATGACATATGTGTCTGTGTCTGTATCCACACACATTTGTATAGAGGCATTGAGGGAATCTGTTTTGCTTGACTGTGTATTTAATTAAAAGAAATCAGGTTCCCCCCCCCCAGTGGAGTTAGGGGTGGGAGGGAGAGAAAATAGACTTCTGTTAATTTAAAAAAAAAAGAGAGAAGTGTATGTGTGGGGTGCTCCAAACTTGAGAGGCTGCTAGCAGTTTTAGATTAAGTCACTGTACTGTTAGTTTTATTTAACTATTTGTTCCAAGAGATCTCTCACAAAGTGTGAGTAATCTATAATTGTAATTATAAAGACAAAAAAAATCAATAAAAGAAAAACCAAGTCAAATACTTCTCAGGAAATATGTTCTCTCCCTCCTTTTTCTGTCATCTGTCTCTTTTTAGCCATCACACTCCTTAACACTAGCTAAAGTGACAAGCTCTCAAGATAACCCAGTGCTTCTTAGAGTGTCTGTGGGAGCAGTGAATGAAGCTGAGGATACAAATGGGACTGTTAGTTTTATAACTGAATACCTATAGGAATAACTAGAGCTCAACTCTCAGTGTCTCTCTGTCTCTCTATGTGTGTAGACAAAGACACACAGACACAGACACACAGACAAGCACACACTTTGGACCAGATCTATGACTTCGCTGACGTAGGAAACTTGCCAGGAAGTAAACTCTACTGATACAGGGAAAGGAGCTCTGCACTTCAATTCACAAAGTTGTCTGGGGCACGAAACATTAAGCATAGTACATCTGGATCTGGAATGGAGTTCAAAGACCTTCTAGAACAACCCTTGATTTTAATGCTAAGGAAACTCACGACTGAACCCAAAGAGGATAAATGTTTTGGTCCTGTAGATAGTAATACCAGAGGCAGGATCTGAACCTCTCATACCAGCCTGAGCGCTTCCTCCCATCCCACAATGCCCATGGAGCTCCATGGCCACGATGTGTCCTTGCAGCCTGGGCTTCCTCTCTAGCCTTCTCACCTCATGAATGGCTGGAAATTGCCAAGTAAGAACACTGTATTCTATGGTGACCAAAAGCTGTTTATGGTAATCCATTTTCCTATAATCTTAGGCTTTATTAACCCGGGATGTGTGAGTTTAGAAACGTATGTATGTATGTATTCATGTAAAAACGTTTGTATATGTGTGTATTATGTGTACACATACACACACATCTATATCTCGATAATCTTTTCAATATAATCTGGTTTCTTTTTAATCCCACATATATTATGCATTTTAAAACACGATTCTGAGGAGTCCATAGGCTTTATCAGACTGAAAAAGGCTCATGCCCCAAAAAGACTAATAACCCTTGCCCTAGATGACAGAAACTCAGTATTATGTTGATAGACATTTTCCTAAGACACTATATACTTCCCCCTTTTCTGATATTCATTTCTTAAAATGACATAATTCTGACAGTAAAATGATTGTTTTATTTTTACACAGAAATGTCAAACTGCCACAGGACTGAAAAAAAAATTATTAGATTAGGAAATCATACATAAACAGCAACATTTTTAAGTCTGAAGAGGGCCAGAAAAAGATTATATATATACACACACACACACACACACACACACACACACACACACACACACACACATATATACACATATATGAAATTATGTATCTTCTACCCACAACTTATTTATATAATGTGACACGGTAGGATCAACATTGTTTTGCTTGTGTCAATCCTCTTACGAACTTTGGATATTTTAAAATGCACAGGTGCCAGATGGTACAGAGGAGGGAGAGCTGGGACTCAGGAAGACTCTGTTTAAATCCAGTCTGAGACTCTTATCAGCTATGTGATCCTGGGCAAGTCACTTAACCTCTGCCTCAGTCTCCTCAATTGCAGAATTAGGACAATACTACCTACTTTCCAGGGTTGTTGTGAGAATAAAATGAGATAAGATTTGTAAAGTGATTAGCATGGTGTTTAGCACACAGTACTATATAATAATAATACACACAGTAAGAACTATATAATAATAATGATGATGATTGAAATGTTTCATTGACACTCTTTTATTTCTTTGTTTCAATATTTTCTCTAACTTTCTCAGCCCCTCTTCTGACCTTGAAAGTCTTTTCTTGTAACAAACAAGTATAGTCAAGCAAAATATATTTGTGTCAAAGTATCTGTCCCATTTTGTACCTACAGTCTTTCATTTCACCAAGAGGAGGGAGGTATTCATGCTTTATCACCAGTCTTCTGGGATCATGATTCCAGAAACCCAAAACCCACTATTTCTACTTCTTTGCTATAACAAAAAATTGTTGCTAAATTTGTTTTGGTATATATGGGTCCTTTATCTCTGCTAATGCTCTCTTTGGGTTAGACCTAGAGTGATGGAATTGCTGGGCCAAAGGTTATACACAGTTGAGTGACTCTGGGAATATGGACCCAAATTGCTTTCCAGCACAGATGGACCAATTCTCAGCTACATCAACAGTGCAATATTGTGCCTATCATTCTACTCTCTCCAACAATTGTCTTTTCCTCACTAGATGGGTATGAAGTAGAACCTCAGATCTGTTGTTTAAGCATTTTCCTTCTCTTTAGTGATTTGGAGCATTTTTCCTGTGGTTGTTGATAGCTTGAATTTCTTCCCTTAAGAATTACTTGTTCATATCCTTTGACTACTGAAGAATGGTTCTTCATCTTATTTATTTGCATCTATTTACTCCACATCTTGGATATCAGACCTTTATGAGAGAAATATTTTGCAATGACTTTATTTCTCAATTTGTTCCCCTTCTAACTGCACTGAATTTGTTTGTGCACAAAACTATCCACTTTATATCCTTTGATTTCCTCTATTTCCGGTCAAGAATTCTTTCCCTATCTATGATATGAAAAGGTATCTCCTTCCCCATGCTTTTAATGTGTCATTTAATGTGTCTTTACGGTCAAGTCCTATATCCAGTTGGAGTTTACAGAATATAGTGTGAGATGTGGGGCTGTATCACTCCCGAATCCTGGTTTCCTAGTCTGTTCCACTGATCTACTTTTATATTTTCTAACCAGTAGTAAATAATTATGATGAACATTGTTTTGCAAATAGTTTGGGATTTAGTACTGCTAGATCATCTCTCACTCATTCCACTCCCCCACCCCTATTATTTCTCTTCAGATTCCAGACCCTTTGTGAGTCTGACTGCTATGACACTAAATAAGTCTTCCTTCAAAGGTTATACTAATGTCACTTTTTATTGCATTGTGCTCAGTAAAGGATGTGGTTAATATTTTTGCTTCTCTGCATTTATTTACAATACTCTAGAAAAGGGCTAATTTTTTTTTGTAAAGATGCTGCACATAGCTGTGAAATGTCTGTTTCTTTGGATTCCCATTCAATAATTATTAGAGAGCTACCCTATTCAATTTGTACTGAAATTCTATCCAGATCTTCATTTTCTTTTTTTATTTATTTTATCGGTCTGATTTAAGGTCTCTAACTTTTGTAAGTTTTGCTACTTATTTCTTCTTGTAATTTGACTAAATTTTCCTATAAGAGCCTAGATGCTATGCTATTATGTGCATATATATTAAGCATTAAAATTATTTAATTTTTGATGGCACTTTAAAATATATTGTCGTTTCCTTGTTTAAACTATTTCTACTTTTAAGGTTACATTGTTTAAGATTATGTTAACCGTACTTTTTTTCAGTTCACTTGACGTATAATAAATTCTTCTCCATCCCTTTACTTTTAACTGTGTTTTAACTTAATGTTCCCAGTGTCTTATTCTGTTTCCTCTTATTTTCAGCCTCAGGTACTGAACTGAAACCTGATATGGTGTAGGTAGGCCTTCTTCAGTCCTGTCTCCTCTGCACTCTGGATGCTACCGCTGCTGCTTCCGCTACTCTGGATGGGGTAGCTGGCATACCCACCCTGCACCGTGCATAGGTCCCTTGATTCTCTTTCAGTCTTCTGGTGGTCCAATGCAAATTCTCTCTGCAGGAGTTGGTTCTGCTCCCTCTATGGTCCTTAAAAGATCCAGTAGGAGATCCTACTGTTTTGGGGCTGGCTGCATTGCATGACTTTCCTGGAACCAGTGCTCAGAGGATGAGTTGGCCAAGTCTCCCAATGTGACTCTCAGTGCTCCAAGGTTTGGCCATCTCTTTGTAAGGTCAACCACTGAGACTGGTTCTATTCCTACTTCTATGCAATTCTGGATGGGATGGAAGAGATTATTTCTATTTGTTTGGTTTTTTCATGTGTCTTTATCTTTGGTCTTTCTGAGACTCTGTTAGATTTTCAGTGGGAGAGACTGGCTTCTTCATGACAATGCCATCTTATTTATAAGTTCTACATCGGATTTTCCCAATCACAATGCCACTTTAGCAGTGGCCCAATCCATTGTGGCTTTTTACTTTCTTCTTTCTTGTTTTTGGGAAACTCTGTGATTCACCAATGCAATCAACTTCCTTTATTTATAAGCTTGACACAAGTAACTTGATTTCCATGAGTCTTGGTTTGCTTATATGTAAAGGTCTGTGGTTCCATAATTCTTTTGGAACAGAGTGGTCCCTCAATTTGAAACAATACTGGGAACTTAATTCAAAAAAATTACTTCCAAGTGCAAGATGTTATATTATTGACATTCACCGATTTCCTTCTTTCTGCTTGTACATTAGTATTTAAAGACAGATCACTGTACAATTTAGGAAGCTATATTTATTTAGGCTTCTTATGTCACTTTGGTTTTGCGAATCAGTCAATTAAGTTGAAACTTATTTAACTGTAACATTTTTAGCTATATTACTTTTTACTTGACTTCAAACAAAGCCCTTCCAGGTGACTGAAATATTTAGGGTTTTGTTTTTTTGGCATTAAATAAAAGAAAATGATAGTACAGTACAGAAAATTACTTTTAAACACTTAATTACTATGTCAACCAAAGTTCCCTGAACAATATTGAAATGTTCATAGCTTAAAATGCAGAAGCATAAAAAAATCCCTAAAAGTTCTATCTCAATAATAACTGAAATCATGATCAGTTGAAAATGTACTTTTGCAATAACAGACAGTCTATTTTAAATGTCAATAATATCCATGCTGGGGCAGCTTGGTGGCCTAGTGGATAGAATGGCAGGCCTGGAGTCAGGAAGACTCATCCTTCTGAGTTTAGATCTGGCCTTAGACTTTAATTAGCTACATGATTCTGGGCAAGTCGCTTAACCCTGCTTGCCTCAGTTCCTCATCTGTATAATGAACTGGAGAAGGAAATGGCAAACCACTCCACTATCTTTGCCAAGAAAATCCTAGATGAAGTCACAAAGAGTCAGACATGACTGAACTACAATAAAAATATCCGAGTCTGATAGCATGATAAATACTGTTACAGAACCTCAGAGTTGCTAGAGACCACAGAAACTATGCAGTCAAAGGCATACTTCCTTACATATTCTACACATGCTTTTGAGGCCAAATAAAACAAGTCTAATTCCTTTTCCACATGATATGCTTTCAAATATTTGAAAATATTATGTCTGTGCTAAGTCTCCTCTTACTCAATCTAAACATCCCTAGTTTCAACCAACCATCACATGGAATAAACTGAAGGTCCTTTACCATCTTGGTCATTCTCTTCTCGACAATCTCTAGTTTATCAATGCCAATGTGGAGCCTAGTACTAAATGGAATACTCCAGAATATCTGACCAGGGTAAAGTAAAAGGAAATATCACTTTCTTAGTTCTGGAAGCTATATGTTTCCTAAGGCAGTCTAAGATACCATTAGCTTTGGGGGTTGACAGTATCACAAAACTGACTAATTTTTACCTTAAAGTTCACTAAAATCTCCAAATAGTGAGCTATTTAAATTTGATTCTTTTTTTGCCTAAAATATATATTTTTTTAAACTGGAAAGAGACACCAATAAACCTACAAAAATCCTTCTGTGTATTGTTAACAAATTCTGAAAGAAGATTAAAAAAAACAAATTCCATTCAAAATTACTAAAATTTTATAAAGTATTTGGAAGTTAACCTATTAATGAACATTGCCAGCATTATCAAACCACCAAAGTGTTAATTGTACAGAACTAAATGAACAACAAGGTGCATCTGGAGGAAGAAAAGATGAAGAACATCAAGAGGAATGCTGCAAAAAAGTAGGAGTGAAGGAAATATAGCATTATCATACCTCAAACTATTTTATAAAGCAGTAATCTCTAAAATTATTTAGTACTGTTTGAAATTCAGGAAAAAATTGCTACTGAAAAAAGCAAGGTAAACAAGACCCAGGAGCAATCACTAAAACAGATTTTCATACACCCCAAAGCACAAATTATGGGGCAAGGCCTTCCTATTTGATAAGAACTGATGTAGAAAATGGAAAGCAGGTCTGCAAAAATTAAAATTTGAACCACTATATAATGGAACATTCCCCAATAAATACAAATAGATATCAAACTCAAATATTATTATATTATTAAATATACACACAGGTTAGAAAAGAATGGTAGGTAGTACCTTATATAACCTTTGACTAGGGGGCAGAATTCTTAACTAAACAAGAGAAAGAGGTGATCAAAAAGTTAAAATGGATCAAATTTTTACATAAGTAAAAGCAATGCAGCTAGAATAAAAAAGAAAAGCTATTGATAGGAGAAAATCTTCACAAAAAGTATCTCTCATAAAGATCTGATAATTAAAATTCAAATATATGAAAACAAAAGTCAATCCCCAACAAACAACTGACTTAAAGATATGAACACACAGTTTAAAGAAGTCCAAGTCAGGGGGCAAGGTAGGTGGCATAGTGGATAAAGCTTTGGCCTTGGAGTCAGGAGGACCTGAGTTCAAATCTGGCCTTAGACACTTAGCACCTACTACCTGTGTGAGCCTGGGCAAGTCACTTAACCCCAAATGCCTCACCAAAAAGCAAAAACCCCCCCCCAAAATGCAAGTTATCAACAACCACGTGAAAGAAGGCTCCAAAACCCTAACAATAAGAGGAAAAAAAAAAAGAAAGAAACACCTAATACTTGTCAGATTGGCAAAGATGACAAGACAGATATACTAATAGAGTACTGGTAGAGCTAAGAATTGGTCCAGTCATCCTGAAAACAACTCACAATTATACTAGAAAGTCACTAAATTATTGAATTAAAACTGTTAAATTAATCGCTAATTAGGCAAGTTCCTCACAGAGATCAAAGATAGTGGGAAAGATCCTTAAAAATATCTATTGTAGCATTTATGTGAAAGCAAAGAACGAGAAGGAAAGTGGATGACCAGAGATTGAGATTTTGTCTAAACAAATTGTGGTTTGTGAATATAATAGAATATTACGAAACTATAAGCAATGACAAATTATGAACAACTGAGAGTCTCAGGAAAACCTGTATGAACAGATGCAAAACTGAGAGGGAAAATTTCACAACATGTAAATAGAACAACACTGAAAGAGCTCAGAACTCTGATCAGTGTAGTGACCAATCCTAACTTCAAACAACTGATAGAAGGTCAGCTAGATGGCGCAGTGGATAAAGCTTTGGCCTTGGAGTCAGGAAGACCTGAGTTCAAATCCAGTCTCTGATACTTACTAGCTGTGTGACCCTGGGCAAATCACTTAACCCCTATTGCCTCACCAAAACAAACAAACAAAAAAACCCTAACAACTGATGGTGATGCATGTCTGCTGCAAGATAGCAGAGAGCGGCTGGACTACAGGCATGGAATGAGTCATGCACTGTCATACCATGGACAGCATAATGAATTGTTTTGCACAAGCATACTTCTTGGTTGAAAAGGAAGATTCTATGAGGCTGGGATTCATTGACAGGTGGTAACTTTTTTAAAAAAAAGAGCCATCACTAAAACAATGCTCTCCTCCCCCCTCTCCAATTAATCTAAAGTAGTTATTCTTTATTTGTATTTGAATGTGCTACCAAAGTATAAAACTGTGCTTCAACTCACAGAGTAACTCCCTTTTGGAGAATCTTATTCACACACCCAGAGCCCACACACGCCACCATAATTTGCAGAACGCATCATTGCAGGGGATAAATCCCTCAACCAGACAACAGCTCTGGGCCCACCCAGGATCTGCCCATCTTCTTACCCAAGTGGTTCTGCCAGCACTTTAGACCCGCTTCCTCAATCAGTGGCCTTGCCGCAGCGATGTCCACCAGGCCCCGGTCATTGACAGGCAGGGTCACCTTGAAAAGTTCTTCCAGAGCTTGTTTCTTACTGTGTATCAATTCGGTCCAGACTCTGTTGACCGCTTTTATGAGAAGCTGACGACCTAAATCACAAAGAAAAAACACCGTACACAATGTTTTATTTTCTACAAAGTTTTTAAGCCAGAGTAATTTTAATTAAAAAAAGATTCGTTTGTTCACAAAGAATCTGATTCATTCAAACATACTGTCACTGTCAATGTTGTCAGACCACAGACAACATGATCTGTCTGAAAAGCTACAATAACAAGATAAAAAAATCAAAAATATTAATTTAATCTGTATAATTATGAGTACATTTTACTACATTAATTTTTCTCTGTGGCTCATATGAATTACAGGATTGTCTAAAAATGCTTTGGTCTTAAACATTTATTATATATACATACATACACACACACACACACACACACGTACGTCTCTTTATAACATCCCATCTAGGGAAGCTTTCTCTTTTTTTTAAATGCTTGCACTTTGTTAGTAACTGTTATTCTTTATTTGCAATGACTATAATAGATCATTTCATAAAATGAACAAGTTTTATAAAAATGAGAAATGATAATTACAGCTCTTACCTAGTGATAATAAAGCTTATCCCTAAATCTAACCATTTCTTATACCATTTGGAAATAATTAGTTGGCACCTAGGTGAGAGATCATAAGTATAAGGTGGTTCTTCTAGAACATATAGGCATGTTTTTGACTAAATAATAAATCTATTTTGAGACTTTTTATGTTGGAAGTAAGTGGAACTGGCAAGGCCTCTTTCTTAGCACATCTGTCTTCTTCACCATCATCATCATCTACAAGGACCCACTATGGGCCAGGGACCATGCTAGGTGCTGAAGACACAAATACAGAGAAAGAACTTCGATTCTCCTGGGAGAGATTCTGTGCACGTACATGTGTGTACTGGTGTGACTGTATGTGCAGAGTAACTCTACAGAGAATAGATACAAAGTAGTTAAATACAGGATAGCTTGCATTTCCTTTTACAAGGGAGTTTGCTAGGAAGAATGGTAAAGGATTCTTGTAAAAGGTGATTCTTAAGCTGATTCACGAAGGAAGAGAAAATTTTAGAGGCCACAAGTGGAAAGGAGAAGGGCAGGTCAGATGTGTCTGGAGGAGAACCAGGAGAAAGCTGTGTGACAAAAACCTAGAGAACAGATTGAAGAGCTTTAATTTTCTTTCTTTTTTTAATGTAATTTTATTTTTTCAATAAAAATTTTGTTTCCTTTCTCATCCATCTCTACCACACTGGAAAAAAAAAAGTAAAACAAAACTCTTGTAAAAATATGAATTGCCAAGCAGAAAAAAAAAAGAACCCCCACACTGGCCATCTCCAAAAATGTGTGTCACTCTGTACTTATGAGTACCTTCCTGCCCTGTCCAGAGATGGGTGGCATGCTTCACTCATAGTCACCTGGAATCATGAGTGGGCATTGTCTTGATCAGAGTTCTCACATTTTTCAGAAATGTTTGTCTCCACAATGTCAATACTGTATAAAGGGTCCTCACATAAGCCTCCCAGGGCTCCTGTCTTATCATTTCTCATGGCACAAGAGGATCCATGATGTTCACATACTACAATTTGTTCAGCTACTCTCCAATTGATGGGGTAGTTCTTTGCCCCATAAAAACAGGTGCTATAAATATTTTTAAACATGTTTCTTTTTCCAGACATAGTAGTGGCATAGCTGGATCAAAGGCGATCGACAGTTTAGTCCCCTTTGGGGCACACCTCCAAACTGCTTTCCAGAATGGCTGGATCAATTCACAGCTTCACCAGCAGTACAGGTGTCTACTTCCCCTCAGCCCCTCCATTTCTGTAGACTGCCAACCTGACAAATGTAATGTAGAACCATAGCAGAAAAGCAGGAGGAGCTCAGTGATAAGGTTTTGCCAAGAAACAAGCTGAGGTGGGACAAGGGGTGAGGGACCTGAATGCTGAGGGCAGGGAGAGCCGAAATCATTAGTGACAGTGCTGCGATTGGGAAGGAATAAAATAAAGCTTCAGGAGGGCTAAGGGCCTGGGAAAGTGCTGAGGGGCTGGTGGACGTGGAGGTCCCCAAGAGGACAAAGAAGAGGGTTGGGAAAGGCAAGACGCAGAGAAAGATGGGATGATAAAGGGATAATCAAGGAAGGGGAACAGTTGTTTGTAGGTAAGAGAAGTTCTAACAGGTGACCATCCCTGCATGAAGGGGAAGATGCCAAGACAGCAGGGGTGAAAAAAGGCTAAGTGGGCAGTGAGGGCATTTAAAATGATATCATTTTGGGGACAGGTAGGTGGTACAGTGGATAGAGCGCTGACCCCGAAGTCTAGAAGACCTGAGTTCAAGTCTCAGACACTTGGGTGTGGGAGCCTGGGTAAATCACTTAACCTCTGGAGAGAGAGAGAGAGAGAGAGAGAGAGAGAGAGAGAGAGAGAGAGAGAGAGAGAGAGAGAGAGAGAGAGAGAGAGAGAGAGAGAGAGAATATATCACTGTGAATGCTGCAGTTTCCCACATAACGTGAGTCAGGTGCTGGGCTCTTCCAGAAAACAGAACGACCAGGGATTAGTCTACCACAGCCATCATAATCTAGACTGGGGAGAAATGTCTGAATGCGTGAATGTCAAAGGAAAAGAGGCTAAAGCATGGTGTTGGGACAGGAAGGTGGCTGGAAATCAAGGCGTATCCTGAGTGCCTCTGTGTTCTGACATAATGAGAAGAGTCAGAAGGGAAGTCAGGGGAAGTAGCCTGAAGGAGTGTGAGAGAAAGGAGTCTAGAACAAAAGCAAGCCTGCTTATTATACAAGGGGAATTTGAGAGGTGTTAAAGACTGTTAAGGGGTCCCCTGAACTTGTCTTTTTGAGCTACCATATTTTCCATAAACACTGGACCCAGAGTATGCAGGAGACCCTGAATGCTTCAAGGATGAAGCTCCTCCTCAGCTGACATAATGTGTTGTTTGCATCCCAAGCTGGACCCCCTGTGTGTGCTGGGGAAGAAAGGCAGGAGCCAGTCAGCCTGGGCTAGTCTCGTGCAGCCAGGATCCTTGTAGATAAGCAGACCATCCTATCTTCATGGTCTAGAAGTTCCCAAGGGAAAAGAAAGAGGCTTTTGCCATCGCCTTGCTCCTCCACTTTGGGAGGGGTTTTGTCCTTTCCCCCCATGCCATTCCCCTTTAGGTAGAGATTTGTGTTTTTCTCCTCCTTTTGTGGTACTGTTATGAATATGCAAACTTCTATGTGGATTGTGAAGTCTTTGGGCTCCACATCCACATTCATTTCTCTTGCAATAAACCTGGTTTTCACATAAGTCTCATCATATTGTGATTGCCTCTTGGCAGAGGAAAGGGCAGGCTGAGTTGGAGTGGCCTTGCCGGAAGAGGGTGATGCTGAAGATGTTGGGGATAAGCCAAGAGGAAGGGTCTTGGGAGACACGGACCCCTGAGTGGCAGGTGAAGTCTAGAGGGTCAAGAAGGCAGCCGGCAGCCCCAGAGCAAAGCCGACAGTCATGGGCTGGGCCTGGCTCTGAGCCGACCCTGCACTCTGTACCTCAGTCACCCCGTGCTGGCAGAGGCTGCATGGTGACAGTTCTAGAACTGCATCGAGTCACAAAAAAGGAGAGACAGAGAAAGACAGGCGACAAGTCGCGTGCAGGTGCTTATGCTGGTTACCTTCACTAACATCTTGACTGCAGCTGCCGTCCGGGTCTATGTCAGAGGGGATCATGATGTGCCAGGTCGTCATGCGGGCCTCTGCTTCCAGTCCAAACCCATCCACGTGGCTGGAAAAGTCCAATCATTTTAACATGTCTGAGGAAGGTCACGGCCTTGGAAAACCTCGAGTGATCAAACATTGCTATGGCAAGTCAAAGATCCCCTGGCTCTCAGTCCTCCTCTCCCCCTCCCTTTCTACCTCTCCGCTAGGGGCCTTGAACATCCATGCTGATGCTCCTTCAAACACCCTGACCTCTCAGTTTTTGGATGTCCTCTGGCCCCATGACCACCCTCTTCTACCCACGTCAGCCATCCATAGGAACAGAGCTCACTATTACACTTATTTAAACAAAAGCTGATGTTCTGGCATCTGAACATAACCTACCACTCTCTCTCCCCCTATGCTTCCCTCCTAAAACTAATTTTCATTTCAAAAACTCCACCATCATGCCCCACTTTCTATGACTCCTTCCCTCCAATACTGAATACTGAGGGGGCCCTTCTCCTTGGTGAGACCATATGCCTGACCTCCCACCTGACCAACCACATCCCACGCCCTAATCCAGTGAGGAAGGACTTGACCCCAGTCTTCATGACTCTCAGGCTGGCTTTTTGCCCATGACACTGCCCTGTCTCCTTGAGGTTGTGAAGGACAACAAAAGGGATCGTAACACAAAGCTATTCACCAGGGAAGGGATCTCTTATAAAATTAGTCCCTGCCCATGCATTTCTTCTCATTTAACGCTAGCCTCTATCCTCACCCATCATCAGCTCTCTATGCACCAACATTTGTGTTGGTTGATGGCTCACGATTATGACAGGTGCTTCAAAAGAGAAGGATTTGAACATCAAAGGATAAAGACAGACCCTTGGGAAAACTGATCGAGTCTTTTTGTAACAATGGCTCTTTCACACATTTCCAGCTAGAAGGGCCCTTAGAGGCCAACAAATCCAACTCCTTCTTTCAACGTAAGGGGAGACTGAAGGACAGAGAGGTTGGATGACTGGTCAGCATCCCCAGCACCTCTGGCAAGTGCAGGCCTTCCAGACCCCCAAGACCAACGTTCTCTCTACCGTGCTCCCCAAAGCTGCCTTTTGTTTAAAAAACAAAACAAAACTTGTTCTGGGGATTGAAACTGTGGTTTCACCAGTTTAGAAAACTCATTTACCAATGCACATAGGCACCTGGAGCACTGAGAGATTAACTCCCTCATGCAGGGACATTCGGCTAATATTATACCCTCCCCTAACTGCCCTTAACTTTGTTACGTGTAAACTAAAACACACAACTTGTTAACTATATGCTAAAATGAACTTATTTTTCACAATATTTCATTTCATTTTTCAAGACAGAAGTCCAAATAAACCTCCTCCCCACTGTTTATAATGAAATGCTAGCCCTTGCTTTAGATGGATTCACAATGGAGTGGACTCAAATAATGAGGATCTTATGAATCACCAAGGAAGATATGCACAGGGGAAATTGCCTACAGAATGTCATCAGAGAGATGTATGACTGGGGAAAGCAGTGGGCTGATCATGTAATGAGACTGAGGGGTAACTGCTAGGCAGCCTGGGGAGAATCTGAAGGAAGACCTTTAAGCACGTCGGATCAATCCTCTTTTGTCAGACTTTTTTTGCAGGAAAGGCAATCTGCACTATAGGAGGGGACATCTCTATCAATGGGATCACAGACAGACTGCAACAGCCAAGAAACAGCCAAACAGTACTGAGATGTAATTTCTTAAAGATGAACCAACATACGTGCCCTGTCTGGACTTCTGCTTAGCAGCATTGGCTCTTAGGAGAAAAGTGTGGCTAGTTTTGCTTACTTTCCATCTTTAAAAATTTGCATGTGGTCAGAGAATCACAGGATTTGGGAACCAGAAGGAAACTTAAGAGTTCAGCCAGGATGCCCCCTCATTTTACAGGAAAGGAAATTAATGCCATGGACAGCACCCTTAATAAGCAGTAAGGGGTGAGCCAAGATCTGAACTCAGAACTCTTGCTCCCAATCTAAGCTGAGGAAAACAGAGAAGGAATATCACCATGTAATCATTAGCGTGAAGCTTTTTTTTTTTTAAGTAGGACAATAGTTTCTGAACTTCAAATATGATGAATTTGTCCTGAAGCACTCACCTTCCGACATGCAGATTAATCAAGCAATGAGCCAGACAGCTAATGAACTCTTGATCGTGGTTTCCTGGTCCTAGGATTAAGTTTCTGTTCACAGTAAGGACCCTAAGAGAATCGAGGAGAGCAACTTGCTGTGGGACTGTTTTGTGTGCCCTCGAAAACTGGTACAAGATGGTCCTATTTAGGCAGTGGTAAACGGCATCCAGTGACAACCCTTGCGATCTTCGTTTGGACTAATTAAACATATGAAAAGTACATGGTGAAATGAACAGTGCAATATCTTTGCAACAAGGAATGCTCTGCTGAAGTTAACAAAATCATTCACTATGCACAAAAAACACTTGGGAAAAAGAGGAGCATTGTTCAATGTACAGTGTAATAACTGAAAATGACACCAGAAAAGGCTCTGTAAGAAGTTTCTATTTCGCTGCCTTTTGAGCACTACTCTGGCTTAAAAGAAAAAAAAGAGGCAAACACACAATAACCTGAGAAAATACTATGACCCCTACGCAATAGCGTGTCAGTTACTATCTTCAACATTTATTCCCATGAACTACTGAACAAAGCAACAGGTACCTAGAATGAAGCAGAAAAATAATCCTTATTCACCAGTAGATTGACATGGAACACTCAGAGGAAGCGCAGTGAAGAAGCAGGAGAACCACGACTTAGCAAAATACAAAAAAGGTGGCTGACCCTCAAATATCTTTCTCTTTTGAACTTATTCATAACGAGCGCTATAAAAATAAATCAACTAAGCAGCAACTGCAAGTGATGCGGGGATGAGGCACCTGCAGCCACGAGGGCACATGTGGCCCTCTAGGTCCTCAAGTGTGGGCCTTTCACTGAATCCAAACTTCACAGAACAAACTGTCTGTTGACAAACTGTTGTCTGCACTTGAGGACCTAGAGGGCCACATGTGGCCTCAAGGCTGCAGGTTCCCCACCCCTGTGAAAGCTCTTTGGGGGTAAAGAGTGTCAAGAATTCTAGTGTTGGTCAGAAACTCATGGGTAGGTCCACCAGTTCAACTCCGTGGAAGAAACAATTTTGAAAAACCTTTGAAAACAAATTGCTGTATGCTTATGAGTAAGCTTTCCTTCACGTAAAAACACACGGGGAGAAGATTTACTTTGGCTTCCTCACAAAGTCACTATCTTGGAACCATCAGTAAAATATTATTAATAATTAAATATGATAAACATTAGTTCCTAGACTGTGCTGGGGGCTAAAGATATAATCACAAAACTAAACAATCCCTCCTGGCTCAAGCCTGCATTCTACAGTATTTTTATTATAATTATAATTATCACCAGTATTAGCAAAAACAGACAAACAAACTATTAAAAGTATTAAAAATGAAACTTTGTACAACAGGCTTGAACAGGTTACCTGTGCAATTAGTTGAATAATAAAATCGATAAGAAGTTTAGATTCCTTATTGAACATTCCCTGCCAAAGCTTGTCTACCACACGCTGGGTGAAATAAAATACATTGTTCACTAGTACTTGGTAACTTCCTCCACTGGTGATGGGCAGAGATGCATCTTCTCCTAAATTCCAGAAAGAAAGAGACAAGAAAATGAATACATATGCAACAGGAGGTGAAAAGAATTAAGAAGCTCTAAAACAAGTCAATTAGTACTATACTGTCTGAAGTACTTTCCCCATTTTTAGATAACTAGGTAATCATAGGGAAAAAAATCCTTTTTGTAGATTATTTAACTTAAATAATCTAAATATAACAATCTCTTAGTTGCTGTTTTCTCATTTGTAAAATGAAATTATCCTACCTACCATGAGGATCACATGAAATCATGCAGGTGAAAATGATTTAAAAATTATACAAATGCTGCCCATTCTATCTTAAGTATCATCCACTGTGTAGTATATATTTCACACCACAAATATTCTCAATTTAAGCAAATCTCAACAAAAGTTAGAAGCAGCACATCTATTTTAGGATGTACTTTTTGCACATTATGACAACATCCAAAATCTCTGGGTAAACATTTTGTTTTTTAAAGTTAAAGGCAATAGGGTAATAAGAGCATTCTGGCATCCATGATTAAAATCATTCACTGATCCAATTTGGCAAGCGTTAAATGCTTGCTATATGAAAAGAAATGTTCTAAGTGCTGGGGATAGAAAGTGATAATGAAACTAGCACATGCACCAAAATAATTTTTTTATGTCAATATTTCTTCTTTTCTCAGAAGAAAATGCCACCACACTACACTTTAATACATTTTTATCATGGCATGCAATAGTAAAGGGGGGTTTCCTTTCTCATAGAAAGCCTGTTTCAAAAAAACCAAAACCAAACCTCTAGATATTGGAATAATTAGACTCTCTATAAGCAGTTCTCTTTATAAAGTCTGCAAGAATTAAATATTCATAAAAGGAAGATGCTTTTAAACTATTCAAAAAAGGAGGATGTTTTTATGCGTCATCTTTCCTTTTTCTCTGTCCAACCTTCACATCGTCTGTACCCCAGATTCATATGCCACAATTCATATGAAAAATTTAGGCCAGAATTCTTGAAAGATTTTTATTTTTGCCTTTTTCTAGATTTAAAGGCTGGAGGGGAGGTATAGGAAAGAAAAATTCTTTAAAACAGAGTTCAAATAGGAAGAAGAAGATGAAATTGAGATTTCATTTGGGTTTCTTAATGGAAGATGACTGATAAAAGTCAAAGTTAAAATATGAAATTACCCAATAAAACATCAGCTGCAAGCAAGTGGTCCATGACACTATCTAAAACATAAGTCTGAAATTCTTTTTGCTGAGTTCTTGTAGACCTTTCAGGAGAAGCCTGCAAAAGAAAAGACCCTTAGGATTATAACCCAACGGAGGAAGAAATATTATGATTTTCAATCTAGTAATATCATCAAACACATTAAATTTTTAAAACTGTCACATAGCAAAGTATGACATGAAGTGGTGCAAATGTTCACAAATCTTAAAATTTTGTTTCTATTAGTGAAATCCTGTTAGTCTTCTGTAATGGAGTTATCATCTCCACCACAATAAAGCTTTTATAACTGTTTATCTCACAAATTCTGGTCCTTGGTAGGCATGATTTGTCTCCCCAGTCAAATATTAAGCTTTTAAAGGGTAGAAACTCACAGAGAAGGGATCTTAGGAGTCACATAGTCCAGAATTTTAAGAAATGCCTTCTACAACATATCTAAATGGTTATCTGTCTGTCTTTTGCCAAGAGATCCCCATAGTCTGACAACTTGATCTACAAGAGCTAATGCAGTTAGTTCCAATCTGGGGATCTTTCTTCATATCAAGGCTAGATGTGCTTCTGCGAAGCTTCTGCCCATCATGCCTAGTTCTGTGACCTGGGACCAAGAAGAATAAGTCTAAATCCTTCTTCCACGTGACAGGTTTTTGTTCCTTTACGTCACATAGCTGGATCAAGGTAAGAGTCAGTTTGGATATTCTCTTCTCCAAGCTATGCACGCCCAGTACTTCTGACCACTGTTCATATGGCGTGAACTTGTGGCTGACTACCACCTAGTATCCTTGCTTGCATATGGTGCTTAGGACTAAATGCAGTACTACACAGTGGTCTGACCAGAAAGGACTATGGTGAAACACCTGCCTCCTAATTCCTGGACCTCCTGTCTTTCTTCCTGTAACCCAAAATAATTCTAGTGTTTTAAGGTGTGCTATCCAATTGCTGACTTACACTGAGCTCGCAGGACGCTCAAACTCCCAGACGTTTTTCTGAGGAACTGTTTATGGCCTGGCTCTGTTTCCTCCAGATGTTGTGCAACCCACAGATCACCAAGGTACATAGGAAGCAATCCTTGGAACTCTCATAGCAAAGTATTGCCACCTCTTTTAAAGACTTATGTGCTATACTACTAATGCTAATTACTCATATACTTATCTCTCCATTATAGATTATAAGCTACTTGAGACACACTCCCTTCTCTCAATACATCTTTGCATCTTCTTAGAGAGGTTTGCTGAATGACTAAAAAGTGAATGGTTTAATTGGAGACTTACTTCTGGGAACTACCACTACTGTGGTCTTTTGAAAACCCAACAGCAGTGATAAGGGAAGCCCGGTGGCGACAACAGAGCGTGGTGAAGAACAGAAGTCATGAGAGGAGTTACTATAAGCTTTGTCATAATCTACAACAGAGCATTTGGTCAATTCACCTGCTTCCAAGAACTATTCAGGAAAAATGAAAAGCTGTTATGTATAATAACATTTAGAAGAAGATGTCACATGCCCCCTTCTCACTCATTTTGGTATCAAACTGTTCCGGCAGAAAATTGATCTCTAAACAGAATCAAGGGATTGAATAGTACTCTAGAGACCTTCTAATCCATATTTCTCTCTTCAGACAGGTAAATATCTAAATCATTCAGCAGAGGCAATTCTATCAGCTTTCCTCTTGGGATTTTAATTCTTTGCTATTTTGAATTTGAAAAACAAGAACATGAATGTTTCAAGTACTATAAATGAAACCGTGTTACAACTTAAAAAACCGCTAACAATAAATTTAATGCATCTGTTCCAAAGCTATCCTGTTGTATGCCTCTCCCTCTGAACCTCGTTCAGTTTCCTTCTGCAGCTTAAAAATCTTTTTTTTATTGATGCTTTTCTCTTTCTTGGAATTGCTACTGTCCCTCTCCCCACTTCCTTTCATTCATTATGAGAAAGCTCTTACACACGGCAAACAAGAATGGCCAAGATACCTGAAAAAGCCATGTCAGTCATCTTAAAATGGACAACTTGTTTCCAGCTAAGAGGCAGAAATCATGCTTCATCATTGGCCTTCTATTGTTGTGGCTGGTCGTGGCACTGTTCCGAGTCCTGAAGCCTTTCCAAGTTGATGCTGTTTTTACAATGTTGCAATCCCTGTATGCCTTGCTCTGGTTCTAAGCACTTCACTCTGCATTTATTCATATTTGTCTTCCTAGGTTTCCTTGAACTATCTTTTTGTACTTTCCTTTAGTATACAATAATACTATAATTTTTGCCACTCCTCAGATGACAGCTACCCAGTGTATCTAGATCTTTGCTACAAAAATGTGCTACTATAAATATTTCTGCACATATGATTTAATCTTTTCAAGGTACAGTTCTGTTCCTCACCTGTAATAGGAGGATGTTCAAAAAGAGTAAGTGCAGAGGGCATCCTGCGCTGAGTCAGCTGAGTTCAGCTGTCAAATGTCTGAGTAGCCAATGGTGGTCTGACATGGCTGCTTTGTATTTAGGAGACCAGGAAGTGATGTCAACAGCCGGATCTTTGAGTCTCCTAAGGTAACTAAATCTTAAGAATGGCTTCAATACCTTTTAAGGAAAAAGTAGCCTAACTTGCATGTGGGTGGAGGATATTGCTTCCATTACAACATTTATTTATCAGTTTGACATTTATCTATTGTGAAATGGCTCCTGTTCTTATATCTTTCAGACCCTATATAACTTGAACATAAGACCTTTATCACAGTAACTTGCTATGAATATTTCTCCCAGTTACATTTCCCTTCTAATTCTAACTGGATTGGTTTGTTTTGCTTTAACTTTATTTTTTTCAATTAGGAAACATTTTAAAAATTGATCTGTATTTCACCCTACCTTGGTCCCATTCCACTGAACAAAATTAAAAAAAAATAAAGGCCTCAATATATAGGTGCATTGTTAGAACCAAATTTCACATTAGCCACGTTCAAAAATGTGTATCTCTGCTTTTTATCACCTCTCTAACAGGGAGTATCTTGTTTCACTTTCATTATTTTATACTTGTGGTTAATCATTGAGTTGATCAGTTTTAAAGTCTTTTGAAGATTTTTTCCCCTATGTTATCACTGTTAGCCTGCTCTCCTAGTTCTATTTACTTCACTCTATATTACTTTATAGGATGTTTCAAGGTTTCTTCTGAAATTCCTTACTTATGACAATCCTTATGTCTCATGGAAATTTAATATTTGGTTTTGCCATTACTCACAAGAGAAGCACAACCCCCCTTAGATTCCAGATTTTGGTTACTATGAAAAGAGCTCCTATAAATATTTTTGAACATATACATATCCTTTTCATCTTTCTTTGATCTCTTTGGGGGACAGGCCTAGTGGAATCATTTCTGATACACACAGTTTAGGAACTCTTTGGGAATAGTTACAAACCGTATTTCAAAAGGACTGCACCAATTCAGAGCTCCACTAGTGTGCCTGTTTGATCCAAGCCCCTCCAACAATTGTCACTTTCCCCTTTTGTCATCGGCTAGTCTGACCAGTGTGAGGTATTTGTATTTGTGCTTCTTCAGTGTCTGCTTTCTTTCACTCCTTACCTAGGAGTGTTTGTTACTTGTGCTTTCTCACCCACATTCTGTCTTCTGCCTTTTACTGCAGATTACATGATCATGCCCGATCCTCTATCTGTTCCTCTATGGTGCTGGTCCTTCTCAGTGCTATGCTGGAAGGAGTGTGTTTTTTCCACTTAATGTGGAAAAACATGTTGCATAAATGTCAGCTGTTATCATCCTTCTTCCCTGAGGTGGCCAATATTTGAAAATTTAAAGGTCTGCATTTTATTCAATTATATGTTTCACTGGTGAAAATTATTCTTATTTCATCACTACTGAGAATTCTGAGAAACCCTCCCCCCAAAAAACCCTCTTGTCTGCTTAGTGTCCAAGTGCTACTAATTATGGTAAAGTTATCTTACTAAACAATCCACTAGACTGTCATCATATGAATTGCCTTGATCAACAGGAGTACTGAGTTGCAGTGCTTCTGTTATTCACCAGAGGGAGCACTTACTGCCCAGGTAATACTGATAAAACAAGAGTACTATTTACAGGCGCTGGTTCATAGCAAATAAGATGGTAGGACAAATATTTTTCCTGCTCCCCTTTGCTTCTCCTGAGATTTGGCAGGCAAACTTTTTTCGGGGTTTTCAGGAATTTTCAATGCTATCAGGAAAGGTGCTTGGTCATATTCTCATCCTGATATAGGAACACAGCTACAGAAAAACGGGGCTGGAATCAAAGTGGGGGTAACTCCCCGGTAAAAAGCAATTAACCAGTAAAACTGGTGACCTAGAGATGCAGGCCAACATCGGTAGTCATTCCTGTCTTCACGGAGTACCGTAAAGTACTTTCATGGAGCACAGACGTGACAAATGCTTTCTATGTGTGAGAAATATTTTCTTCGTTTCTACTACAAAATGCTTATATCAACTGGAAAATTTGCAAACACCTTTTTGATCCTGATAGATAGATTCTACCTGTAGCAGTGAAGCTACATTGCAATCAGCTCATTTCCTTGATGTTACCTCCAACAGCAGGTCAATCAGTGGAGTCTGCTTGCTGGCAGGTGTGAGACAGAGATTGTCTATAATCAAGACTCGCATGAAATCAAAAACAAACTTTTTTGCTGGGTGGTTGGTCAAGTAGGTTTTGGAGCCGACATTACAGTACTCAGATTGGCTTCTGTTCATTCCCGTGTCAACTGCAAAGGCTTTGAACTCTTCTGCTGGAGACCCAACTTCATCATCAAGATCAGTGACCTGTTTAAAAACAGAACAGAAAAATGCCTTAATCTTCCCATTATTATTAACTCTTATTTGGCACAGTGCTAATTTCTGTTTGTTTTTACATAAGTTACATTATAATAGTAGTGATCACTTTGTATGGTTTACCTATTGCTCTATTATTTCACAAATTAATTCCATTGCTCTTTCATTTGACTTTTCACTTATGGTTAAAAGTCATCAAACTATATAAAGGGAGTTCTTTAAATTATTTCACAACTGTAATGGACATATAAGCAATGTTACAAAATGTTAATCAAAAAGATTTTTAAATTAAAGGTATATTTCTTGATCATTAGTTAAATTTAATTAATATGTGATCATCTTAAATTAATTCAATGGATTATGTCAAGATAATGACCTATTGTTTAAAATGAACAAAAAAATGGAAATCAGCTATTTGGAAGAAGATGGAACATTTGGAGATCATCTAGAACAGGTTCCTCACACCTGATCTAGCATTTTACACCAGAGGAAACAAAGGGCGAGGGAAGGGAAAGTGGCTTGCCCAAAGTCTCTCGGGGGGATGAAGGCAACAGTCATGACCTGAATCTTCATGAACTGACTACTGAGAAGCTAACTATCACAGATTTTCAGCTCAGGACCTGGTACAAAGTAAAACTTAGGATTGGAATAATAAAAAAAAATAAAAAGGAGTTGTTCCACTTATTCAGTTTTCTACAACCTAATAAGAATTACAAATCAAAGACAAAGGGAAAATTCAAGAGACAAAAATAATAAAAAGCATGAAAAAAGTAAAAGATATTTCTGTCATACTGTGGCATAGTCAAAAAAACCGTAGTGACATCTATGAAATAAACTAGGAAGATTTCATGGTATATTGTTGGACATTTGCTCATCTTTCCATAGCTCTAAAATAATAATTATCTCTATCTAACTGGGGGGGAAAGAGTTGGTATGAGATGCTAATTGTTTTGCTCCAGGCCACAGAACTGAATCAGAAAAGGAACTGCCATTTTGTGCTGTAGGATGAGAGATTTAGAGGTGGAAGGAATCTTAGAGGCATCGAGTCCAACCTCTTCATTTATAGATGAGGAATCTAAGATACAGAAAGGTTAAGTTGTCTGAGGTCACACTGTGTGGATGACACTGAGTTGGAATTTGAGCTGCAGTCTTCCTGAGTCCAGCACCCTGTCCACTACACCAGGCTGCAATGTGGGAATATAAACATCATTCTGGCCTGCAGCACCACTGGAACAACAGGACACAATAATCCACCGTCTACATCACGGTTTATTTTTGATTTTCTTTTACATTAGGGTAGATAAAGAAAAATCAAATTCAAACAAATCTGTTACAGTTAATGATGTCGCACATTGCTACTTTTAAAAATGATGAAATCCTAAAGTTTATAATAATAAATTCTCCTAAATGGATCATGCTTGACAAGTGCGAAAAATTTTACAAATAAGAATTAAATAGAGCTTTGAAAACAAAACCGTAGGCCACACAGAATCTTTTAAGTGGTTAGAATACATAGCTTAATTCAACAATGAGGAATTAAGAATTCTCCCACGAGAAAACTGGTAAGACTGGGGTGAAAGGAAAGGAATGGGGCTCCCGGTGATGGGGGAGGAAATAAGACTAAATGTTTGGGGTCTTGGAGATATTCTAGAAAATGAAGTTATAGATTACAGGCTGAGTATAAAGTTATCAAGAGCTGCTTCATAAAACACTGTTTGACAGACTAATTCCAGGTAGGACATTTTTTTCCTCTGCCTTTCCTATATCAAAAGTGGATTTCTGGGAGAACATGACCGACTCCAACGTATGGTATATTTGCTATTATAATATTTCTTTCTTTTTCTGCATGATACTGAATATACTTTGGTACTTACTTTCCCCAGTCACTTTTTGGTTACAAACAAAAACTCAGAGGACTTGGAAGAACTATAGGAACTCACCCAGTTCTCTTAATTCTGTCTAAAAAGGCACATAGTTGAAGATTAATAAATGCTAATTAACTGACTGCTAAAGCAGAAATGTTTTCATTGGTCTGCTGTAAATAGCTATGCTATAAGCCTCTGTAATATTTTAAGCATCCTCTTTCTTTTCCTAAAAGTGTACCTTTTGCTGCTTATGTGACCTACCTGAACTTACTCAAACTAGACCATGTAGCTCAGGAGATACATATATCATTCTCTGTGTGCGTGTGTGTGTGTGTGTGTGTGTGTGTGTGTGTGTGTGTGTATGCATGTGTGTATGTATATATATATATGTATGTATGTATGTATGTACATGTATGTGTATGCCACACATATGTGTATAAATGTGCATATACACGTATATACATGTGTGTGTGTATGGATGGATGAATTATGTCATCTGTGGGATACGCATCCATCACTTACTGATAGGGTGTGTCACACTCTTGAGTGGATAAAGAAACGGTTGTGCCTGTCTTACTATAACATGTGTTGGCTTATTCGTGCAGTGGCTAGCAGGGACTTTGAAATTTCTTGTAATACGCACCATCTCAGAGTAGGGTCTGATGTTGAAGGGGAAGACAGTAGCTGCTAATGCACATAGAAACTCTGGGCTCATCCACATTGAACTGAGGTCTGGAACATTGTGATATAAGTATCTAAAAAACTGCATCAAGGTAACAGGATATTCTCTGAGCCAAGATCCTTCTTCTTCTGATTGCCAAGGCTGTTTTGGAAGCAAGAAGAGAAATAAAGAATTAGGGTCTATAACTGCTATTGTTTAAAAGTATGATGAGAAACTCACTGAAAACATATTAACATACACACACATTAGCACAAACACAATTTGATGACTATTATATCATGACATATTTATATGCTGCAAAAACAAACACCTCCCTGTACAAGACGGATATTCAAAACTGATCCTTCTTTGATCTTCACAGAAACTTTTCCATGGGAAATCAAAGACAAATTAAAATAAAACACAAGAGACATTTTCTGGGCATTTTCTTTGGCAGTCTCCCATGCCTGGAAGGCTTTCCCTTCTCAGCTCCACTTACTGACTTTCCTTTAAGTACCAACTAAAATCCCTTCTTTTACTGGAAGCCTTCTCCAATCCCTCTTAATTCTAGTGCCTTTCCTCTGTTAATTACTTCCAGTTTATTGTGTATGTAAGCTTGCTTTGTAAATACTTGTTTGCATTGTGCCTCTCCCATTAGACCATAAGACATAAAAATAACAAAAACAGTGCTAGTGAAAATTAAAAGATATTTCCATGGTACTGCAGCTTCGCTAAAAACATGTAGTGACACGTGTGAAATAAGTTAGGGTGATTTCATGGTACACTGGCGGATATTCACTCATCCTTCTACAGCTCTAAAATAACAATTATCTCAGATCCCCTAATTCCCTATTCTCTCTAATCAGCATTAAAGTCTAGGGCCACTGAGTGTGAGGACAAACTACTTCAATAAGCCCTACATGCTCTATACTATCCTATGATACAATATAACACATACATTATACAATAGTTCCTTATTTAGTACTATTATAGTTGTAGTAATAGTAGGCTACAGTAGAATAACTGATGTACCTAATAATGCCTTGAGTCAGCAAAAACTTATAGTATGTTCAATATATTTTTTTAAAAGGCTAGGAGGAAAGAAATACACTTTTTAAAGATTTCCATGAAAAATAGTTAATTTTTTAAAAATTGATTTACATGTGGCTATATAAAATGACCCCAAATCTTAGGGATTTTTGAAGTTTGGAGGCCTGGTAGTATCACCTGTTTAAAAACACTTCCATGAGCAAGGTACAATTACTTTGATTTTTGCCTTTGCTTTGTGAGGCATCATGGTTTAAAAGGAAGCACAGCAGGCCTGGAACCAGAAAATTCTTAAGGTCACAGCCCAGTGCGGATGTTTGCTTATTTGTGTAACTGAAAGAGCTTCAATTTCTCATCAATGTGACAATCTGGCATACTATAAAGCATTACACTAATGTGAACTGTTCTTTAAATGCACCTGCGACAAATGGTTCTGCCTAAGGTAAGAATGACTGCTGTCCATGCCTGCAATCCTTCTAGGTGTATGAGCACATTAATCTCTAGGTCGGTATTTTAGGCATTTGTGGGTAGATTTTTTTTTGGGGGGGGCAATTGGGGTTAAGTGACTTGCCCAGGGTCACACAGCTAGTAAGTTTGGTCTGAGGCCAGATTTGAACTCAGGTCCTCCTGACTTCAGGGTCAGCGCTCTATCCACTGCACCACCCAGCTGCTCCATGGGTAGATATTTTTAAGCACACAGATCTTCACTGTCTACAAGTGTATCACAGTGCAGAATGGGAGGGAGTGTGATGTCCACAGAACACCAAGGAGTAAATCCTGGCTCTGCTACTGTGAGGCCTTGGGCATGCGCTCACTTTAACTCTCCGGGCCTCTGCTTCTTCATCTTTAAAAAGGAGGCTCTAGGGGCAGCTAGGTGGCACAATGGATAGAGCACTGGCCCTGAAGTCAGAAGGACCTGAGTTCAAATCCAGCCTCAGACCAAACACTTGACACTTAACTAGCTGTGTGACCCTGGGCAAGTCACTTAACCCCAATTGCCTAAAAGCAAAAAAATAAAAAATAATAAAAAAAAATAAAAAGGAGGCTCTAAATCTGCAAATAAACCTTCCATTACCTGTCTCAGAAGGTGGTTGTGATGAAAGTGCTTTGTCACAGATTAAAATGTTACATAATGGAAGTTAATAAGGAAAAAGGCCATAAAACAGACACCATGGGCCTTTGAGACAAATGTGCCATAACATTTATAACACTATGTGATATAAGAGTTGGAGCTAAAAAAAAATCCCACCCAAATTAATTTAAAAACAGAAGGCTTAGACCTTTGCAATTGAATTAAAGCACAAACTAGTTGTCAAGTCCTTAATCAATCTGGAAGGAGTAAAGTGCTTTAAACATTGGATGAGAGCAGATAACGCCACTCAGGGATTACCTTGGGATCCTGAAAGAATTAGAAACACTTCTGGACCTAAGTATAAAGCACCTAGTAGGGTAGATCAAAATCTGGCTTTCTAACAGCAGGCCAGTCTAGTGGTGGAACAGCGCTAGTCAGGCCCTGGCAGAGGGAATCCCTAAGGGTTGGGAGAGAGTCCTGTCTTCTTCCCTACCCACCCCACCAGGAAACTGTCAGTTCAAGAGATCCATCAGAGGCAGAGACGACCCACTGGCAGCTCAAACTGGCAGCAGTATCCCTCTGACAGCAGTGGCTTCTGCACCAGAATCTGAGAGACACATGGCAAACGAGACATTCAGAGGAAAAATAGCTTCAGGATGTTATGAAGATATCAATCATGAACCTGACCCTCGGTGGCTATCAGAAAGGGACAAAATGACTTCTAGGCACCAGGAGCTGAAACCCCCTTGGCCTCATTTGTTCTCTATGGAACCGCTGACATTTTACTTATATTTGTACCCACTCTCCCCATAGACACCCAACATGAAAAAAGTTAGTATAACAAGACAGCCTTTGACTGACAGATTCGGAAAATGCTTCATGAGTAAGATTATATTATAGGCATTAGATAAGCATTGTACCTCATAACTTCTGAATTTCCTTATTTCTAAGAGAAGGGTAATAAAAATATCATATATTGGAATAAATGCTCTGATAAGGTTCTTCTACATCCATGTAAGTTATTATTATCATGGAGATGAAAATTGTGGGAACGAGATTCTCAAAGTAACACAGTAAAGCCAGATCCCTGAGGACCATTTTGATTACTGTTCTTCTATTCAGAATAGTAGAGGGAGAGGGACAGTTACTCATATTCCTCAGTGATTCATCATACTTACTGAATTTAGCATGCTGCGAAGCATTCCCAGCAACAAAAAAGCAGCTTCTGTGCAAACATTATGGATTGAAGAGACCACGGTTCCACTGGAGGCAGGAACTCCAAAGATAAATGTCCATATGGAATCCAAATCAAACTACAGGGTGAAGTTAAAAAATAATTGGGGACAGATTCTTTTCCTCAATACGAACTCAGACTTCGAATATTTTGACATCCTTAAAATAAAATTATTTAAATGACCAGACTGATGTTGGTCTAATAATCACAATTGTATAGTTTTAGTAAGAAGAGACAGAATGAGGAGCAAACGTCACTTTCTCCTATATCCTACAGTACCTTTCTATCTAGAAAGACAAACTGTGTAAGGGCATTCTATCTCATGTGTTTATTTTGTCTCGCCAACATAAATAGACTATGTTTTAAAAGACTACATATATTCTTTCCAATAAATTATTACAAAAGAAAAATTCCAGAACAAATTAACCTGATGATCAAAGGAATGAAATCAAAGGCAACTATATTGACCAACTGCTGAATTTAAAGTGCAATTTTCTCAATTAGAAAATAATTTGAATGAACACCTCCCCAAAAAATAAACAAACAAATAACTTTCTAATTCTGTTTCGCATTGCTCACAGAAGTTCTTGCAACTTAAAGTAAGATGTAGCTGTGGGGGTTGGTTTCATTAAAACATTTCACTGATAAAATGCATTTTTTTGGACCATATGAGCATGCAAAAAAATTGCTATGCAATCCAACAGATCTCTTGGAGGTCACACATCCATTTATTGGGCCAGTGACAGGACACAAAGTTGAGGATTTTAATTTCAAAGGGATTACAAACTATTGAAATGGAGTAAGGTAGCATTAGCATTTTTTGAAGCATTTATGTTCCAGGATGCCAAAACATAATTAAGTCTAAGGCAAGTTGAAAATCCTTTCTATGCATACTAGAATGATCTCTCTCTTGTCTCTCTCTCTCCATCTTCTACAAGAAGCCTTGTCCAATTCCTCTTAATTCAGTGCCTTCTCTCTGTTAATTATTTTCTCTTTAGCATTATTATAGCCTGCTCTGAATATCTTTTGCAAGTTGTCTTCCTCATTAGATTGCAAGCTCTTTGAGGGCAAGGATTATCTTTTGCTTCTTTTTGTATCCCAGGTGCTTAGCACAATGCCTGGTAGTTAGGTGCTTGATAAATATTGATTGCTTGATATATTGATCTGTGCTTACAACTGCCAGAAAATCAGAAAGCACAAAGGCTTTATTTTATCTTCTCTTTTCTTAACTTCCATGTTATCTTAACTTTAAATTCTTTTAAAAATTAATAGTAGCTTTTTAATAATCAGAAATGGCTTTAAATCTTATTTCTGTAAAAACATGACATTTCTTCAACAACACAAGTCATTTGTGGGAACACCAAATTGAATTCTCCATTTCTAGTTTTTCAAAAGAAACCTATTTTTTAAAATATAGAATAAAATCCCACAAAATCATTTAGGTCAGGAGTGAAAATGTTTATTTCAGTGCTTACTTTCTGATTAATATATCATACACGTACAGGAAAGTATATACTTGTGTTTGGAATTACTTTAAACTTATAAATAGGAAAAAAGTCACCCTTATTGTGAATTTAGAGTAAAGATGTCTCCAAATCTCTATCATGTCATCTTTATACATATGTGCCAAATAATTTACAGATTTAGTACAGAATTATTTTTGAAGAAATTAACTCATAACGCCCATTGGTAAGTTCGTTCCCTCCCTCCTGCCTAGCCCACACCTCCAGTCCCCAACCCCAAATTACACATGTGCCTTGTTAGATAAATTCCTACCTGGCAACCCTGATTACATCGGCTGCTGATGACAGGTACACTGACCTGCAGGTTTTCGGGCAGCTCAGTGACTGGCTGCTGCAGAAAGAGGGCCATGAGGAGGAAATAAAGGGCAGGGACATTAGTGTGCTTAGGGAGAAATGACTGAAGAACTGGAAAACCAGGAAAATGACAAGCATCCCGGTTAATCTCCCTGATGGCTGATCGGCCGCCAGCACTTCTGCCCACGTTGAATCCTGAAGGAAAGGAGAGAGGAAAATGAGTGTCGGGGCAGCTAGGTGGTGCAGTGAATAGAACACCGGCCCTGAAGTCAGGAAGACCTGAGTTCAAATCAGGCCTCAGAACAAACCCTTGACACTTACTAGCTGTGTGACCTTGGGCAAGTCACTTAACCCCAATTGCAAAAAAAAAAAGAGAGAGTATAAAACTTGGCACCAATTCTTATTATGCTACTGCATAAAGCTTCGGAATAAAAAGGGTTAAACTGATATTTCTATCTAGAACATATGCACTAATAGCAGTTAATAGCAGTCAATTGTTGATTTAATCTGTCACAATTATATATGAAGGCTGCCTCCAGAGATAACGGACTCCACTTTTCTGGGGGTCTCCAAGAGGATGTTAGATGACTACTTGTCTAGTATGTAGCAGTAGGACTTTCTTTTTGGGTAATTTTTGGACAAGATAATGGATAAGGTACTTCCAACTCTGAAATTCTGTGATGCTATGACTTTGCTCTATGGCCCCTGGACATAGAAAGTAAGTGTAACAGGATACACGTTTTGACTGTGAGACTGCGGGAGCAAGGGTAAAGACATCTGTGAAATGACTCATGAAAAAATTAAAGTTTTACTCACCAAAAAACATGAATGTTTGTTTATTTGTCCAAATGGGAAATGAAAGAAAACATGCAGCCAGAGACATGGGGCAACAAAAATATTAATTTGCAAAATCCATGGGCGGCTACTTCATTGAATGAAATCATGGATTATGCATAATGAAAGGGTTGCAAGTCTGGAGATGGGAGACTAGAGATCAGGAGTGAGACAAAGACTGGACAAACAGATCTAAGCATCAGCAACATGGCGATGATGGTTCAACCCATGGGAGCTGATGGGATCATCAAGCGAAATAGTTGAGAGGGAGAGGAAAATGCCCAGGACAGAGTCAACATATAGGGTGTGACCGGAACAAAGATTCAGCAAAGCAGATTGAAAAGGAATAGTCAGAGAGTAAGAGAACCAGGATAGAAGAACGTCACAGAAATCAAGCAAAAAGAGAATGATGACAATGTCAAAGACAGAGCAAGTCACTAAATCTGACAGTAAGATCACTGGTGACTTTGGAGAGAGCAGTTTCAGTTGGATGATGAGGTCAGAAGCAAGCCTGCAATGAGTTCGGAAGAGAGCAAGTGGACAGGAAGTGGAGACATTGGGCGTAGGTGGCAACTACAAAAAGGAGGAGAGATAAGTGACAATAGCTATTTAACAAGTGAAGGCTGTTGGTTTTTCTTCTTTTTTTTTGAGGACAAGGGAGACACAGGACTGTTGGTAGTCAATAGGGAACAGCTAGCAGATAGGGAGCGATGAAAGGTTACAGAGAGTTGGGGATGATAGAAGATGAGACAGAATGGGATCATTTATGCCTGGAGAGGGATTTGCCTTAACAAGAATGGCCATGTCTTCATGTGAGGCATGGCTGAAGGAGACGGTGACGGAAAGCATCTGAAGGGATGTGAGATGAGGAAGAGGGAGCTCTTAGTAAACAGCCTCAGTTTATTTCAGTGAAATATGAGGCAAAGTTCTTAGCCGAGAGAGTGGGAAGGAGAGCTATGGGAGATTTGAGAAAGGATAAAAAAAAAGGTTGAAAAAGCCAGTGCAGTGAGTAGGACAGGAAGTGGAAAGGCTGGATGGCTTTGGAGCCTAGAAGTTCTGGGTTCAAACCCCAGCTGTGCCATCTACTATTTCTGTAATCTTAGGTAAATTAGACCAACTAGAGCTTTAGTTTATTCATTTGTAAAATGAGGGAGAGAGTTGCTTCAATTCTGCCTCCAGTACTTTTTTTCCCATTTGTTTGAGAAACCATCTTTCTTTACTGCAAAAAATAAACAGATAAAAAGTGGGGATTAGATTAGATGTCTTTCAGGTCCTTCTAGCTCTACCTCTGTGATCCATATGGTATCTCCATAATGCTGATACATTGAAGTCTTACAATTTACCACTGCATCAGTGTGAGAACTGCTTCTATCAGCACAGACTGCAGTGAGGTGGAGTGACGTTGATGTGGCTTTACAGCCAGTAAACGTCAGAGGCAGGACTGGAACTCAGGCCTTCTTGACTTTAAGTGCAGCCACCCATTTATTACCTTTTTATTACTTATTATGACATACTAAAGCATCTTCATTGTTTTATTAAGAGGAGGAAATAATTCAGATGCTCAATATTGCTATGTGGGAGGCAGTCTCATGAGAAGAAATTTAATAAAAATAAAGAATCATTAGTGAGTTTTGTTAAATTAGTGGGGTAGTAGTTGTGACTCTTAACTCCAGCACCCTCTTAGTTCAGGTTAGAGGTTGAGATGCAGTGAGACACTAGTGAGTCACTGTGGTACCAAACTTCTCTGGATGTGGCCCTCTCATCTCTTGCTGTCATGAAGGTATGGGATGCCATGGTTTTAGAAAACCACCAAGTCTAAGAAGCACTGCCTAAACCTGGGACCTTTTATACCCCCAGGACTGGGAACTGAGACAGGGAAGCTGGGGCCAATCAGGTGGCATGGAAAAAGAAAGTCAGGGAAGCTGCACAGCTAAGGTTTATACTGTGCTCTAAGGACTTTAAAAATATATTTCATTTTATCCTAAAAACAACCCTGGAAGTAGGTGCTATTATTATCCCCATTTTACAGATGAGAAAACTGAGGCAGACAGAGGTTAAATACTTGTTTAGGGTCACACAGCTAGTAAGTGCCCAAGGCCAGATTTCAACTCAGGTCTTCCTGATTCTAGGTCCAGGGCTCTATTCTATTGAATCCCGTAGAAATGAATGAACATTATGGGAAATTAAACTATTATATTACTATGTTATATTAACTATTCTTCATAATGCAAAACATTGACTTAAAGTATAGTCAAAACAAATAATAACGGGAATATGTAGTAATGTGCGACAAAATGACGATGTTATAGAACAGCGAAGTGGCAGACCCAATAATAGTACCAATACATATAAAGGAAAAAAGGAAGAATGTGTTGACACGGAAGATATTTCTTATCCAATATTCATAAATGAAAATGTTAAACTTTTAAGCACATCAGGTATTTTATCAGAGACAGGAAAACAACATAATAAGGACCAGCAATCATTAGCCGTCCCTAAGGTCAGGCAGAACGTAAAATCTTGCTTCTCCTAGGTGAAAAGTTTCATACCTAGAACAGTGCCAATTTTATTGGTCAAGACAGAATCCGTCTGCTCAAGCCAGCCCCCGCCACTGAGTCCTTCTTTAAATTTGATGAGAACAGACTGGTTACTCAACAAGACAACCAGAATCCTCATGGCTGCAGTCACTGTAGTCGAGTGCAAATGTTCCTCAGTAAACATCAGGAGCCAGTCAAAGCCCAGTGTCCTGACTAGGTCTTCACAAGCTCTAAGCAAGAGGAAGAGGATCAAGGTCCAAGATTAGTTTCAGGGTTTAGACAGACAAGGTCCTCACATGAAATAACTCATTTTTTTTTCTTTTTAAAAAGACCTTAAAATGAAATGACGGTACAAGTTACTTCTCTAGGTATTCTCAAGCAAGGTTGGTTGACTTATTCTATCAATTTTGGAAGCAAATCAAACTAAAGAGAAATAGGAACAATCAGCATGCCATGTCCAGAGGGAGTTTTACTTACTGTATGTTAATGCTTGTCTTTTCCTTTGATGAGTAGACTAGTTTGAGAAGAATATCTAAAAGTCTATTTCTCAAAAGTATCACATTAGCAGACACAAGACCTCCAAAATCTTCCTCAGTTCCTGAGAAAGCAACGAGGGTCATTAAACTTTATATATGAGACAACCCTAGCCCATGGCACTGAAATTGCAGGATTTTCTTCCCGAATAAGGAGAGAGACAGTGAAGAGTCTCCCATCAGAAGCCCTGGCTGACATTGCCTGGCCTCAAACCCTGGACAAGCCACCCAACTTTTCTGGGCTCTCGCTTTCCTCATCAACGAGTGACAACCACACCAGCCCTTTCTAATGCAGTGGAATGCAGTGGAGATCAACATGATCCTGTAAAAGGACTGAAGAATGTCTTTTACATCACACAGGAAGCTGGTATCATTTACAGCAACAGTGGTCCATTTAAAAGCTGCAATCATACTAACATTTCAAGCAATTTTCCATTTCTACACCATGTATTTGGTAAAAACACAATAAAGTAGAATCCAAGAGTAAATAAATCCTTCTCTCCATAAAAGAATTTATATTATTTGTGAGGGGAAAGAAAGCAAAGATAACATATGCACAGGTCATAGGAGTTGGTGGAGGGGGGTGAGAAGAGAGGTATCCTGAAAAGTTCCATGTGAGTAAAAATTAAAAAAAAAACCCAAGCATATAGAGATGTTAAACATTTTGTATCATAGATTCCCTTGGGGAATCTGGTAATGCCTAGGGACTCCTTCTCAAAGTAATGTTTTTAAATGAATAAATACAATACATAGGATTACAAAAGAAATCAATTACATAGAAAAGCAGTTAGCAATTTTTTAAATTTTTAGTTCACAGACCCTATGTCAAGAAACTCTGTCTAATGTACTAGATTATAAAAGAACCCAACTATATAAAGCTTTAAAAAATGTAAATTTTTTTTTGTGGAAAAAGGAAAAATTAATTAATTTTGTTTTTTTTATAATAAATATTTAGAGGGTCTAGTAGGTTCATAGCATGAGAATTACCTTCTTTTTCATTTACACATTTGCTGCTTCTTTACTCTAATTTTTCTTGTTCAGGTTACATGAAATTTTTAAAAATTGAACTTTCTTTTTATTGAGGATTTAACAACCATTAGCCAACAGAAATGTTTCAACACACACACACACACACACACACACACACACACACACACACACACACACACAGAAAACAAGAAAGGAACTTAAAAAGAAACTGTGAACCTCTAATTATGTACAATTTAAAAAATATATATTTAACTTCAAATATTAACAAAACTCTATTTGCCTATATCCTGTGCTGCACTTTTTATTTTCTTCTATACATTTAAAAAAGTTTTCTTGATGCTTTTTCCTAACTAACATACTAACACCTCCCCTCCACTCACACCCACCACCAGAGAAACTCATCCTTTCTACATGTAAATCTGAGCTTTCGATTACCATCACAGGTCTATGCAAACCACAAGAGGGGAAAAATGTACTACTGAACAGAGAAAATCAAACAGTTACTATCAATAAAATTTCAGACCTCATTTCGGCCTGCCAAAATAAACTTTCCTACTAATGTTATTTTTCAAATCATAGAATTCTTACCTGTGTCTAGCTTTTCTTCATTGTTTATTTCCATGACTACAAATTTCTCACAGACAGCAAATGTTGGCAAAGTGGAAGCAATGAACTGGCCAAACCTTCAAACATAGGAAATATAAAATAAGGAATGGTGTCCATGTCACCAATAGAAAAGACACTCTTTTCCGCACAGTAACAGCATTTGGTGCTTAATAAATGCCATTTGAAAACTGATGATCTCAACTCAGGTTCTGTGGGTCTTACAATACTTGATATTTTTCTTAGGAATTAAAGTAGTAATTCCAATTGTTTCAAAGAAGTTTTGAAGATACAAGAACAAAACTGAAGGCAGTAACTGTCTAGAAATATGCAGCATATTAAGTACGAATAAATCCAAGTTACCCAACCTTAATTTCATTCATCCCTCAGCATTGTATGGGATTTAAAAAAAAAATTCCATTTTTGATAGGCTATTACATTTTCTCACACCATAAAAGCCTTCACTTCAAGGAATTAACTATTTGTCTCCTCCACTCCCTGGCTGATAATTTGATCTGAGAAGATCAACATCATTTGTCTCATGTCTCCTTACGTCCCCTCTCCCTTTCCTCAGAGCCTCTGGACTTCACCTGTTCTCTCTTCTCCATAGTTCCAGATAAAGAAGCGGTCCCTTCTTGTCTGAACTAATCACTCCGCCTTGTCCTTGAGTCTATCCCATCTTGTGTCAATGATCGAGCCCTCTCATTTTCATTCTCTTTCTTTCCTATGTGCTTCCCCTTTGCCTACAAACAAGCTTAAGTCTAACCTAGTCTGAAAACAAAACAATATATCTTTGCTTTGAGCTTATTATATGTTCAAGGCATGAGATATATGTATGTATGTATACACACATACACACACATCTCTCTTCCCAAACTTCCAGAAAGAGTGTTCTATACTTTGTCCTTCTACTTCCTCATTACTCACAGACTCCTCAAACCCCTATAAATTAATTTCTCTTTTTGCCAGTCTATTGAAACTACTTTGTCCAAGATCAATAATAATTTTTTTTTGGGGGCAGGGCTAGGCAATAGGATTAAGTGACTTGCCCAGGGTCACACAGCTAATAAATGTCAAGTGTCTGAAGCTGGATTTGAACTCAGGTCCTCCTGACTCCAGGGCCAGTGCTCTATCCACTGCGCCACCTAGCTGCCCCAATAATAATTTTTTTTTAAAGCCCTTGATATTTTTTGTCTTTACATCATCTACATTTCCTAATATGGTCCTTCCTCCTCCCTCTCCAAGACAGCTATCCATATAACAAGAAAGAAAAAAGGTTCTGTGAAACTAAACCAAAACCCAATAATTCTTACTTGGCCAACACAATGGCCCTTTTTCAGCTCCCACCTTCCTCAATGTCCATGACAGTTCCTATGCTTCTGATTCACTTCTTATCTTATTCCGAGGCTATCTTTGCTTTTTCTCCTCCTGCCCCCTAAGAATAAGCCCTCAGTCATCCTTTTCTTCTCACACTAGACTCTCTCCCAGAACCATCTCATCCATTCTCACAGCTTCAGTAAAAGCACCTTGGTGGTATAGTGTGCTGGCCTTAGAATCAAGAAGATCTGAGTTCAAATGCTGCCTCAGATACATATCTGTATCTGAGTTATATGATTCTGGACTCTTTCCACCTTAGTTTCACCCTCTGTAAAATGGAGATAATAATAGCATCTACATCACAAAGTTGTTGTGAGGATCAGATAACATATATAAAACATTTTGTAAAACTTAAAGAGCAATGGAAATGTTAGCTGTTATTGTCACTACCATATGCCTCCAAATTTATATGTCTAACTCTGATGTCTCTCTCAGCTCAGTCCCACTTTCAAAACTGTCCTGCTCATCTGTGCTTCCTTCTGTTCTTTAATGTGCATTTAAAAAAATTGTTCAATGGTACTCTTTTTTCTTTTTTGGCATTACTATTGCTAATCCCCCTTAGCCTCTTTAAAAACTAAGAAAGGAAAACAAACAAGCACCACTATTGGCACACAAAAAAGTTCTTCTACCAAACAAAAGCACGAGTCACACAAAATGACATGATAGCCATGCTGAAAAATGCCTGTGTCCTTCCGCAACTTGAATCCATCACTGCTCTGCCATGGCATGAACTGGAGATGGCTGGTCATGATATCAGTAAGAGACTTTTAGCTTTTCGCATCTGTTATTCTTTACAATATTGCTGCTCTTTTCTAAGCTGTCTTCCTCCTTTGATTCACTTTATTCTGCACCAATTCATACTACCTAGGATTCTCTGAAATCCTTTCTTTCATCACTTCTTACCGCACAATAATACTGCATTATATTTATAATGTATTATGTTTAGCCAGCCATCCCTCAACTGACAAGCACCCCTTTATAGTTCTTAGCTCCACCCCACCCCTCAACCCTGGCCAACTCTCCGTGTTACTCTGAGAGCAGGAAGCTTGTTTTGCTCCCAGTTATTTCGTCCTCCTCAGACTCAGCCTTCCCATCCAAGCTTGTTTCTTTGTGTTGTTTGATGCATGTCTATGCTAAACTCTACATGCCAGCACGTGTGTGTGTGTGTGTGTGTGTGTGTGTGTGTGTGTGTGTATACCCTTCTTTATTCAATTCAAAGAAGAATGAGGTTAATCTGATGTCCGTCCCCTCCCCATTCCTTTCTCCATGTTTGTATATTCTTTTCATATAATCTAATCATGAAAATATCAAGTTCTACTCCCTTCCTATTCCCTCCTTCACCATCATATTCCTCCTTTTGTCCTCCCTTCTCTTTCTCCTCTTCAAATACCAGAAGAGAACAATCTATCCAAAGGTTCTTTGTTTTTCTTATTTAACTTCCTCAAAATTCTCTGACGTCATTAAGGTTCTGAAAGGACACTTGTCTTGTTCCCATACATCTAAATTTCTCTTGACTCTTGTGTTTGCATTTCAGACTTCTACTCAGCTTTGTTCTTTTCATCAGAAATGCTCTATGAAGATCCACTTTTTCCCCTATAGGATTATGTACAATTATGCTGTGTATAAATTTTGTTGTATTATAAATGTTTCTTTAAAAAAAAAAATTACCATTGAGAATACTCCCTACCACCCAGCCACCCCTCTCAAAAAAAAAAAAAAAGAAAAAGAAGAAAGTTTTGATAGGTATAAGGAAGAACTCTGGAAGTGTATGAGTGAGAAGGTAATGGAAAAGTTAAACCTATCAATTCTTACATTTCAAGTTAAGAATTCAGTAATTTATCTTCTTCAATAAGACACCCTAGATTTGAAAACATAGCATGAATGTCTATAATTAAAATGGTTTTAAATCACACACCTGGTCTTGACTATTCTGTGTACAGATTATTCTCCTGATAGTAACTTCACATTAATTTTTTTTTTAAAGACAGACAATAGTTTATATTACCTGAGTAAGTCATTGCTGCTGGGGAAGCCTTGGAGTAAGTAGCTCAGCACGTTACTAATAGCAACAATCGTGGGTTGGGACAAAGACATATCTCGAAGTGTAAGTAGCAGCTTTGGGATTAATTGAAATTCCCTCATTAATTTAGCATTCTTTGAGGCTTCACTGAAACAGAAAGCAGTTTTAATGAACAGTTCTGGCTTCATCTCTGTACTAAAAAAATTCCTTTACCTACTGAAAATTTTTTAGTTTAAAACATGGGTAATAACTAATACCTGGACTCTGTGAGTAGTTCAATGAAGTGTTCAAATAAAGAAAGATGTAACTCATATGGTGCATGAAGCCAGACCTGTAATATAAAATTAATAGTGGTGATTGCAGGCAAATTTGTTTAGTTTATAGACCATGACTTCTATTAAGGCAGAGACTATATTTTATCTATACTTTGGATCTTCCCCAGCACCGAGGACAAAGGTCTACATACAGCAGTCACTGACTAAAATGGCTGATGACTAACATGCTCTTAGTTTATCAAATTTGACTTCCCTTCATTTTATCAATATAATTAGTGAAACTGATTTGCTGGTGATAAAATTATGCATTATTATTCCTATACATACTTCAAAATCACAAAGCAAATCCTGGAAGGCAGTTGAGTTTGGAATGATGGATGTCTCGTGTCCACTATCAACAGTTCCCACCAAAGAGAAAGTCAGATGGAGAATGTGGCTATTAAGAAGTGACCGTTTCTTTTTCAGCAGCATTGCCAACAACTAAAATAAAAGATGTGAAATGCCAGTTGATAAAACATCCTGAATATTAAAAAGTGCAAACACTGGAGAACACGATCTATCAGGTTACTGAAAACAAGCTGAACAAGGCTAGAGAGATTTGGCTACTCTTTGTACAGAGAACCTTTTGAAATTCTGTGCTTTTTAAGATCACAAAAAATATAAACCTGTATGATTAAATAAGTGCTTCTCAGACCTACTTTTTCATCTGTTTCTAAGAAACCATCAACTAGAGCTTTAAAATATATGGTACAACTCACAACAAAAAGAAATTTAAACCTTCTCCAAGCATTTGTTTCTCTCCCTTCCTGATCTATGGAAAATTTAGTCTTCTTCCAATTACATGTGTATTCAGTCATAGCCCCACCAAAATTTATGGTATTGGAGTTGGGATGAAGATAGGGAATAGTTACAGATTAAAAAACAGTGAAAAGATTTTTCAGGATCACTAAAGGTGACGAGTCAGCATGTGTTAACATTATCAAGAACAGAATACATAATGATGGCAGGCATATGTGGCAACATGTCACTTGCTCAGCCATGACCGTAGGCCCCAACCCTGGTCTGGACAACTGTGCTCCAGGAGGTGGGACCCTGTCTCACCTTTTCACCAAACCCATGCTCCCTGAAATCCAGACCTATATTATTCCTTCTGTTCAATTACTTATGGTCCAATGAAAATTTCAAAGTATGTAAAACCTACACTGAAATAATTTGTCTGGCCAGGAAAAGTTTGAAGAGTCAGAAGGAAAAAAAGACATGAATAAAATAAGACACTAACTTCATTCTCATTTCATGCTCTTTTAAGTATATGTAAGGAATGAGTTACAAGATTCTTGAGTGAATCTGACTGTGTTTGTCCTCCGTAACTTGAAAAACATGTTACTAGTCATCATGAAAACAAAAGGAATTTTTAAAAGAGGAAAAATAAAGCTAAAAACCTCCTCCTTACATACCTGATAACCCTTGATTCTTTCCATTTCTTTGCTGGCTAGTGGGTTGCTTTTTACTACACAAACCAGGGCCTTTACAGCAGCATACAACCCTTCCACATCGGATGCCATGGCCACTAACCCCAGAATGGCAGCAGCTCCACCAATGTACTGTAAAGTCGTGGCAACAGGCTTAGGTACAAATGTTCTTATTCCTGAGCAAAACACAGTGAGTAATCATTAGGGCCAAATCTCCAATTTAAAAAAAAAAGATAAAAATAATGCAATCCATTTTGATGTCACTTAGATATAAATTCCATATCTCTTTCCTTCCCCAAAATGATTATTCTAATAAAATCAAGGTAATCTGCACATAGCAAGTGATTAGTAAACACTTTTTTCATTCATTTATAAATATTGTGAATTAATTTATATGGAATGGATTGAACAGTGCAAATTCAAGAGATTATTTTTGATGATTTTGTCTCATAGATGATTAAAAAATACTAATGTGTGGAATTTCAAAATCGATTCTAGAAGGGATTGGACTTTCAAGTGGCCATCAAGAGATAAAACTCTAGTAGGTAGGCAGTACCTAGGAAATTTCTTTTAAAATGTAATTCTCTAATTTAAGAGGGATGTGAGTCAATTTAACATAGATGATGTAGATAGAAACCGTCTTAGAGTCAGGAAGACCTAGGGCTCAAGGCTTGCCTCTAAGACATTCAGGTTATATCCAGGCAAATCATTTACCCTCTTGTTCCCTAAGAAATAATCTATGACTATAAATTACATAACAGTAGCCAATATGAAAAGGGAGTTTTCAGTAAAAAGAGTTTTTATCAAGTGGAGCTCTCTACAAGATGAAATCACAAGTTTAGTCCAAAAAATATAGATAAAAAGATATTATAATTTTTCACTTTCAGGTGAGATTTGTGATTGTTCTGCTAAGCACAGGTTCTGAAAAGCTACTGAATACTTGTGAAGAACATAATTTCTGGCCACAGAATATATGCTCAATCAATTTTTTAATTAAGAGAAGTAAAGTAATGTGGTATAATGGACAGAATGCCAAACCTGGAGGCAACCTGAACCAGCTTTTGAGAAACAGCTATTAAATTTTCAGTGTGGGCCTCCAGAATTGGCAGACATTACAAATCAGGGCATGATTTACAGTTCTGTCGATCGCCAAGGCTTAAGAAAGGGATGGAGAAAACTGTTAATAATGCAGATTAACCTTCAGAGCGTAGCCTGGGCACACTTTTTTCAGAGAGCCACTTGTTAAGCATTTATCAGCACAGCACTGGATAAGGGACTTAAAGGGCCAGTGCCCCAGGCAAATCAATAAGACTCTATGTGACAGGTGACTTGCTGATCTGTATTAGTGGAGGGGGGTCTCCACACTGGCAGGCCCTGACACTTAGCAAAGATCAAGAATAAAAACAAGAGAAAAAAATTGTGTTAGAATAAAGAAAAAATGGTGTCAATGTACTATTACAAACCAACAACAAATAACATGCCACTAATTACTAAAATTAGGAGGACCGAGAAACATAATAGACCACACCTAACTCAAATCACGCATGCTGATAAGGTAATCAAACAGTGTGAGAAAACTGTAGCACTCAACATTCTGTCTATATGGCTTGAAATTTATCTTGAAATATCCAGAACGGATTGTGCTTATTCAGTTCTCTAAAGTGGAAAGAAAAGGGAAAAATAGTATGGTTTAAAAAAATTTTTAAAGGTTGGGAAAGTTTTTCCTTTTGTAAGATCAGATAATAGCAGCTCAGTCATGAGGCCATTTAACACTAAGGCCCTTTTGGTATTATAAAATACCACCGAGCTCTAAAACTAAGTCCTTATGTTTCAAGTTTTCCCTTTACACCTGGTTCCCTGAGGCAATTATAGATAACAACACTAAATCTGGATGTTTATCTGACCCCAGAAGATATCATGTATTGCAACCCCAAACACTGTACTGCCTCAAATTGGTATGTTAATCTTTATTACTCACAAATCTACAAATCAAAACACAGAAGACAAGGAATGCAATTTCATTTCAAAATAAGGACAGGATAAACTAAACAAATGACACTTTGATTATAAAGAGGAAAACACACCAATTGGAAGGAAAAAGCAAAATAACTGCCATTATGAATGACACCGCCAGGAGACAGCAGGAGGACAGAAAGGAATGATTTCTCATAACTCTACTTAGATTGCCATCCACACAGAAAGGTTCACAGCAGAATTCCGTCTCACCTAAGTAGCCAATGAGTGCAGCACCAACAGTGCGTGCCGGCCCGTTCAGATGTCCGGCTGAGTTATGTAACAACTTCACAGGGGTGGCATTCTCATGGGAGAAATGGCTAACTGTGGAACAGAAAAAGAATGTGATAAAAACCATCCATGGAAAAATACAGGGATTCTTTTGCTCTAAAAACCAGACTTAATTGGAAAAACAAATTATTTTGCCTTCCAACAGGAAAATAAGTAAGGAATCTTTCATAAAAATATGTGGATTGATTATATGTAATTAATTATATGGAAAACAGATGTAATTCTGGAGACATGCTAAAGTTATAGGGGAAATAAAACTACAAAGATGGAAATAAGGATAACTACTCTCGATGCTGTAACAGCAAAGTCTTAAAGGGGTTTGCATCAAACCTAAATACAGGAGTTCGACTGAGGATATCCCATAACACCACCATCTGCTGCCTCCACTTCACAATCAATAGTTAATATAATTTTCCTTAACTCAATGAACTGTGAAAGTCAGTGAATAATGTTTTTAAAATGTTTTAGGATAAAATATGCCTATATCAGAGGGAGGACTTTGTAGGAATACATATGGGGCCTTTGTGGTTGAATGTATTAACTCTATAGTTGCCATAAAACCCACAGAAAAAAAGGTATCAAATAGAAATCAAATAGAAACAAATCTCATGTAACCACACAATATTTTTTTTAATGACAACAAAAAAAGTACGAGGCAACATGACACAGTAGTAAGTAAGAGAGGCAAACTCAGAGTCCAAAGAACGAGTTCCTGCTCTCCCTCTGTTGTACATGAGTTGTGTGTGAGCCTGATAATACACACACACATACCCAAACACATCAGGCAAGCATATGGGTTTTTATACCTAGGGAGAGTAACGGAACCTGTGATTTCACTGGTAGAGGGACCTCCTGGATGAGAAAACCCCCTCTTCTGATATGGTTTGGTTCTTCTCTTATTTATGGTTTTTTGGTTAGGCAATGGGGTTAAGTGACTTGCCCAGGGTCACACAGCTAGTAAATGTTATGTGTCTGAGGTTGGCTTTGAACTCAGGTCCTCCTGAATCCAGGGCCGGTGTTCTATCCATTGTGCCACCTTGCTGCCCCTCTTATTTACAGTTTTAGGGCACAGTGGTTAACTGACTTGCCCAGGGTGACACAGTCCTTGTCTTCCCGGCTGGATCTCATGTAACCACACACTCCCCTAGAGTCCTGACTGTCTCAGACCATGAGCTACAGGGAAAGGGCTGATCTGCACTGGCCATGGAGAACTCTTGATATGGAGGAAATCAAAGGTCTCATCAAAAACAAACAAACAAAAACAAGCAATGCATACAGATGAGTAATTTTATTTTTAAATTCAGTTTTTTAAAAAACCAATATAAATTATAACTATTGGCCAGAATTCAGTTTCCTAAGTTAAACGATTTCGGGGTTTTTGGTCAATGGAAACTGTCATAAAGAAAGTAGTAATCACTCTATTACTGCCCCAAACTAAAATTCCAGAAGCTCTTTAAGGAAATACGCAATCTTTCCCAATATATGCCAACCACAGTTCATCACAAGATAATCCCCGCTTACCTGCTTGGCAATGGCTTTACTATCTAACTTGTTGTAAACTTTCCTTATTCTTGCCACTGTGAGAGAAGACGCTGAGACAGCATAGAGACCGAATGACACTTTTTCTTCCGGTACCAATGACACAGGGGACGGGATGCCGCTCTCAGATTTGGAATCTTTACCTTCAAAATAAGAAATAATGCACTCAAAAGCAGAATTAGTTATCTTCAAAATAAATACAGTGAGTGGGGCTAAGTAGAAATGTCCATCCTTAGTGTAGTTCAAGAAATGTGTGTTTTGGTCTTCACTTTGGTTTTCATTAAGAAAAGTTTCCCAGCTTATGTATATACAGGGAGTACAGCAGGGTAAAACACCTTCTCTCCCTTCCCCCAAGGGAAGTTCCAGGGTAACCCATACGACCACGAGGTGGCTGATGGGAGGGTGTGTGTGTGTGTGCGTGTGCGTGTGCATGTGCGTGTGTGTGTGTGGGGGTAATAGTTTCAAAGGCTTGATGGGAGGTGACAGGAATTTATTCACTCCAGCCCAACTAAAGGTGAGCCTGGATCTTGGATCTACCAGATTGCTTTCTCAATCATGGGACTTGCTGTTTCTACCATATATTCCTTCTGTCATCTGCTGTGTTTTTGTTCAGCTGCAGCAGCCCGTGGCACAGATTATCAGAGAAGCCAACCTACCCAATAAAATCTGCAGCAGCAGACAAAAACTCTGGACTGTTTCTGTTACTTGTGAGTCAGACCCCCAGCCATATCCAACAACAATAGTAAATACTACTCAGGTCAAGTATGACACACTGATTCACTCGCTTCTCTCTCAGCAACAGCTCCAGGCTCTCTAGATACGCGGATCCAGGCGAGTAAATCCCTTTCACCTTGCATGATGCTCCTGGCAGATAACGCTGGAGCCATGGAGATTACCTCCGCGTTTAACTTAACAAAACTGGTGAGAAAGATGCAGATGGCAACTACTCCAGCTACGTCCAAATCTGTTCTTCCAAGCTTCATTTTGTGTCAATGCTTTCATTAGTACAACGAAAGACGATACCGTAACAAAACGCCTATGATTTCTCTGATGTGGGTAGACCCTCCCTCTAGTGATGCAAATCATAAGCCTTCTATCATTTATTAGATGATCACTGGCAAAAAATGGATCATTCTGCAAGCAAATTGGTTTAACACCTCCGTCAGAGGAAAAACCTTGGCCCACATCAACTTACAAGTGAGCTCAAGTAAACATTTAATGACCAATTAACCTCTATGCTACTACACAACCCTCAGTAATAAAGGATCCACTTTACCAAAAGCTCTTTAAAAAAGAAAAAGACAAATATGGTCTAATACCAAACCAAGGAAAATCAAAGAGGAAAACGAGTTATAGATAAATTTTATGTATATTGATGCAAAAGTTTTAAACAAAATCCTGCCAAGGATATTATAGCAATAAGTCCAGAAAATAATTCACTATTATCAAGTTGGATTTATATCAGGAATTCACAGATGCTTCAACATTAGCAAAGAGAGTATTCAGTCATGTAAACAATAAAACCAAATTAACTGTTCAATAGATATAGAAAACACCTTTGATAAAATTAAGTGCTTACTTTAGTAAAAAAAAAAACCTACAGAACACATGCGCAGAAGGTATCCTTCTTTGCTGTGATCAAAAAAAGAAACCTAAAGCCAAGAGCTCCATTTGCAAAGGAGAAACAAAGGAAGCTCTCCTAGCTTAAAGAGGGATAAAAAACAAAGAGGTCTTTCCCATACCACCATTTGACAACATGAGCCTAGAAATGCTTTCTATAGTAATGACAAAGTTAAAAGCACTGGCACAAGTAATCTATTAGTTTCGAAGTATACCAATCAAGTTACCAGTGGGATGCTTTGTAGAACTACAAAAAACAACAAAACTCATTAAGAGTAACAAAGGTTCTAGAATCCTAAAGGAAATAATGAAAAGTGGGAAATGGGGGAAGACAGCATTATCACACCCTAAACTATATTATGAAGGAATAATCATCAAAACTCTTTGATAGAGGTTAAGCAAAAGAAAAGTAGTTTGGGGAACAGATTAGATGAGCAAGAAAGTATTAAGACAAATCGGATGTGTGACAAAGAAAAAAATACAAAATAAAGGGAGGAGAAGTACCTTATTTCACAAGAATTTATGGAAAAATTGGGAAGCAGTTTGCCAGAAATTGGGTTTGGACTAGCATCTTTTTTTTTTTTAGGCAATAGGTGTTAAGTGACTTGCCCAGGGTCACACAGCTAGTAAGTGTCAAGTGTTTGGTCTGAGGCCACATTTGAACTCAGGTCCTCCTGACTTCAAGGCTAGTGCTCTATCCACCGCACCACCTAGCTGCTCCCTTGGACTAGCATCTTACTCCCTTTGACACAATAAGCTCCAGAAGGATACTTGACATGAACACGAAAGGGCAAACAGCATAAGCAATAAACAAATAAGTGAAAATAGAAGGTGCTATCTTTTATATCTTCATAAAACTAAGTGAGATATTCTTAATCAAAGGATAGAGATGATAATAAAAGAAAAAATACACAATTTCAATTAGAGATAATTAAAAAGCTTTCACATGAACAAAATCGACTCCGAGGGACAAAATGGTGGCAGGTGGAAAAAAAGTGTGCAAATATACTTCATGAAAGTCTGATATGCTAGATATTTAAGTATATCAGAGGCTATTTTTAAACAGGGATTAAGAAACTTAGACTCAGAATGACCAAGAAACATTTTCCAAGACACACATAAAAGATCAAAGGTTATGAACAGTCTTCAAAAGAATATAAACTTTCAATAATTCTACTAAAAACGTTTAAGAGAAATGCAAATGAAAACACCTCTGAGGGTTCCCCTCATACTCAGAAAATTGGCAAAGGTGACGAAAATAGAGACAGGCCCCATTCAGGGGGCTGTAGAGGACAGGCACACTAAGAGACTGTTAGCAGATTTGCAAACTGGTCCAACCATTATGGAAAACAATTTGGACTGGTGTACCAGAGACCAAACTGTTCATATCTTAGATCCGGGATTCTCTCACTAGGAATATATGCCAAGTGAACCACAGACAGAAATGTGTAATATTTACCTAAATATTCACAGAAGCCCCCTTTTTGGTATAAAGGACTAGAAATGAAGCATCTACTCATCAACTGGGTATTGGCTGAATAAGTTGTGCAGTGTGAATGTGCCCATTACTGCGCATTAAGAAACAATTATTGTCAGAAATTCAGAAAAATACAGATACGGAATGAAAGAAGAAACAGAAATATACAGAAGGCTACAAAAACATAAAGGAAAAGAGTGCTGAGAGGAAGTCAGACTCTGAGAAACTGCTAAAAAATGTTAGAAACAGAGAAGAGGCAGACTAAGTTAACAACCATCTGTGAAGTTCTTACTACATTGCAGGCCTGTGCTAAGCTCAGAGAATATCAACTCAAGCAGAGAGGCCATTCCCTGCTCTCTGGGAGAAGATGGCCCGTCAAAGGAAGCAGAGAAGGCAAGAGGATCAAAGACGAAAAGCGGCTGAAGTTCAAGGAGGAAGTCCAAATAAAGTAACTGACCAAACCTTGCTCCTCTTGGCAAAAAGGCAGGTGATGTGTAGAGGGACCAGAGAGTGTAGGCCTTAGAAGATAAGGTCATATACTTTGTTTGTGCTTAGCTGTTTTTCCTTGTGACAAAGAAATATTCAATTCTAAGGGTAAACAGGTTAATCTCCAGAAGCGAATGTCATAAAAAACAAAGGTATCCAAAAAGTAACTTATTTAAAAAGAGGTTTCAGTTGGATCTGAGGAATAAGTTCTCAGTAACGGGAACTGGCCAAAAGTAGAATGACTGCTTTGGGGATGAGGGGATGAGAGGGAAGGGTGACACTCAAGCGGAAACTTGTATGCTTGTTTCAGAGACTCTAGGACCTAATCTGCAACAGGAGAGTAAGAGCAAAAAACTTTTAAGGAAAGGCAATGAGCCAAATTCTAGAGTTCTCTAGTAGAAGTAGAGTGTGAGTCAGTTACACGGAGCATGCACGTGCACACACGCACACACACACACACACACATCACACTCATGAACTCCTCTCCTTCTTTCTCTTGGCTGCCACTCTGGCTCAGACTTCACTTCCCTCCTTTCCAAACCTCACTCCTATAGCTAACTAATTTACAGTTCTATACTGAATCCCTTGTCCCGCGGTCTTAGTGACACCCATGCTTTGCTGGAGGATATCATGTAACTGAGCTGACTGGGTCCAATACAAATTTATGCTACTGATCCAATTTCAGCTGGGCCCTCAACTCAGCAAGCTTATTCTTTGACTCCTCCCTAAATGAACAGCTCTTCTATACTTCATACTGATAACTATTCCAAACCTTTGACATTATTCCTCATTCTCTCTAACTTTATTCCAGTTCCTGATGAAAAAGTCCCTTTTAAACCCCCTCCCCTTCTGCAGCAGACTGCCCCCACAATTCTCCCTACCTCTCTCTAAACTTCCACCTCTCCCTATCTCCTGGTTCCTTCTCTGATGCCTACAAACGTGCCCAAGTTTTTCTAACAATAAAGAGATTTACTGTCTTCCCCTCAAGCTATCCCCCAATCTTTCCACCATTTCACAAACTCCTAAGAACAGCTGTCTACACATATCTTTTCTGCTCTTAATTCTCAACTCAACTGCTTTTCAGGTATCTCAATCCAGATGTCCAGTAGACATCTTAAACCCAACATGTCCAAAACAGAACTTAGTATCTTTCTCCTTAAACCCTTCCCCTTTTCCTTTTACTGTAGACGGTAAACAGCATCCTCCCAGTCCCTCCTGCTGGCAGCCTAGGAATCTTCTTGAGTGCCTTACTCTCCCTCACCCCCTACATCCAAGCTGTTCCCAAGGCCTATCAATTTCCCCTTTGCATCTCTTTGGCCACTTTTCGCATACCCACTGTGTGAAATGGTGCCTGACACATAGCAAGGGCTTAATTAGTGTTTACTGACTGGCTGACAGACACCTCGCAACCAGACTTCCAGTCATACCACTAAAAAGAAATTACTCTGTCCAAGTAGTTTGTCTGGGACATTCTTTCCAACCCTCATTTCTTCTAAAACCATACTCACGTGACATTTTCCACATGGAGCTTCCACTCCTACTTACTTTACATTTATTTTCATATATTTTATATATATCTACTTATGTCCATTTTGTATTTCCCCAAAAGACTGCAAGGCCATGAAGGCAGAAATATTTTCACTTTTCCCTTTTGCCCCAGTGCCTCATCTCTAACCGCCTGTGGGACATTTCAAACTGGATGACTCAGAGAAATCTCAAATTCAACATGCACAAATCAGAACTAGTTATCTTTGTCCTCAAGCCCACTTCTTGTCTAAACTTCCCTATTTCTGCTAAAGGGAACACCTTTCTTCCAGTCTCTCAGGTCATAATCTTCACATTTTTCTCTACTTCTTACTTTCCTTCCTTCAACCCAAATATCTAATCAGGTGCCAAATCTTGTTGTTTCTAATTCCACGACACCTCTCATATTCAACTCCTTTTCTCTACTCATACGTTCATCTCATTTGTTTGGGTTCTCACCTCTAGCCTGCACTATTGCCATGGCCTCCTAATTGGTATCTCTATTTTGCTTCTTCCCATCAAATTTATCCTCAATACAACTAACTTACCAAGGTAATCTTATTTGACCCAAGTATGACCATGGCACTCCCCTATTTAATCAATTACTCCAGTGACTCCCTACTGCCTCTAGGACCAAATATAAATTATTCTATCTGGTTTTTAAAGCTCTTAACAATCTGTACCCAACATACCTTTCCAGGGTCATTATATAGTACCCTCGCCTTTTCCTGCATTTTTTGGTGCCAGTCACAACTGGCCTTTTCCTCTGTTCTTTTTAAATCCTACTACACGCTTATCACCTTGCTTTTCAAATGGCCATCCTCTGGTTTCAATTCCATCTTGCAGAATCCCTCGTTTCCTTCAAAATGCTGCTCAAGAACATTTTACATCAAGCCTGTTCCTTCCCATACCCTCCAAATGCTACTGCCATCCTTAACTACCTTGCATTTATTATATATTTACAAACAAATGTATTTATTATGTATTATTGTATAATAATTTGATACATATGTATATTCTACTTAATCAATCAATAAACATTAGTTAAATACCTCCTATGTGCCAGGCACGGTGCTAAGTGCTGGGGATAAAAAAAAAAGCAAAAGATAGTCCTTGCCCTCAAGAAACTCACAGTGTAATGGGAAAGACAATAAACAAAGCACGTATGTACAAACAAGCTAATATAGGATAAAAGAGTAAATAAATAAGAAGGCATTAGAATTAAGAAGGATTGGGAAGGTTTCCTCTAGAAGATGACATCTTGGTTGAGATCTCAGGACAGGAAGTCAGGGAAGTCAGTAGTCAGAGGTAAGAGGAAGAATATTCCAGGCAAGGTGGACAGCCAGACAAAATGCCTAGATCTGAGAGAGGCAGTGTCTGTTTCATGAAACAGCCAGGAGTTTAAGAAGACTGGAAAGGTAGAAGGGGGCTAGGTTATGAAGGTCTTTTAAGGTCAAACAAAATATTCTGTATTTGATGCTGAAGGTGATCAGGAACCCCTGGAATTTATTAAATAGGTGGTGGTGTATGACATGGTTGAATCTAGGCTTTAGGACAATCAGTTTAGTGGCTGAAGAGAGGATGGACTGGAATGAATAGAGACTTGAGGTAGGCAGACCCACCACCCACCAGCAGGCTACCATAACAGTCCAGGCATGAGGTGATGAAGGTCCGTACCAGAATGGCTGCAGTGTCACCAGAGAGAAGAGGGCATATTTGAGAGATGCTGCAAAGCATCCCATGATTGCCATGGGAGCTAAGAAACAGTGAGGAGCTGAGGATGCACCTGGTCTGTAAGCCTTAGGGACCAGGAAGATGGTGTTTCTTTCTTCCGTAACAGGGAAGGTAAGAGAGGTAGAGGGTTTAGATAGAAAGATAATGAGTGCTGTGTTCAGCATGTTGAGTTTAAGATATATACTGGACATGCAGTTTGAGATGTCTGAAAAGCAGAAAGAGATGAGAGATTAGAGGTCAACAGAGGATGGGCAGGATAGGAAAATTTGAGCATCATTGCCATAGTGATAGTAATTAAGCTGATGAGATCACCAATGAGGTAGTATAGCAGAAGAAGAGAAGAGGGCCTAGGTCAGAAAGCTAAGGAACAACTATGGTCTGAAGGCATAACCTGGATAAGGAACTAGCAAAGAAGGAAGAAAAAGGAACAGTCTGATAGGTAGGAAGAGAATCAGGAGAGTGTGTTAAGAAAATCTTGAGAGAAAAGATGGTTTTCAACAGTGTCAAAGGTTGTAAAAAGTTGAGAAAATGACAAGTGAGAAAATCATTAGATTTGGCAATTAGGAGAGCTTAATTAACTAACTTAATTTATGTAGCTTTGGAGAGTGTAGCTCTGCTGGAAAGATGAAGTTGGAAGCCAGATTGTAAGGGGTTAAGGAGTGAGAGGACAGAAAATGATGGCATTTATTGTAGATGGCCCTTTCAAGTTTAGCAACAAAGAACAGAAGAAATATATGATGAAAGCAGAGATAGAAGGAGAAACGGCTGTTTTCAAGGATGGGGAGACAAAGGCAGGAAGTAGGGAAGGAGTCAGTAGACAGGGAGAGATTGAGGATAAGTGATAGAGTGGGGATGACAGAGGGGTAAAAATGAATGAAACTGCTTGAGCAGGTAGAGGGATTAATCTTGGTAAGGAGTAATGCTACTGCATCATGTGAGATAGGTGAAGGAGGAGATAGTGGCAGAAGGCATCCGAGTCATATGAGATGGGAAAGAAGGGAGAAGTGGAGCTCACAGAAAATGGCCTCAATTTTTTCTGTAAAATATGAAGCAAGGTTCTCAGTTGAGAAGGTGGAAGGAGCGGGAGCCATGGAAGGCTTTAAGGAAGGATGAAAAGGTTTGAAAGAAACAAGAGAGGGAGAAAGAGAAAGACAGAGACAGAGAGAGACAAGACATGGAAAGACAAAGAGAAAAAGAAAGAGAGTTAGAAAGAGAAAAAGGAAGAGAGAGAGAGAATGAAAGAGAGAGAGAGAGAATAATATTCTTGTTGTTCTCATGAGAAGGGATTGCTTTATTCTTTGTATTTTTATTCCCAGTGCCCTGCACGCAGCAGGTATTAAATAAATGTTTGTTGGATAATTTTATAAATGTTTTTTGATTGACTGACAATGTACACAATTCATGAGGACTAGTTTATGAATCATTAAAAGGAGGAATTTTAGCTAAGAGGGACAAGGGTACTTACATGGGACATGTACAGCCTGAAAGCTTCCAACATAGTTTGGTCCTAGTTCATAAATGATATTAACACTTGAAATAGGCAAAACTTCTTCTAAGAAATGTGTGGGTCCCAGGCGCCATACTAATGAAGCAAGCTGGCGTTGAGCAGGTGGTGTGCCAATATAGGCATACACTGTGCTGACCACAGGTGGATTTGCAGAACCTGAACCCCCTGGAGTACTGTGAACATAATGAAGCTATAAAGAAAAATGAGAAGAAATGAATCAGAACAGAAGCAGGTATGCCAGAAAAGGAAAACGAGCAAGTTTAACTTATGCTATATATCTCCATCCCCCAGAAGTCAGTGGGCACCTTCATATTGTGCAAAAGTACCAAGTACAGCTAATGACAGAGGACAGAAGTCTGTGTGGTCTAGCAGAGCCTGGACTTCTGCCCTTGAGGTAGGGCCTGAGGCACTGGGGTGAACTGCTATCCGGCTCTTTGGTAACAGCCGAAAACAGAACAAGAAAGATGCAGGAAAACCACAAGCAGATTCAAGGAGAAGATGTGGTTGCAACACATATCATGTTCCTTTTGAAATTCCACTTAAGGTTGCAGCCAAAGATCAGCATCTCATTGGGGCACGAAGATGCAAACAATTCATGTTTTTGCTATAGTACTTAAGTATGTTTTAGTGTGAAAATGCAAATACACACACACACACACACACACACATATACACACACACTCACACTTACTTTCCAAACTCTTGTAACACCACATGTTTAATTTCAGATTTCAAGGCACACTATTGCTAGGTCTATATGATGCCAAAAATAATTTTCAATTGAATTTTAACAAAAAAGTCAATGGAATTGTAAGAGATATACAAAAAAAATCAGCCAAGTTGATTAAATTTTCCACTTTTCAATTTCAGTTTCCTGTAGTCATATTCTCAGAGAATTATTGAATAAAATCAGTATTTAGTTGGATTTATTCTATTAAAAATCTTTACACAATTTCTTTTTTTAGTCCAGCATATTTATTTTCGAGTTTGTACTTTATATGAGTGTGAATTCCAATCACTATGAGTCACCTACAAATCACACATAAATACCACAAAGCATCCTAAAACCATGCAGTTCTATAAACTGGAGTGGACTTGTATAAAGTCCCAAATACTTAAGGATACAGAAAACCATTTCAGAAACCTCAGTATGCCTGCTTACAAGAAGAAAGCACCTGGGTAAGGCAACATAGTAGAGAGCCACTGCTGAAAACTAAACACTAATTGATCTAAAAATCTACACTTTGGTTTTATTTTAAGCAGTAACATTAAAGATAAAGCTTAAACACAAAGAAAACATCAAACGATTGTATCTGGACAGCAATGCCAAAGTGACATTTTGGTAAAGCTCATACTGCGTGTCTATTTATTGAAGGAGAGCCTTTAACATGGGCTTCTGCTCTACTGACTCAAGTTTTTGTGATGAACAAACATGAAGAAATGACTCTCTATACAACTGAATCAATTCTGTGGCTCTGCAGACATGGTCTGGGGTGAAAACCTGTCTGCTTCTTATATTTCATTGCGGGGATCTCTGACCTCTCATAAGTATTTTATAAGTAATGAGAAGTGGGTGGGTAGTTACTGACGTCTTCTCTCTTGGTCACCTGCTGATGCTACTAATAATTTGATCTTTTTCACCATCTTGGAATCTTTCCCTCTGAGGCGGTTTAAAAATTCAGCCTTTATTAGTTAATATGTTAGCATTTTTAAAAGTTTACAAGCTAAGATGGTCATTTTTTAAAAGACATCCAAGCACAATGACTTTGCTCCTGAAAATATAACCTTTCCTTGATTTTTACTATTATACTCGTTTCCAGAGCTTACATAGGAAACATTACCCCCATCTGTCACATGATCAGGGTGTTAATAAATAAAATAATGCTCTGTGTATCCAAGAACCAATATGAAGGGAGAGATACAGACATGAAATGAGAACCAGAAGTTATTTATAAATAATATTCTACTACCCAAAGCAAAAAGCAGCACAACTGAAGGAAATAGTGCTGGATTGGAGTCTCTGCGAACTCAGGCTAGTCATTCAACCTCTCTGAAGGCGAAATTTCTTCAACGTGTAAAATAAGGGGGTGGGGCTACATGCTCCTTATGGCTCCAAAGCTACGTGCATCTGTAATAGAAGACAATAGGAAGAGAGAGACTCTTCCACATTTCTACACAAATCCACAGCCCACAACTCCATCCTTGCCCTCCAAGCTCTCCTCCATGTCATTCACCAATACGGTGACACACAGAACAGGGCAAATAAAAGACCACGTCACAAGCACTGCTGAGGTCAATTTTGGGCAAAATCACAATTTAAACAATAAAAAATTTTTATAAAGTGTGTAGGTATTTAGAAGCATAGACGTACCTTCACTGTATTGACAAGCTGTCCATCAAGATAGAGGGCAGCAGTACTGTTTTTCAACATGCCTTTACTCATTACTAGGACAAGATGATGCCACTGTCCCTCAACTATGAGGTCTCCACAGCGAAAGCGAGCGCAGCAAGGAAGAATTTCATAAAATGAGGATTCTTCACTGAAGTCATCAACTAAAACAAAAAAGAAAGCTTAATGGAACACTTATGCCAATCTCATCTCTGTGGTTTAGATCCATTTAAGGACTTTCTATTAAAGCAAATACATAAGGACATAAATGTTAAGTATCACTCTTCACTCAACATGATGATGCTGTCAGCAAGCATGTGATAGTTCCCAGATACTACCCAAATAATATGATACAATATTATACTACCCAAAAATTATACACTATATATAGTATTATATAATACTATCCAAAGATTAGTTTTTAAATAATCCACCTAAAGAATTTTGAAAAATAAAGAGGGAATTAGATCACACAAACTACTCAAAAGATAAGTGCTATTATTGTGACTTCATAAGAGTTTATTTTGCAAATGGCTATGAAGGGAAGGGAATAAGCATTTATATAACACCTACTATGTGCCAGGCACTGACTTTACAAATATTATTTCATTTGATCCCCGGAATAACCCTATGGGTTTCTTCATTTGGGCTTATAACAAAAAACTCTTAGAGTGATAAGAAACTTTGGTTTAATTTTCTTAAAATGTAAATGGCATTGAATAAGCTGGACTGCATAGCTGATCCTAGTCATGGAAACATCTGTAAGTACGTTGATAGCTTTTACTGAAACAGAATTCGTTACTCTTTTGAGAGCATTCATGTTAAAAGAAGAACAACTTACAAATCAAAGTAAAAGAAGAACTGACATTTGTAATGGTGACTTTTACAGATAAGGGTCAAAAGACATCTTTTATGTGAAATGCTGTGCAAATATTCAAGGGCCACAGGAATGACCACAACCACCGTTATCATCACTATCATCACTGTCATCACCATCATAATCACCACCACAATCATCATCCCATTTTTCTCATATTTTTGAAGAACTTCAGATAGAAATGATACTGAGGCAAGTAACCATCTTTGTATTATTAATTCACATTTAATGGCCAATGACCATTGCTCAAACAGAAAAATAAATAATTTCCAAAGCTAAATGACAGTATTAGAACCTAAATAAGAGCCTGCCTCTGAAGGCAGGCTTACAGAAAACATTTCTAGTAGCAGAGAAGCTTCCTTTTTGATCTCCTATTTATAATTTTAAAAAAATTCATGACATGCACCTCAGAAATTAGGTATATTTGGCATATCAACTTATATTAACAATAGATTTAGATAAATTCTTATGCATTAATATTACATTTGCATGTCTGTAAGCAACAGCTTGGTGTGCAGTAATACTGTGGTTACAGTACATTTTAATGATTGCATTTCTCCAAGATAGTTTGCGATCCGTATTGGTAGTGAGGAGATCTGTCATCTATTAGTGCATGAAAGATCACAGAATTTGAGAAGTGGAAGAGACCTCAGCGGTCATCTCATCTAACCCATACACAAAGGAATCCCCACTAGGGAGAGCTGGGTGGCACAAGGGAGACAGCATCAGACCTGAAGTCTGTAAGACCTATGCTCAAATTCTCAGCCACTTACTAGCTGTGTGACTGTGGGCAAATCATTCACCCTCTGCCTGCTTCCGTTTCCTTGTCTGTAAAATAATAATAGCACCTACCTCACAGGATTGTTGTGGAGACCACAATTTTAGAGCACTTTGCAAACCTTAAAGCATAAATGCTATTATTATCATTAATCAAAAAAATAAACAGAAAGTGGGCAACCAGCCTCTGCTTGAAGACCGTGAAGGATGCCATTCTAAAACTGGACAACTCTACTTTTTAGGCTAAAAAGAACAAAGTCTAATCCCTCCTCCACATGATAATCCTTCACATCCTGTAGCAATGCCATCACGTTCTCACAGAGCCTTCTTTTCTTTAGGCTTGTTACGGGCAGCCCTATAACAGGGACACTTAGCTTCTCTGGATATGGCTTGCCTCTGTCTCTAGGTGGAAAAGCATCTGGTCATTAGGGAAGGATATGGTGCAAGGCAATGTACGTATGTGGTCTTCAGAAATCCATCAAGTTGGGGCAGCTAGGTGGTGCAGTGGACAGAGCACAGGCCCTGGATTCTGAAAGACCTGAGTTCAAATCTGGCAAGAGGAGGTTTGAGGATGACTCCACTGTCCATCTCTGTAAAGGCCCTTTCCCATCCTGGCTGCTCAGTCTGTGAAGAAATAGTCACACACCAGCACTCTCTCCACTATAGTCTTGGCTTGGAGTTTTTTCAAGTTAAATAATTTACCATCAGTATGACAGTTGACCTTGATGCTGTTTTAGTCCTTGTCGATGATGTCTGACAACACTGCTAAAAACACCACACTAAAAAGCATAGGAGTAGGGGCCGCTAGGTGGCGCAGTGGATAGAGCACAAGCCCTGGATTCAAGAGGACCTGAGTTCAAATGTGGCCTCAGACACATAACACTTACTAGCTGTGTGACTCTGGGCAAGTCACTTAACCCCACTGCCTAACCAAAAGAAGAAAAAAAAAAGATTAAAAAGCACGGGAATGAGCACATAGCCTTGCTTCACTCCACTAGTGACTGTGAAAGTGTGAGAGCATTGTCTTTTATTCAGAACCCAGGCAATAATACCGTAGTGAAACTGATGCACAATACTGATGAATTTCTCCGGGTAACCAAATTTTGCCATGATCTTCCACTAGCCCTTATGACTGACAGTAACAAAGGCCTTGGTCAGACCAATGAATGTGGTGTATAGACCTCTGTTCTGCTCCTAGCATTTTTCCTGGAGCTGTCAGGCAGCATACACTCTATCGACCATTTGTTGGCCCTTTCTGAAGCCACACTGGTTCTTGGGTAGATGATCATCTAACCAAAGGATCAGCCCATTAAAGACTCTGGCAAGAATTTTGTCAGCAGTAACTAAGAGAGAGACCCCCCTGTGACTGTCACAGGACAACCTATCCTTTTCCTCTACAGAGATGGACAATAGAGGCATCCTCAAACCTCCTCTTGTCATATAACCTGGAAGATTTCAGTCAGCTTTCGTATAAACACTGGACTCCTTGCCTTGTAGGTCTCTCCTGGAATAGAAGCAGGACCAGGTGCTTTGCAATATGAGAGGCACCTAATGGCATTCAAAACCTTTTCTTCAACTGAAAGTTCAACTGGATAGGGACTGACTTCAATCTGAGAGAAAAAGCCAATGGCTTCAGCACTAGTTGATGCTGGTTTGTTGAGAAAGCCTCTGAGGCTGAAATGCAATAGAGTATGGATCAATTCTCTGCCACTTGTGCTAATCTTGGCCTGACGATTAACACCAAGAAGACAGAGGTGCTCCACCATCCAGTATTGAACCATCCATACACGGAACCATCAGTTTCAGAAAATGGAGAAATTTTCAGTGCTATGGATAAGTTCATTTACTTTGGCAGTAAACTTTCCAGGGATGTATACATAAATGATGATTACCAGAGCTAGCTCAGCATTTGGGAGGCTCTGAAAGAAAGCATGGGACAGAAGAGGTATTGGGCTGCCTACCAAACTGAAGGTCTACTACAGAGCCACTGTGCTGCCTTGTATGCCTGTGAAACCTGGACAGTATGCCAGCACCGTACCCGGGAACTGGATCACTTCCATTTGAATTGTCTTAGGAAGATTCTGAAGATCACCTGGCAGGATTAGGTCCATTCTCGAGCTGAACTGCCAAGCATTCAAACTTTACTGAAGAAAGTGCAACTCGGATGGGCTGGCCATGTTTGAATGCCAAATGTACATGTGCCTAAAAGACTATTTTATGGAGAACTCATAGAAGGTAAATGCTCGTGTCAGAAGCAGCAATATAATAACACTCTCAAGATGTCTCTGAAGAACTACAGAACTGACTGTGAGACAGGGAAGACATTGGCACAGGACCAGCATGCCATACTGCCAGACATCAAGGAAGGTGCTGTGCTCTATAGGCAAAGCAGAATTGTAGTAGTTCAAAAAAACCGTGAGATGCACAAATTTAGATACATCTCCCCTCCAAATGTTCATATGGACTATTTGTGTCCAACCTGACTCCTGGAGCCTTCTGAGCTTGTACTGGTCTGATCAGCCACAGCTGGACACACCATACCTTGATCCCACATAGTGATGTCATTGTGGTCCTCTCCGAGCACAACCACCAACCACATTCCCTCTCTACACATTCTCCACTTTATCAATATTATTCTTAAGCTAGGGTGCCCAGAACAGAATACATTATTTCAGAAGTACAATGAGGGCGGAAGACAGCAGAATTACCACCTTCTGTTCCTGGAAGCTTGTGCCTCTCTTAATGCAGCCTAAGGCTGCATTAACTTTTTTGGATACTACATCAAACTGCTGAAAAATATCAATCTCGCAATCCACTCAAATTCCCAAATTCTGTTTAGAACCTATGCCTATCAATGCATCCCCCATTTATATCTGTGGAGTTGACAGCACAAAATTCTGTAGTTAACCCTACTGAATTTCATCTCATTATATTCAGCTCAACATTATAGCTTGTCAAGATCATTATGGATTCAGATATCTGGTTTGCCTTCACAATGTTGTTACAGTATAGAACACTCTCCTGGTTCTGCTCACTTCATTCCGCCTCAGTTCATATATGTCTTCTGAGATTTCTCTACAATCACCCCTTTTATATTTTTTTTTAACCAGGCAGTAATATTCCATTACATTTGTATGTCATAATTAGCTCAGCCATTCCCCTAGTAGACAGCAACTCTCTTAGTTTCCAGGTCTTTGCCAATACAAAAAGAGTTACTATAAATATTCTAGAAATATGGGACTTCTTCCTTTTTCCTTGATCTCTACTAGGCCTAGTATTGTTATCACAGGGTCAAAGGATAGTCTCAACTTACTGACCTCTGGCCACAGTTCCAAATTGCTTTCAAGAATGGCTGAAACACCTCCTGGCTTCACCAATCATCAGTGTGTGTCTCTCGTCCTACATCCTCTCCAACATTTACCCTTTTCCTTTTTTTTTTTTTGGCATCCCTGCCAATCTAATATGTGTGCAGTGGAACCTCATAGCTGCTTTAATGTATACCTATTAGTGATTTGGAGCGTTTTTGCCCCATAAAATTTTCAAAAGCTTGGGTTACTTCTTCTGAAAACTACCTGTTGAAACTGGGGAATGACTCCTAAAAAAAGTGATCACTGCATTCTATATCTTGGACATAAGATCTTTATGAGGTTCAGAGAAACTGGGTGAATATTTCCCCCCAATTACCCATTTCCTTCTAATTTTAACCAAAATGGTTTTATTTGTACAACAACTTTTATGTAATCAAAACTGTCTAATTTGTTTTCTTTGATTACTTTTTTTCCCTGGTTTGTTCATGAATTCTCCCTCATTTACAGGTAGAAAAGGCTATTTCTTTCTTGTTCTTCAAACAGCTAGTACTAGCTGTTTCAATCTAGACTACTCACTTAACCTCTTTCTACCTTAGTTTCCTCAACTGTAAAATGAGGATAATAACTACATCGATCTCGCACAGTTGTGAGGACCAAATGACGTATTTGTAAAGCTAAATACAGTGCCTGGCACACAGCAGATGCTTAATAAATCTTGATTCCCTTTCCCTGCCCCTTTTGATACAACAATGATAGGTCCAGGTAACTGTGGCTCATTGATAATTATCCAGAATATTTTGAGGGCTGTATTTGTAACAAACGGATGTGTCACCCATGATTTCATGAAAACATAATACTTCTGATCCATAATCCCAAGCAGCTGACAATGCCTTGGCTAGGCAGTGGGTAGGTGCTAAATATTTACAGCTTGCAATGATATTCTACATAGTTTTTCCTGTTTCATTGCACAACCACAACTAATAATCAATTTTGAGCTCTATAAGGATAGGGATAGGAACTGGATCAGTTGTTACTTTGATACAGGAAACCGCGAGATGAGGAAATTTCTTCCACCAACCCAAGCCGACATCTGTGCTGCAAGTTATAGTCATGCCACACTGAGAAAGTCAGTGACTTGCCAAAAGTAACGCAGCCACTGAGCTCCCAGAAGGATGTGAGCCCAGATCTTCTTGGCTTTGAAGACATCTCACCGTCCATTACTCCATGCTGCCTCCTTAGGACAATGTCAGCTTCTGTGATTTATGGTAACTGAGATCTGATCCTGAAATGCCAACACAAACTTCCCATGTGACCCAACTGTTTGGTTGATACTTCTTTGTCAACACACTGTTGGCTCTGTTTTTGAGGAAGTCACACAGGAAGGGCCTTTGAATTCCATTCTTGGATTTTAAACATTAACAAAGGTTTAAAAGCTCCAGTCAAAAATAAACTAATTTCGGTTACATTCCACAAAGCCAATACCATACGACTTGATTGTTGCTTGGTGAAGTGATGCCTTCTTGTTTCAAAGTATTTCTCTAAACTTTTGGCCTGTTTATCACGCACTCTAAGAATGTGTATCACATGTCTTTCTCCTTTCTGGTCAACAAATGTTAATCTTTTTGTAGCTTCCTCAGTGCGACGGGCCCCGCATTTCCTTAATATTGTGTGAGTTTTTCACTATATGCTTTTCCAGTATGTAGTGGTTCATTCTATGGTCCCAAAGTGTACAGTAAAGATTGGTATTGGGTTAAGACCAAAGGTACCCCAGGAAGGGGCAAAAATATGATGAAAAAAGAGTTTTAGAGAAACCTTAGACGACTTGTATGAACTGATGCAGAATGAAGTACAGAGAACCTTCCTTTATGAAGCTGTTCCTCAGCCTCTCTCCTTAATGGTCTCATTTGCTATCATGTAGACTTTTCCTATTCACATATTTTACAATTTATTTTACATTTGTCTCTGTACTTGTCTTATCCTCTGCACTAGAAAGTAAACACCTTCCTTATGACTTGTTAATCTCTGCATCTTGAAACCTTTGCACAGAGTGCTACTTCAAAAACAAAACAAAACAAAATCTTCTCTTCAGTCATAGCCCTTGTTGAGTATGCTGTAGTGGGATTTATTTTCTTTTTTTAAAAAAATTTATTTTATTTTTAATTTGTGAAATAAAACAAGCATTTCTATAACATAGTACAATAAAAAAGATGATTGCACATGAAATTGCAAATCTACTATGTACAACTTGCTATTCCTTTCAAATATATAACAATTTAATATTTATTCATAATAATAATAATTTATAATCATATTCATAATAACTTAACAATTGCCATGTAAATTTCTGCCCCCCCCACCTTAGAGATGGCTACCATTAGACACAAGCAGTATATACATGTAAAATTATTCTATACATATTTCTATTTATCAGTTCTTTCTCTGGATACAGATAACATCTTTATTAATATGTCCTTTATAGATAATTTGGGTATTTTTAATAGATGAAATAACTTATTTATTCAAAGTCGTTCTTAAAACAACATAGCTCTTAGGGCATATAACATTCTATTGGTTCTGTTCATTTTGCTCTTCATTACTTCATGCAAGTCTTTCCAAGTATTTCTAAAATCACTGAGTTCATCATTTCTTATAGTACAGTAGTATTATGGGATTTGTTTTCCAGGTAGGAGTTCAAGTAGATGACTACTGAGTCCCTTCCAACTACTAAATTCTGGTTCTGTGATTCACAGGGCTTGCCTTCCCATATTTAGAAAGCCTTTACGCCACCCTCTTCCCCTCAACTCCCTATGCTGCTCTCTAACCCACATAGCTGCCTACCACCTAGGACACACCTGTGGACAATGATAACCTACCTGAACTCATTTTGTAATGATTAACATACTCCCACCCATCCCTGTGATTCTGAACCCCTGGTTGTCATGGTTCAAATCTCTGTTTTCTATCTCCACACCCCTCATTGTAATCCCTCCAGTCTCCCACTCTAAAGCTGTCTAGCCCTTCCACGATGCTGTCTGGAATGCCTGCTTCATAGATAACAAATGAGATTTTATCTTGAACTTTTTCCTTCCTTATTCTCTCGTAATAACTCTGCTCCCCAGGCTTCCCTCTCTCATACCCCTCCTGCCCTGACGTGCTCAATGTGTTTGTGGTAAGGGAGATGGAGGGGAGGAAGTAGTTTGAATAACTCCTTACTACCCAATGCCACTTTAAGATTTTCCTTCTACTACCCAGTAATCCCCATTAAGCACCATCAAAAAGTGTGGCTCCTCAGCAAGCAAAGTCAATCTAAATTCATACATACCTGATAACCCTCTCTTCAATTCTCTATTTTGTTGTTGTTGAGATGAGTTGAAATAACAGAGAACCATTTCATATAGTCTTAATGATACTTTAATTAATATGATTCATGATTACACTTTAATAACATGGGATACTTTGTGAAAACATTAATGACACTTTGTGAAACCCAACCTTATTTTTCTAAAAGATTAAAAGCTGGATCTAGGGGGCAGCTAGGTAGTGCAGTGGATACAGCACCAGCCCTGAAGTCAGGAGTACCTGAGTTCAAATCTGGCCTTAGACCAAACACTTGACACTTACTAGCTGTGTGACCCCGGGCAAGTCACTTAACCCTAACTGCAAAAAAAAAAAAGTTGGATCTAACAAAATCACTTTATTTTTTTCCCAGGACTCAAAGGAAAAGAAAAAAACTTACTATAATTCTGGAGTAGTTCCTCTTTAGTAGAAACAATTAGGGACCGGTCTTTTGCTGACAGTACTATGGCAAGGCACACATAATGTTGCTCAGAAGAATTTGCTCGCCGCACAAGTGTCAAAAGTCTGACTGGGTGGTTATTTGGAGGTGAACTAAAATGTTCAATACAAAACCAGCTTGAGTAACTTAATCCAGATGGAGGAGGGAAGAATCTTTCACCTGGATGGGGTAGAAGAGATACATATTTGGGGGAGGGGGAAGAGAGAGAGATTTATACATATTTACGGATGACACAGTGGAAAAGTTTGGAATTATAAAAAATAAAATCTCATAAACCCAAATGAACTAAGTAGTATTTACCAGTTCCAATTCCACTGATTACAGTACCATCAGCGAGACCTGTTGTAGCAGCATTATTTGTAGGTGCATTATGAGGTGCCAAACTGGGCAGGAACAGGCAACTATTAATAATAAAAAGAGAAGAAACAAATACTTTAAACAGAAACATACTCTTCTATCTCATCATTGGTTTTGTATTTCCCAGCTAAAGATAACTGTATATAATGAAATTGTCCAAATTAAACAGTCTGCCTGCCACACTGTGGAATGGAGTTGACCCTGGCTTCTGAAAGGCCATATAAACAAAATATCATATGTCTGTTGTCTGAGAACTAGCCTAGAGGTGCTTATCACTAGGGAGGGGACACAGAGCTACAAAATTTTCAGCCACAACAACTCATAAGAACCACACACTGCACTACTGAGGCCTTGTTTGTTTTCTGAGTGTTTAAGAGAAGACTCCAATTGATGAAATTATGAAGCCTTGAAATATTAAGACAAATCCTATTCTGTAGCCTTAGCATGGCAATGACTCTGGTTCGGAGGGAAAGGTCAATAAAATGTAAGTTCTGGCACATTCTACAAACTTGGGAAGGCTTTCAGTAGGGTTCCGGTGACAAATTGTGTTTGCTGTTTGAGGGTCAGCCTAGGTTTAGAGAAGCTTATCACCAGCCTCTGATGATGGCTACTGTGGCCATGAAACAAGTCAGAAGATTACAGATATATAGCAGGAAAGGATCTTAGATGTCGGCCCCCGTTTCTTTGTAGATGAAAAACTGAAGCTCAAATAAGTTAAATGGTTTGTAAGTATAAGAGGCTGGATTTGAAGCCTTCATGACTCCATGATTTCATGACAGTAGAGTTCAGCACTCTAATTACTATGCCATGCTCTTTTTAAATGGATAAATATATGCAGACACACACATATCTAGAGAACGTTATAAACGATGATGGAACTTAAATAAAGTACTTACCCAAATCCTTCAAGTGATGTGTCAAATTCAACAAAAGCAGGAGTAACTGATGATCCATGCAGCCTGATATCATGTGGGGTTGTCATTGAGACTAAACACTTTACCCTAGTCAAGGGTACGGTGCTTCCTTCTGCAGATTTTACCAAACTCTTGCTTATCCGATAGTGGTTATCTTCATGTAAACTAAATACATTATCAGAACCCAATCCTTCAACAGATGTTACCATACTACCTATAAGGAAAGAGTTTTTTTTTCTTTTTAATAGATTTTTATTTATTTCATTAAATATTTCCCAATTATAAGTAAAAAAAAATCCAACATTAATTTTTTAAAATTCTGAAATCCCAATTTTCTCCTTCCCTCCAGCTACTTTTTTGGTTTTATTGTGTCTTAATATTTATTTTTTAAAATAAATTTCAGCAAGGCCAAGTGACTTGCCCAGGGCCACGCGGCTAGTGAGATGGATTTTCACCCAGGCCCTGTCTCCAATTTCAGCATTGTCTTCACTAAAAAACTATCTGTTCATATAAACTTACTATTAAGTTTTAATACATTATAATTAGATATTGTGGTACCTAAAATATTATGCTCTTAATCTGCAAACATGTTTATACAGATTCTCTTTGAAGATAGAGAAAATTAGATTTACAAATATAAGAATGACAAATGAGTTGAAAAATGACTAAAACCTAATGTTTTATTACCTGGTCTATTATTCTTACTAAAATTGTCAGTGAGAAGAGGACAAGAAATTTTATTCCTGGTTACAGCTTTCTTTTCCTAGAACTAATGGGATTCAAAACATAGATTTAAGTATTTCTGTTAACATTTAACTATCCACATATTTGTTAAAGCAAAAAAAGATATATAAATTTTCCTATGATACTACAAATGAAATATAATTAGTTCAAAAATCTGAAATTTCAAAAATTCTTGCATAAAGCCAATGGTATCCATTGTCAGAGGAGTCACATCTTAAAGTGTCAATATCATAAACATCAGATTATATGTGTTTATATTTCTAAGCTAATCTTTAATATTTTAGGACTTTTTAGGATTTTTTTAAATAAAATAACAGTGCTGGATAAATGGCAGTTCTGATAGGAGGAAGGGAATTAAAATATATATATATAAAACAAAAACCCCCAGGTAACAGACATTAGTAAATAGACAGTAATAAGAATAATAATAGCTAAAATTATAGTGCTTTATGATACACTTTACACATATTATCTCAGTTGAGAGCTCCCACAATTTCCAATTAAATCACAAAGTTTATGGAACACAAACACTATGAGTTGCTGAGGCTAGTAATATCCACAACACAAAAGGAAGACTTAAGGAATCCTGATTTCCTGCCATGACCATATTATTCCTGTCTACTCTAATACCTACATTAATTTCAATCCATTAAAAAATTATTAAAACACTAATTGTAGCACATTTCATTTTAAATTCATTCTGATTACTAATGGTCCTGGAAATAAAATTTTAATATAAACAATGAAAAGATGACTACTCAGTCAATTTAACAGAAGTGGCTTCCATGTAATGCAACTCAAATATTTCCAAGAAATGAGTTGTTTTTTTCCTATTGAGCAGGTAGGAAACTCCAGCAGACAATGGTAACAGAAAAAATTGCCACAAGTATTTGCTTTTTGCATCAGTTTACCCAATGGTATCATAATGTTACTGGTGAAAGTCTAAGTCAGAGAACATCAAAAACTCGTTTCTGAGTATATCACAGCAATGAGAATAGCCAGCTGAGCCGATTCATCATTTCAAGTGTTGTGGAATTGTATTTTGTTGTTGAGACATCCATTTTCCAATTATCTGGAAACATCTCATTTATATATAGCTCCTTGTATTTCAATAATGCCACAAACATGACCTGTTTAAGTATTTACCTACTTACCAACTACAGTCATTCAACATATCCAGGTGAATTATCAAAAAATGATATGCAGAATGTAAAAGAGCAAATTCAGATGTCACTTACCTCTCATCTCTGGTTCATAACTTAATGAACTGGGTTTATGGATGCGATACTGTTTTAAAAGTTTTTTATCCCAGGCACCACAATTTAAAGGATTTGCCAAACGTAAAAATTCCCTAATAAAGAAAATCAATTAAATGGAAGTTTAGTGAAAATGCCATGGAAAAAACAAAAATCAGAATTCAGAACATCGATATGGAAATAATGTAATTTATGTCAGCCATGCCTCCCACTTCCTCTTTTAAAGTTTTATTGATATGTTTGTTTTTGTAGCAGTTACTTTCCAACAATTCTGGTCCCTACAGAACTGCCTCTTGGAACAAAAGGAATAGTTACACAGAATAGACTGACACATGCACAGTGTTTGATAATAGAAACATTATTCTGCACATGTGGTTCACTGCTTCTCTACCAAAAAGAAAATTCTACTTTATCCTTAATGCATTAGAATCAATGTTAGTCACTAAATTATTCTGAATTCTGAGGGCATTCATTCTTGTTTTATATAAATGAACTCATTGTTTACACTATTGTCTTAGTTCCACTTTCTTTACATAGGTTCATTCGCATTTATACAAATTTTCCTGAAAGACAGAAGGAAACAATTATTTATTGTCTGCTTTGTGTCAGTCACTGGTGCTAAGAGTTTTACAAATAGTATCTCGTTTAATCCTCACAACAACCCTGGGAGGTAGATGTTATTATCCCCATTTTACAGTTAAGGAAACTGAGGTAGACAGGGGTTAAGTGATTTGCCTCGGTTCACTTAACTATTAAGTATCTGAGGCAGAATTTGAATTCAAGTCTTCCTGACTCTAGGCCCAGAGCTCTACCCATTGTGCCACCTACCTGTCTACTACTAAATGGCTTACTACTCTGAATTTTTCATATCTGTTGTTAATTCTAAATAGGTTTAAGAAAGACTTCACTTTCATTTTAGAAGATGTTTTGCCAGTCCTTTATGTTTTTCATTTATCACTTTTCCATATAAGTAACCTCATAAAATCAAAGGAAAAATATTGCTTATAAACAAGAGAGTACTTTGAAAAGGCTGCGTTACATAGGACCCTATCCAAGTTGTGTTCTATTGTATTGTATTAAGAGTGCTTCTTTTAGCATGCATGGCTGGGTACAGAAAAGTCCTTTTCAATTACTGTTAAAACTGTTGCTCTGTCATTTCAGTCCTCTCTGACTCTTCATGACCCCATTTTGGGCTTTCTTGGCCAAGATACTGAAGTGGTTTGCTATTTTCTTTTCCAGCTCATTTTACAGATGAGGAAACTGAGGCAAATAGGATTAAGTGACAGTTAGTAAGCATCTGAGGCCAGATGTGAACTCAGGAAGATGAGTCTTCCTGACTTCAGGCCCAACACTACCCACTGCATCAAAATGAATAGTCTAAATTACATAGGGATTTCTGTACTCTGTACAGGGCTAACAAATGGCCCGCTAGCTCTTCTGAGGATTCACTGACTTTGCAGAAATCTACAGAAATCTGTAGAATCTATAGAAACCAAAAAATATGTTACTTGTTTCTTTCCTTTAAATAATTAACACTGGGGACAATCTTTTGTCATTTCATCTGACTCTATGACTTATGACCCCTAACCCTGTTCTTCACCCTCATCAAGACCTCTAATACTTCACCCAGGCAAACACCTCTCTACTGACTATACTGTCTTTCCTTCCCTATCTAGACACCCTGGTGAACCAGATCGACACTATAACCATTGCCAAATCCAAGATTAATCTTGGATTAAACCCCCTCCCCCATCCCCCATCGACCTACTTCACTTCTATTTATGTTTCACTGATGGGAGCACAAAAATGTAGATGCACAACAAAGCTGTGTTATGGAATCTCAGCTGGGCCCTTGTTACAACCACCTTCTGCACCTTCGTAATTAATTCACTACCCAACTCGCCACAACATTATAAATCTCTTCATCCTTCTTCAAGCCTCTCCTCCCACTCCCCCTGCCTCCCCCCACTCCCAGTTCCATCTTCTGCCTTCCTCATCTGACATCACTTGGATGTCATGCCCTAACATCTCCCCCTTTACTCCTGTCTCCCACAAAGAAGTGGCTTTTCTTCCTGCCAAGACAAGCAAATCTCTCTACATGGCCCCTGCCCTCTCACCTACCTTTCCCTTACTACTAAACCCTTGGCTATCTAGCTTTCAAACTCAGCATTCAACTATGATTGCTCCCCCAAAGTTAACAACACTCTCCTAATTGCCAAATTCAGTGGCCTTTCCTAAACCTTCATCCTTCTCAACTTTTATCAACTACCATCTATCTCCTCTCTAGGTTTCTGGGACCCTCCTCTCCCTCCTACCTGTCTGACAGCTCCTTCTCTGTTTCCATTGCTGCATCTTTGTCCAGTTCACACATATACATATACATATGTACATTCAGGTATGGATAGATAGAGATCCCTAAAGGGATGTTATAAGAATAAACACATACACACATATAGTTGGAAGACAGTGTTTTTGCCTTTCTTAGTGCCTAGCACAATACTTGGCACAAAATACATGTTTGATAAGTAAGTATTTCATTATTAACTGAAGATTTAATGACAGGGAATTGACCAACATCTGGATCAACTGACTCCCCTCTCGCTTAGTTCTACTAAAATTACTCATGATACAAAAATAATGAAGGGTTAGGGTGTTAAAGGGACTGCCTAGAAGTGTCTCCACTGCGCTCCCCTTACCAACTGTAAAGTTTAGATAGAATTAGAGGGCAGCTGGTCACTGGCTGGCTCAAAGATTAGACGCATTCCTGGTAAACCATCAAGGAGCAAGACATTTGCCCCTAGGGAATGAATCAAAACAAGAAAGAGCTCTCAAGAACATAGTCATGGTCAGTGAAGAAGTGCCTTGTTTATTGGTAGGTGAAGCACAGACAGGAATAGGCCCAGGAAGCTGAGCCGAATGCCCTGACACCATAACAAGACATCTGGCCAAGTGGTGCAGGAGGTCTGAATTTCCTCCACTGGTGCCAGTCACTGCTGCACTCTACTTGTCTACCCACTGCTCCTATGGCACTGTGTATGTTTATGAGAGAACGTGGGAAGGGTGGCAGGGAGGGAGAATTGTTACTATTATTCTGATGAGGCCATTTCAGTAAATGCTTTTGCTTCAATTGTTTCTACCGGCTCACTATTAAAGCTAAAGATGTTGGTTGAGACTTGTCAGATATAATTTTAAGAAAGTAGAACCACAATGTAGCATCTTCTAAGGACTCCCCACCATCTCACAGAATCATGGTGCTTCCTCCCTGGATTCCTCCTCTTTAAAGAATCTCACAAAACTCCCCAGGGAGCAGTGGCTAGCTACCCACTGAGTCTATCTATCCCAGTGGAAGAAGCTCTTCAAACCTCATAAAGGAGTCACACAGCTTGGATACTCCTCTGGATTACAAGACCTTATCATATCATTCTCTCTGCACATTATTTTCTACAACAAGCAGCTAGGTGGCACACAGAATACCGTACCAGGAGTCAGGAAGATGGAGTTTAAATCTGGCCTCAGACACTTATCAGCTGTGTGACTCTGGGCAAGCCACTAAACCTCTGCCTGCCTCAGTCTCTTCATTTGTAAAAGGGGGATGATAATAGAACCTACAGGGATGTTATATGAATAAAATGAGACAAAGAACACTGCAAACCTTAAAGCATAATATAAATACTAGCTATGGTGATTATGATGATCATTATGTAATAGCTTTATCAATTCCGATGAGGTAAAATTATGTGATCAGGGTGTCCTGATCAACTCCCTCCATTACACTTGTTTTCTGTGTAATACTAACAAGTCTTCTCCGTTGGCCCAGATTTAGACACCTAAGGTGTATAATGTCATTTTTGAACTTTTTTTTTCAGCCAAAGACAAGGTTTATTAAAGATCCACCCTATTAGCCAGACTCTTGAGAATCTGACAGTCTGTGAGGTATTGGCTAGATTCTAAGAGTCTGAGCAGTGGCTAGATTTTAAGAATCTAAGCCATTTTTGAACTTTAATAGTACTAGGCTAGCAAAAAGAAAACACAAGGAACCACAACAATAAAAGAATCGAGACCAAAATTTAATGCCAACACCGAAGTATGAGTCTGTGAATAGCACTTAATCTAGCCTTAAAAATAAGAGCAATGGTTGGGTATGAAGTTGTGTGAAAAAAGGTGGATTTTAAGAGAAAGAAATTATGTTCAATGAAAAAAGCAGATACTGCTCTAAAAACGCTCCAATTCTAGGATATCCTATTACTTCAATAACAATAGTTTAATTTTTTCAGTGTATCTACGTCCCTCTCCACCATCACAAATTGCCACCCTTCCACAGAGGAGTCTTTAAGAGGCACTATGACAAAAGCCTTTCTCATCAACTTGGTAAACAGGGTGAAGAACCTTTCCAAAGTCCATGAGGCTGATCCTCAAACAATGGACATGTGGTCCACAAGCATGCTCATACTCGCAGGCTTTTCAGCTTTGGAGGCCCTGACAATTAGTAAGTTCAACTGGGGAAAGGAAGAATAAATAACATGAAATTATGTCCAAGAGCTGATGAGCATCCAGGCTTAACTGGTGAGCATTTCCCTTCATTGCCTTTTGGTCCTGGAAGCAGCTTGGTATAGTAGACAAAGAACGGGCCTCAAGGACAGGAAGACCTGGGTTCAAGTCCCACATCAAAGCATATTGGATGTGTGACCTTGGGCAAGTCATTTAAGCTACAGGTGATATAGGCAAACTTTCTGTGATTCAAAGTTCCACACAGGCATTGACCTGTATCAGTAGAAGGAGCTCTCCACACCACTGAAATGATAGGTCCAGGTCATAACTTTATCACTAACTTCTGTCCTGCAGAATAAATGAATTGGTATCATTACTAATACCGTTCAAATTTGAAAAAGAAAAGCCACTGACCTCAGCACAATGGGCTCCAGTGCCTGAGAAGCAAGCCTTTCAAACATTCTCTGGAGGGGCGGGTGCAGGGAGTGGTCTTCATCAGCCAGCGCAGCACTGCATCTTTGTAAGAGGCGTGCGTGCAGCCCTGCTTCACACATCACTTGTTGGTTTCTTTCTGTGTGCACCAGGGATTGCAGGATATTTGCCACGGCAAGCTGAAGGTCCAGAGCATGCTGATACAGAAACACAAAAGCGTTCCACTCCATCATTCTTACAAAATCAAACATAACTGCAGTTTTTTATTCGTTCCCAATTTCAGAATGCCCATTACTACCATGATGTCTCCACATGCTTACAACAAATTTTTGAGATTTCATACACAAATTCATACATGAAGAGACATAACACATGCAGGTATTAAGTGAATGTACTAAGTTTATGTGACAATTCAGGAGACAGTGCTATGAACCCAGCACCTCATTCTAACAAGAAGCATATCCAGATTCCCCATTTGTACTGCATATTTTTTATATCAGATGACACTGATTAGTGAAAAAGCATTTGTGAAACACATGCTACGTGTCAGGCACTGTGTTTAGGGCTGAAGATATAAAGTAAAAAATGAAATCAGTAATCCCTGCACCCAAGTAGAATATATATTACTATATTATATACATCATCAAATATATTATATTATCTATTATATAACCCATATATAATATATCACTACATTATATATAATACATATTATATCAAGGGAGACAAGACACATATCAAGGAGAACAGGATAACTTGAAGGAACAAGGAAGGAGCAGGCAGGGGGTGGGGTCAGGGTAGAACTGGAGCAGAATCTTGAAGCAAACGAGGAATTATAAGAAGAGGATGAGAAGTGGTAGTGCTCTGCAGGCCTGGAGGATGCAGAAGGAACAACAGGATGGCCAGGCTGGCTGGACCAAAAAGTTTGGGAAGGGTTGGAGTGTGATTTAAAAGTCACAAGAAGGCACTTTTGGGTCACATGGCTATCAAGATGGAGTTCCAGACACTTTCTACACTACTCATAAGCTCTCAAATCTCTATAAAACAGGAGTTAGGAGCAAAGAACAAAAACCATTTCAGCTATTGCCACAATCTGGAACAAAAGTCCCAATGAGGCAAAAATGCTACCAACTAAAAGCAAGAAAGTCTAATCACTAACCTGTAATGTGCTAGTATAGTGCACCCTCCCCCATAAGCTCCCTCCCAAACATGGCCCCGGCTACACGTGCCAATTGATGGACTCACAGGGACCCCAACATCATCCACCTATGTCTATTGGGGTATGGACAAACAAAGTGGGTCTGGCCACAGGGCCAAAAAACTGTGTTGCAACAGATCAGCCAGAGTGCTGATAAAGGGAGGGAACTAGAGCAGGGGTCAGCCCGTGTGGAACTCCTCTTGAAAGGACGAGCACCTTCTTGTGTCCCCTCCCAAGTCACCTGGGCTAGAGATGGAAGGTGGCAAACTGGGAACTCTGCAGAAGTGGAGGAGTCTGACAAAGCTTTCAGGGAAACCTTCACTAATGGGAAAGGATTCAGAGCATGAATGATAGGGGAACAGAAGGAAAAAAGACTAAAATGACCAAATATCTTGGGAGGAAGAAAACCCAGCTAAAAACCTGAGAAGAGAATATAGCTTCAACTTCAGCTAAACAAATCCAGATAGCCAAAGATTAAATACTGTAAAACAAATACCAAAAATGATTCAACCTCTATGAGGCATAGAACCTTGGGGATTCCCAAGTGAGCCTGGAACTACAGCAAGATGTTTCTGAATGGTTTAAAAGAGAAATAAGAATGACAAAAGCAAAATTTTTGGCATGCACAGAAAAAAAATAATCAGCCGAATGGAAAACCTTAAATCCATAGTGGCACATATCACTAAAGGAAAAAAAAAGAGCTGATTGGAAATGCAATACAGAAAAACTGAGGACAATCTCAAAAGAGTAAAGTAAAAATCAGTAACGTTAAAGAAAAAATGATGTCCATACAAGCAACATATGTTGATCACTGGTCTCCCAGAAGAACATAAAAAGTCAAAAAACCCAACCATTATGATGCAAGAAACAAAATGAGAAAATTATTCAGAATTTCTAAACACAAAAGACAAAATACACACACACACACACACACACACACACACACACACACAGATTGCTTCCAGAAAAGAAAAAGCCTATACTACAACCTATGCTGCAAACTCCAAGAGACATAGCTAAATCTGAACAATTCTTAATGTAAACAACAAATTCCGTAAGTGACCAGGAGAAAGACTTTCAAATATAAAGGAAAGGAAATTCAAAAACACTCCAGACTATGCAGGACCTAAATAACACCACAGGAGAGAATAATGAGTAACTAAAAGCAAAGAGTTAAATTTAAAAGAGGCTTTTGAAGCATTCCTAGAAAGAAAGCCAGACAAATTATTTTCCTTACAAACACCCAAGACAACAAAAACACAAGAAGAGTAAATAAACACAGCATCTGATGATGAAATCAATTACCCCAGAGGAAGTAAAAAGGGAAAGCAAAAAACAAAAAAGAGAAAGACGTCTATTGAGTTAAGTATGAAAGCATTTCCACCCTTTCACAAAGATGAAGGCAAAAATGAAATAGAAGAAGTAATAGTGGAGAAACAGGTTTGAAACATCACGGACTAAACCTTCCAATACTTGGTCATGGGAGAATCGATGTTGGGATGTTTTTGTAAAATGGGAAGGCACATAAAAGGGTAGAGGGAAGGAAAGAAATAGAAGGGAATGTGTGATATACCATAATCAAGACAAGGATTAAAAATGAAAGGGAAAATTACTTTTGTGACTTCTCAGGAAGAAGACCTACAGGAGAATGGGTGTAAGAGAGGGTTCCACTGAAGTCTGTTCCCATGGGGTAAAGTAAGACATTCTATAGATGGAAATATTACAATAGGTATATTTTAAAAATCAACAGCATTTTTACAAAAATAGCACAATCTAAGAAGCAATAACAGAAATGAAAATTCCAATCCAAATAACTACAAAATACTATATATGCCAATGAGGGGACATATGTACTGGAAAATACAGATTAGGAAAAAACAAAAGATAGCAATAAAATGTATTTTAAAATATACAAAATAAATAAAGTATCTGGGGATCAATCTGCCCAAAACACAAAATACTTGTAAGTTCTCAATTATAAATTACTCTCTAGAGAAAGAAAGGACAATTTAAATAGATGGAAAAAACATTAAGTGTTTGTGGTTGGGTCATGCCAATATAATAAAAATGACATTGCTACTAAAGTGAATTTACAGTTTTAATGCTATAGAAAACTTTAGAAATGGATAATTTATAGAACTTGATAAATTAATAAAATTCATTTGGAAGCATAAAAGACCTAGAATATCAAGGAAAATAATGAGAAGAGGTAGGGTGAAAGGGGAAAAGCACCTCTAGACTTCAAATAATATTATAAAGCAGGAGTCATCAAACCAACTGGTATTGATTAAAAAAATAAAGAGGAAGATTAATAAAATAGACTAGACAAAGGAGAATAATGGAATTCAACAATCTAACATTCTACAAACTAGAAAACATGAATTACTTAGGAAAGCTCACTATTTGATAAAAATTATAAAATTGACTTAGACTGATATGTCACATTCTACAATGCATTCTAAGTGAATATGTGATCTTAGTATTATAAAATATGAGAAGAAAAAGAAGAAGAAGAAGAAGAAAGAAACAAATTAACAGAGCAGATGCCCATTTATTGAGGAATAGTTAAAAAAAACCGTGGCACATGAATGCAATGGAATAATTAATGTGCCGTAAGAAATGGCCAATGTGAAAAATACAAAGAAGCATGGAAAGAACTGCATGAACTGATGCCGAGTGAAGGCAGAGCCACAGAAGCAGCATACAAAATGACAATAACAATGTTTAAGTGGAAAAATTAGCCCCTCCCCCACCAAAATCTGTCACACTTTACCAGGAATGGCTCAAAATAAGAACTACAGAAGACACTCCCACTGAATCCCTTTGCAGAGGTGGAGGAGGTCCACGAATATAATCTGTTGAACACATTTTTAGGATTTTTTATGATGGCTTGATGAGTTGTGCTGATTTTTCTTCCCCTACCCCTACCTCATGTTTTTCCCCTTACAAATATTGTTACATGTGATGGCTCTCTGGGAGGGGGAAGGAGGATACTGGGGGAAATTACAGTGACATAAAAACAAATAATCTTAATGAAAACTTTTTAAAAGCTAAGCAGAGCAAGCAGTGCGTATGTGACCTGAGAAGCAAGGGGAAGTCACTAACGCTTAATGAATAGCGGACTGACGTAGTCAGACATGAACTTAAGGAGAATGACTGTGGCAGCTATCAGGAAGAGAAACTGAGGAGGAGGGCAGGAATTAGGTAGCCCTATTAGGAAGGAGACTGCTGCAACAGCTCTGTTGAGAAGTGGTTGAGGGTCTGCACTAGGGTGGTAATCATAGAGCATAGAAAAAGGGACAGACGTGAAAGACAGATACAGGTAGAAACAATATAATTTGGCACCTGAATAGATATACTGGATGAGGGAGAGTGAGGAATTAAGGATAACTCCAAGACTTTAAACCTGGATGATTAGGATTAGTGGTACCTGCAACAGAGGTAGGGAAGGGTGGAAGGGGAGTGGATTTGAACACATGGAATAATGACTCCATACTAAAGCAGAACTGAAAGGATGATCTTGTACAGGGCTTGTATAGAAAACCAGGACAATCATCAAATGACTGTCTTTACTGTCAGATGACTGAAGTTGAAATACTGTTATGCAATGGTGTATTACAACAGTCCTTTGAATGCTGTGAAAACGCGAAGTCTACTCTTGCTTTGGTTACCCTATGTAGTGTTTGAGACAGGTTTTATATTTCTGAATATTTGGGCTTCCAAGACTTCGTCTTGTCCATTAATCAGAATCAGGCATATCAATTCAGTTTGGTGAATACCAGGATAACCTGCTTCCCATAAATAAAAATCTGTCTCTGATTTTTTAATTAATTTTTATAAAAGGCATTGTATTGCTATTGTCTGTTTTTACATCATCTGTACTTTGCCAATGCTTACCCCACCTGTTGGCTTCCCAAAGGAGCGATCCCTTATTATTAGAGGGAGGAGGAGGAGGAGGAGGAGGAGGAGGAGGAGGAGGAGGAGGAAGGAGGAAGAGAG